TACGAAGATCGAGATCCGCTCTCATTTTAGATACCTCATCTCTATTATCCCGGATCATCCGCGCTACCGACTCTGTCACTCCTTTGTTCTCCCCCTTCATGCTTTCTATCTCACTGAGCAGGCTAGCGTTCTCCCTCACGATCCGCTCATTCACAGTGGTCAACCCCTGCAATTGACTAGTGATCTTGGTCACCTGCTGTTCTAACACAATGCATCTATTCTCAATCCTTCGATCTACCACAGGACCTGCCAACTCCGGCCTCGAAGCCTCTATCCCTCGGGCGTTGTCGCTCCTGGCTCTTCCGTCGGCTCCCCCACTCCCACCGTGACTATCTCGTCCGCGTGACATGGTCGGTGGCTTTCCTATCTCCGCGCTGTTTCCTCGCATCTTGCCTACCCCTTCGTTCCGTGCGCTCTCATCAATTCGAGCATTGACAAGGATAAATTCGCCCGTGACTCTCTTCTGCTCATCTATCATACGGCTCGACATTGATTCCATTGTCTTTTCCATCTTTCGCACGGTATCCTTCACCCAGGCCTGTTCTCCGTTTCTCTTCTCATCCATCCGATCGGTCCTTGCAGCGACATTCTCGCAAGTCTTGTGAACCTTTGTCATGTTCGCCACAATCTCAGCCACGCTTTTGCGGTTCTTTATCACCTCTCTCGCGACGGTCATTATGTGTTCCTTCTGCGCCAGAACCACTTCACTCAGCTTCTTGGTTTCGCCCCGCACTGCCCCATCTATGCACGTGCCGTGACCCTCGCCAGGCTCTCTGCATCCGCATCCAGGACCTTTTCCTTGGCTGTTGCAACGGGACGACGATGCCGTATCGGTTCCGGCTTTCTGGCTCCCCTTGGACTTCAGCTTCCTTAGTTCCTCGCCCGCTATCTTGATCTGGTCCCATTGTCTATTCAAAACCGTCTCTACTTTATCCAGTCTCTCGTTCTTCCATGTTCCATTCTCGCGTCGCATTTGCATGCTCGAGAAGACTACACCTATGCCACGTCTCACCTCGTTCAATCCTGTCTCTAACGTGGTGATCTTCGTCCCGGTACTCTGTTTGGCCACGTCAGCTGAATGCTCCGCCGTGGACAAACGTTCCTCCACTCCCTTCAATTTGGTCGTAACAGAGGTCTTGAGCACCTTCACGTTCTCAACCTGCCGTCTCATTCTCCGTGCGAGCTGCATGGCTCCCTCGGTCAGTTGCGGTGCTATTGCATCGTCCATCCTATCCTCGCTGATGCTCCCGTCCATGATCCGACTCATCTCTTTCAGCTCTTGCGACAGTGTTGTCTTCGTATCTATCTGCTGCGATTCTATCCACCCTTTCCAGTGCTTCACCTCCTCCTCGCATTCCACTAATCTCTTGCTCATGACGTCCGCCTTCTCCGCTGAGCTATTGGCAATTGCACTTGCACATTCACTTGCCACCTTAAGCTTGGCTACGTCGGTCTGCGTATCCACAACCACCGTCTGCAAGTCATCTATCCTGCCGTCTATCTCTCCCAACGACGACTTGTCCGGATCGGCAGGAGTTCTCGTCTTTGCCCGCCTTGGCGGGGATGATGTTGCCCTCATCTCATCGTCCCTGCCTCGTCCTTCAGGAGGTGTATTGATCACGAACTGCTCGTACTGCCCACCTATCCCAGGAGATCGTGGAGCCGGGGATCGATTGCCCCATCCCTCGCTACCCTGATCCGGGGTGATCATTCCTGCCTGATGGATCGGTCCCCCAACTTCGGTCGATTTCGACTTCTTGGCTGCGGGGACGCTCTCGGCTATCTGGTTCATCTCCTTAACGGCCTGCTCCGCTCGTTGCTTACGTAGTCCCTCATCCATCTTGCCTATCTTGCTGGTGGTACCAACTCCATTTTCCGATTCACCCGGGCTATCCCTCTTCAATGACGTAGATCGACCACCTGAGTGCCCACTATCCGACCCCATCGACATCTTTCGTGACCTGTCTTTCCCTATCCCTGCGATCTCGGCACCATATATCCCAGCGTTCCACCGCTCCTGCGAATCCGATTGCATCGTCATGGGCGTTGATCCAGGCTCTCCTGGTCCCTGATCTGTGAAGAACTTCGCAAAGTCCACGTCAGTGATGACCCCCGTTTCCTCGAGAGTACTCCGGATTCCATGGGATCCCCACTCTATTCCGATCGTCGTAGTCTGACACATCCCCATATCTTTCAACGCTTCAACGTTCCCGCCTGGTGATGTCTCCGAGAGGCCTGTAGATGAAAATACAGACAGTGCTCTATCATCGCTCTCACTGATCACGTTCTGCGCTATCGCCGACGATCCCTTAGCTATCAACTCCAGGTTTGTAGGATCGGCACCGACATTCCCAATCATGGTCGCACTATTCGAATACACTCCTGGAACGAGATCATCTCCATTCCCTCTTCCCATCCAATGTCCGCTATCCGCACTTCTCGTTCGATCGCCCTCAGCACCGAGCTCGCCACTAGGCATCATCGCATCTATTCCATCATCATTCCTCCTGATCGTCCTATCATGGTCTGACGAAGATGACACTGCAAGGCTATCCACTCTGTCCTCGATCGCCATTTCTAACCTGGAACCAGTGACTCCCTTGGCACCTCCCGTTGACTCGTAATTCGTCCCGTGGGACACAGGCTCGGAGGGAATGACGAACGGTCCCTCTTCCATCCTTCCATCTATTCCAGCCAGATCCTCGATAGCAAGCGTCGGAGTCCTAGCGTTTCCCGCTTCTATCCCACCTCTTCCGGCCCTATACTCATTTAAATCTGTAGCTCCCATAACTGGATCAAACACTACAGGACTGCTTGCAAGCATGCTGAGCTGCATTACGGCATCCCCTCTATCTTCGATTGATGGGATAGCAAGCAGCTCCCGCAATCCTTCGCCTGCGTCATTCCCCTGAGTGCCTGACATATCCGCTATCCCGGCATAGCCCAGTCCTTCCGATCTCCCCATTCTATCCATCGTCGTCACAATCTCCAAGTTTCTATCCGTCAGTCCTGGGGGTGGTCCTGGCACTAACATACTACCCGCAGCGCTCGACCTAACGTCTACAGTAAGCGGTCCTGACAAACTGAGGCCGAGGCGATCTCTGTCAGCACTACTATCCATCTCCATTCCTGTCCTGCCACTATTCCGTCCGTCGTCGATGAAGCCCATGGTCTCGGCGTCGGCTATGCTTCTCGCATGACTATCAACGGCGGCCACATCCTGGTTGACCGCAGTGACCTGGTCCTCGAGGAATCTATTCCCTGTTCCTAGCACATCACTATCGCTAGACTCACTGCTCCCAATGCTATCACGTGTGGACATTGCTGCAGTCAATGAACACAAATGACAAATGCGGAAAACTTCGCTATGCAAGTGGTACCTCTTCGCTATACCAAGAAAAACTTCTCGAACAGCTCGTCCAGGCCAAGCAACAAGGCTCTTAACCTGTGCGAAGTGTCCAATCCAATGAAAACTTGCGCAACCCGTTCCAGTAACTAGCTCAGGCCACACGAGGAGAAAGAAGTTGTATATTTACAGTTGTAGGTTGTAATGTTGCACCAGAAGTAACAGTATCCCTGTTAACGGGGAACTCAAGGTAGCTAGCCTATCGTTCCAAGCCACTCCCGACGTTAACTATCGGAAGGATCCCCAGAGTTGCTATCTCCAGGGGGTGGTAACCTATCGCTCTAGATGTATCCACTAGCCGTCCGGCTGCGTGTTGTACACCTATCCCGATATTCACCTGAACAGCCACCTGCCCTCAGTATCCTCCGGCCTCCGGCTATGAGTTGTAAAGAGAACAGATAACTATCCCGAGGTTAGGGAAAAGGATCTATTCCTCGTCAACGCCCGACCCTTTTGGCTCCTCTTTCCTCCGGATGCGAGTTGGCCAATCAAGTCCACGACGTACAGGAATACTATCCACGGGGGCGAAAACTGTACAGATTCGGCTGCTACAATACTAGAAGGGCCCTTCTTGAGCAGCTCACAGCTGCGACCGGACATGAAGTCCAACATCTATTCCTGCTCGTCCACGATGAGGTCGATGTCTATCCCAGGCCCAAACCCAAAAGTTACATGTACATCTAAACAGCACCCCATGGAATCAACCTGACCTCTTTGTGCTAAACATTATGTACGGTATCTGGCTTCATCCAGGTACAAAAACAAATAAAGACATATAAAGACAAAAAACTCAAAGAAAACCCAAAAAAAACGACCAAGACAAACGAAGACGTTTTTGCTTATAGCCCTAAACAGACAGACGAAGATGAGGATCTAACCCGCGGAATCTGGACCCCAGATAGCACTCAAGGAATCATCATGAGAACACACAGTCAAGGCACGGCCCAGCAGCCTCATGTAATTAATGAACTCGAGTCAACGCCCTCCCCACCACCTCCTCCACCCGCCACCCCCTCATTATTCTGCTCTGGAAGCCTGGGTCGGAGGGGTGGAGGGGATGGGCCTGAAAGCGTCCCCAAATCCGAAACACAAACCCCCAAATCCGGTACTCCTAGACCTTAAAGCCTTAAAAGCTCTGAAGCTCTAGAGACACCAAACCCTCAAATAAAAAATGAAAAGCCTGCCAACCCTAAACCTCAAAGAGCCCAAGAACCCTTCAACAAAACAACTCAGAACACCAACCCTAAATCCCAAACCTTGCAGACCCTGCCTGGAGACCTAAAACTCAAAAACATTAAAGGCCCAAACCGCAGCAAACCGTGAAAGAAAACTGAAAACCTTCAAATCTAAGCCCCTAGTAAACCTTCAACCCAAATTCTAAAAAACATCTAAAGACCCTAAACATACTGAACGGATTGCCACAAGTCTACTAAACCCGAACCCCAAACAGCCTATGAGCTCAAAAGCCCGTGGCTACATGTCTTCTTTGTTGCTCTGTTGGGTGTTCTTTGGTGCTTATTGTTACCGACTGCGATCCCGAACGCGAGGCCCCTTTTGGCAGCAGATCGCAGATGGTGAGCCCCGAGTCCCGAACTCGACGATGTATTTCTTGGCCAGCCCCAGGGCTGAAAGAAGCAGTGTCAAAGGCGGATTGTCAATCTTCGTGACGTAAACCTCATGATTCAGTCACGAGAGCATTTTGCTCCGGTGGCAAGAGGAAAGCCCGAGGCTCCTGCCGGGTTCTTGCCCGGGCTTCCCCAAATTCCCACGCCTCTCTCCTTGGTCTTTGAATATGGTCAAGGCTGCAGCACAAGGTACAAGGTAGCATTTGGGGCGTGCCTAAGGCCTAAACGGACGTCCAGGACCCAGTCGGCGGAGCAGAGGGGGTCCCACCTTTCTGGCTGAAGTCCCACCTGCAGGGTGAAGCTAGCTCTTTTTTGCTTCCATTCTTCTTCTCATTCTCATTCTTCTCATTCTTCTCATTCTTCTCCTTCTTATCCTTCTTCTGCATCTTCTCCTTCTTCTTCTTCTTCTTCTTCATTTTCTTCTTCTTCTTCTTCTTCGTCTTCTTCTTCGTCTTTCTCCTTCTTCTGCATGCTTTAGGGCCCCCGAAGGGACCCGGCCTCAACGGCCAAATGGTTCAGTCGTCTGTGGTTTAGGTTCCCGTTTAGGGTCCTTAGCGACTTCTACAGGCTTTGGGTCTTCCCCGAGCTGACCCTATCTTGTGGTCCGCAACTTCGTCCTTCACGTTCTCTGCAGACCACAGGTGCTCCAACCTGAAAGATCTCGAGATGGGAACTGCCACACTCGCCACTACATCTCCACCGGCTACAGAGACGATGGTTCGTGACTGTCTTGAGATGTCCTGTTCGGCGATCCAGGGCTCGCGCAAGATGCGGTCATTCGCCTGCTTGCATGATAGGCTGTGCGCTCAGTTGCATCAATGGCTAAGCCGACAACAGTCTCGCACATTAACAGGTGTGGTGACGTCCAGCACTCAATGGTGAAAGCATGATCAAGCTCCAGCAATTTTGGCCGCAGCAATCCAACTGCTTCCAAGCCAAGCCTCGTCACTGTCCTCATCGTCATCGCCATCTTCTTTCCAAGACAGCTTCCTGACATTGGGACATTGGGGGCTGGCATGGTTGGCGGTTTGCCTGTCATGCGCCTTGTGCATTGTTCAACCGTCGGTGCCAAACGATCCCATGACCCATTGGTGCATATGGCAATTGATACCAGCACCCCTCAACACTTGGACTTCCTGCAACTCAAGCTACCAGCAAGGGCCGTCTTGATCTTCATCACTGCCTCTGTAAAGCAGAACCTGGATCAGTTTCCAGAAGCATCATGCCGTGCCATGCCGTGCCCATTGCACAGTGGCAAGGGCCTGGTTGCTGTTCAAGAACTTCGGGGATCCCCTGAAGATGCCGGCGGCCTCCGGCAAGCTGAGGAAGGCCGGCTTGGGAGCAAGGGAGCATGTACTACAATGTATACCTGTAGAAACAGGGCATGGGCTCGTTGAGACAGATCCAGGCTAGAGGAAGACTTTTTGTGACAATGAGGGCAGCGCCTGGTCTTTGCGGACATGCCAAGAGGTGCATCGAATGAACCAACACTCAGTTCGCTCATCCGTGAGAAAACTTACGGCCACCTTGCTCATCTTATCTGCTTGCGCTGCGGAGCATGCCATGAGATGCTTTGCATCCGGGGAAACTGGCAGGCAGCGGGAAAAGGGCAAGCGGCCTTCTAACCGACAACCCAGTGCTGGCATGAGCCATTAGCTGGATCTCCGAGACCAGATCCAGACCAGCGTTTCATGGTAGTGATCCTCTGACCGCCAGAGGAACTAAGGCAGTGTCTCGCGTCACAAGTCACTTCGGCTCAGCTCGCTATCCTGCTGGGCAGAAGCACGTTCTTGCGAGCGGTGGATCGCCCCTGCCCCTGCCTCAGGAATGTGCACAAACTCCTTTGGAACATCCTTAGCTTGTGTCCGGGTCAGTCATCTTAACTCCATGCGGCGAGACGAGATGGCATATACCATATTTCTGATTCTGGCAGTGTCCATACTTGGCCCAGGGGCGTCGAACTGCACAAAAAGGTGGCCGTACCGCTTCACCTGTCAATGCGAGGGATCCGGGATGAGTGAATCCAAACATGCCTTTCTTTCAGCTGCTGCCAAGTTTCCAGGTCGAAATACAGCTCGGCCTGTCGGGTTGCGTGGTGGCGCTCCGAAATCAAACCCGAGTCTACGCAGGGTTCCTGGCCTCTTTGCCCTTCCACTGGGAGAGCTGCGACTCTAAAGTCTGCGTGTCCAGCATGGACTCGTTGTACAGTCTGTAGAAAGTTTCCAAGTACTCCCCTGAGCTCATTCACTGAAGAAGTATCAACTATCACTGAGCGCACACACGCACACACACACACACACAAACACACAGACACGCAGACACACACACACACACACACACAAACACACAAACACACACAGACACACACACAAACACAAACACAAACACACAACAGTGCGCATGCCCACACCGGTGCGCATGCCCCCCGCTCACGCGCGCGCATGGGCGCACTATTTTGTTTTACTATCACAGCCGGGCTAAGCCCTCAAGTCTTCAAGCTCGATATTGCTCAGTCACAGGATAGCCTTTACAGAAACTTCCCAGCAGCGGGCGCGCAATCTCGCCAGGCTAAAGAACTACAATACAGATAAGGAAACAAATGGCCAAGACTTAAGGCTTCGAAGGACACAGAAAGCAAAATTGCAAAGTATGAAAAAATTACGCCGGCGACGACCCCAAACAGTAAGATTGTAGATCAAGGGAAAGCGGCATGAAACAATAACGCGACGCGTAGAACTCGGCAGGCCGAGTTTACAATCAGAAAAATTGGGCTCAGTATGGAGGCGTGGGTTTCAAGCTTCTTTTTGGAGCTGCCAGGGGTCGGAACAACCCTTTCCCAATCCAAACGAGGGATCGACATGGATGTCCCAGCGCTGCCCACATGCATTTTGCCAGGCCTGAAAAATGCATTTGGTCTTGCTTTCTACATTTTCAACGCCATGCTCTCTCTTTCTGTACTTTTTCAAGGGCAAAAAAAGCTGAGTGCATATAGGCACGCGCGAAAAAAGCAGTTGCGCATTCGCCTCTTCTGTACGCAGCTTGTCTTTACGACAAAAGATCAACTCTTAATTCAATTGTATTGTGGTTGTGGAAGGAGCAAGCTGCGCGAATGCATTTCGCCCACTTTGAAAAATGCACCTGAGCATGTTCTTCCTGATTCTGGGTCTGTTTTGGTACTCCTGCAAAATGTCGAACATTGTTCTAAACAAGTTTTTCAATTACTATAGCTACTTTTATGCATCAGAAGAATCGAATACGTCATGAGCCAGCAGAAACCAAAACTAAACATGATAGGAAACCAGTGCCAAATGCATTCTTCGGGCAACGAAAAATGCATTTGGAATGCCCTAGAAATGCATGTCGGGTAGATGTTGGTCGTAAAACACCAATCTATTCTTTTGCTTTGTTTTCGTTTGTTTTTCATGCTGAAATGGAGCAAGGATAACCGACTAGACATGGATGACCAGACGCTGCCGAATGCGTTTTGCCAGGCCTGAAAAACGCATTTGGTCTTGCTTTCCACATTTGCAACGCCGCGTGCTCTTTCTGCACTTTTTCAAACCGAACACAGCTGAATGCATTTGGGCACAGGCGAAAAATGCATTCGGACTTTGGTTTCTTCCGTACGGGGCCTCTGTCTTTGACACAAAAGTCAGCTATCAAGTGAGTTTTTTGTTGTGGCTTTGGAAGGAGCAAGCTGCGCGAATGCATTTTGCCTGCTTTGCAAAATACATCTGGGCACGTTGCTTCTAATTTTAGGCCCCTTTTCGGGAATTTTGCGAAACGGTGATTATGGTTCTAAACGCGTTCAAATCCTATATATAGATTCTAGATGTTCTTACGCGCAGAAAGACATGAAATTTAGAAGTCCTGAGCCGGCAGAACCCAAGATTGCAACATGATAGGAAACCAGTGCCAAATGCGTTTTTCGGGCGACGAAAAATGCATGTGGAATGCCCTCAGATGCATGTCGGGGAAATGTTGGTCGTAAAATACCAATAGACATGGATGTCCAAGCGCTGCCCGAATGCATTTTGCCAGGCCTAAAAAAAGCATTTGGTCTTGCTTGCCACATTTGCAACGCTGTGCTCTTTTTGTGCACTTTTTAGAAGGCGAAAACAGCTGAATGCATTAAAGCACGGGCGAGAAATGCATTTGGACAGAGGCTTCTTCTGTACGCAGCCTCTGTCTTTGCGACAAAAGATCAGCTTTTAACTCAATTCGATTGTGGGTTGTGGAAGGAGCAAGCTGCGCGAATGCATTTTGCCCGCTTTGAAAAATGCATCTGAGCATGTTCTTTCTGATTCTGGGTCCACCCTGCCTCCGCCCCTCTCAACCCCTGTCGCTCATGATCAGAGACCATCGGAGACCACGGACCCAAGCGCGTGACACCCCCCCAGTCCCTGTCGCTCACCACGGACCCGAACCGCGTGACACCCGCCCGGCCCCATTGCGCTCATGGTCGGAGACCATGGGAGACCACGAACCCAAGCGCGTGACACCCTCAACCCCTGTCGCTCATGATCGGAGATCACGGGAGACCACGGACCCGGACCGCGTGACACCCGCCCGCCCTGCTGCACGCGCTCGTGATCCCAGACCGTGGGAGCCCGCGGACCCAAACGCGTGAACGCCCTCTCAATGCCTGTAGCTCACCACGGACCCGAACCGCGTGACACCCGCCCGGCCCCATTGCGCTCATGATCGGAGATGTTGGGAGACCACGAACCCATGCGCGTGACACCCTCTCAACCCCTCTCACTCATGATCGGACACCATGACAGACCACGAAACCGGACCACGTGACACCCGCCCAGCGTGCTCAGAGACCATCGGAGACCACGGACCCAAGCGCGTGACACCCCCCCAGTCCCTGTCGCTCACCACGGACCCGAACCGCGTGACACCCGCCCAGCCCATTGCGCTCATGGTCGGATACCATGGAGACCACGAATCCAAGCGCACGACACCCTCTCAACCCCTGTCGCTCATGATCGGAGATCACGAAAGACCACGAACCCGGACCGCGTGACACCCGCCAGCCCCATTGCGCTCATGATCGGAGACCGTGGGAGACCGCGGACCCAAACGCGTGAACGCCCTCCCAATGCCTGTAGCTCACCACGGACCCGAATCGCGCGACACCTGCCCGGCCCCATTGCGCTCATGATCGGAGATGTTGGGAGACCACGAACCCATGCGCGTGACACCCTCTCCTCCAACCCCTGCCACTCACCACGGACCCGAACCGCGTGACCCGCCCCATTGTGCTCACCATGCGAGACCGTCCAGGCGCGCGACACCCTCTCAACCCCTGTCGCTCATGATCAGAGATCATGGGACACCACGGAGCCGGATCGCGAGACACCCGCCCATGAGGAGACCATGGGAGACCACGAACCCAGCGCACGACACCCTCCCAAGCTTGTTGCTCATGATCGGAGTCCATGGGAAATCACGGACCCGAACCGCGCGACACCCGCCCAGCCATTGCGCTCATGATCGGAGACCACGGAAATCCACGGACCAAGCGCACGACACCCTCCCAACCCCTGTCGCTCATGATCGGAGACCACGAAGAGCCAGCCGAACCCGGACCGCGTGACACCCGCCGAGATTGTGCTCGCGCTGGGAGATCATGGGAGTCCATGAACCCAAGCGTGTGACACCCTAGAGACTATGGAGAACCCTGTCGCTCATGATCCGAGACCGTGGAGATCACGGACCCAAGCGCGTGACACCCTCCCAACCCCTGTCACTTCACAGACCCTGGAAACCATGGACCGTGTGACACCCACCCGGCCCTATTGCGCTCATGAGGAGACCATGAAAGACCACGGACCCCATTCTGAGGGAAAAACCACAGGCCCGAAGCGCGTGACACCCAAGGCTCCAGTACCCCCAATTGGCCCAATTGTGCTCATGATCGGAATTCGTGCTCATGATCGGAGACCATGGGAGACCATGGGAGACCACAGGCCCGAAGCGCGTGACACTCACCCGGCCCCCAATGGCCCCAATTGTGCTCATGATCGGAGACCGTGCGAAACCGCAGGCCCGAAACGCGTGATACCCGCCAGCGACCACAGGCCCGAGCGCGTGATACCCACCCGGCTCATGATCGGAGATCATGGGAGGCCCCAATTGTGCTCACGACCGGAGACCGTGGGAGACCGCAGGTCCCAAACGCGTGACGCCCGCCCACGACCACAGGCCCGAGCGCGTGACACCCACCCAGCTCATGATCGGAGACCATGGGAGACCACAGGCCCGAAGCGCGTGACACCCGCCCGCCAATTGGCCCCTATTGCGCTCATGATCGGAGACCATGGAGACCACAGGCCGCGAAGCGCGTGACACCCACCCGGCCCCAATTGGCCGCAATTGTGCTCATGATCGGAGACCACGTGGGAGAGCACAGGCCCGAGCGCGTGACACCCACCCGGCCCCAATGGCCCCAATTGCGCTCATGATCGGAGACCGTGGGAGACCACAGGCCCCGAAGCGCGTGACACCCACCCGCCCCCAATTGGCCCCAATTGTGCTCATGATCGGAGACCATGGGAGACCGCAGGCCCGAGCGCGTGACACCCACCCGGCCCCAATAGCCCCAATTGTGCTCATGATCGGAGACCGTGGGAGACCACAGGCCCGAAGCGCGTGACACCCCCGAGCACGTGACACCCACCCGGCTCATGATCGGAGACCATGGGAGACCCCCAATTGTGCTCATGATCGGAGACCGTGGGAGAGCGCAGGTCCCAAACGCGTGACACCCGCCCACGACCACAGGCCCGAGCGCGTGCCACCCACCCAGCTCATGATCGGAGACCATGGGAGACCACAGGCCCGAAGCGCGTGACACCCGCCCGCCAATTGGCCCCTATTGTGCTCATGATCGGAGACCATGGAGACCACAGGCCCCGAAGCGCGTGACACCCACCCGGCCCCAATTGGCCCCCATTGTGCTCATGATCGGAGACCACGTACAGGCCCGAGCGCGTGACACCCGCCCGGCCCCAGTGGCCCCAATTGTGCTCATGATCGGAGACCATGGGAGACCGCAGGCCCGAGCGCGTGACACCCACCCGGCCCCAATAGCCCCAATTGTGCTCATGATCGGAGACCATGGGAGACCACAGGCCCGAGCGCGTGACACCCACCCAGCTCATGATCGGAGACCATGGGAGACCACAGGCCCGAAGCGCGTGACCCCAATGTCCCCAATTGTGCTCATGATCGGAGACCATGAGAGCCACAGGCCCGAGCGCGTGACACCCACCCGGCCCCAATGGCCCCAATTGTGTTCATGATCGGAGACCATGGGAGACCACAGGCCCGAAGCGCGTGACACCCATCTGGCCAAGCGCGTGACGCTTTTTCTTTCTGAGGAGAGGACCCCAAACGGTTCCTGTTTGGGGAACTAAAAGAACCCTGACAGCTCCTGCCCTCAGTTGCAAACGAGGCCCACGCCGAGCGTCGCAAGACACAAGGCACTGTCACGGGTCTTTGGCAAGGATATTTTCTGGGAATTCATGTCCAAAATCCAAAGCCAACTTGACAGAGAGGTGCGCATCTTTGGGCCCCCCGAAGAGGGGAAGCGGGGCAGGCGATGAGACGAAGTCTAGGGTGTAAGGCTGGGAATCCTTGTGTTTCTGCAGAACGGTTGGTAAAAACGCCAACCAGAGTTCAAAAGTTTTACTTGACAGAGTGCATCCAGGAGAAGGTTTCTCGACCCAGCCCACGCACACAAACTCGCGAGCGCACACCTGACTTGGCAAGCCTTCCCTGCGCATGGTAGAACCACTCTGCAAAGGTTGGCTAACTGAGTCAACGGCTGTGCTTCTGGCCTGCCTTCACTGGGAACGACTGGCATCAGCTTACATTTGCCAACATTGCCCAAATTGCAGGTGCCTCGTCCTTGGGAACGCATTGGCAGGAATCTTGTTGAGAGGCTTTGTGAAAGCCTCCGGGAGATGGAATCCAAGCACGGTCTCAAGAAGTGAGCCCTGCTATAGCCCGCTAGAGACGCTAGAGCAAATCAAACCACTTCAGAGAGGTCGCGGCAAGGCTGCCGGGTCACTGACGACACTGACATTGCAGCATTGCTTCTGGTGCAATTCTGGTGTAATTCTGGTGGCCTGAGCCAAAGACTTTCGTCATTGACGAGAATGATTGGGCCTGGAGGCGAAAGGAATCTCATTCGAAGGCCGTTGAAAGCACCACACTGAGCCAGACATTGTTACAATTTGTTCCATGTGCTACACATGTTGCCAGGATTCAGATCGTTACACCGTTCAAACTGACAGCTAACCCGTAAAAGAAATCAAACAAAATCAAAACATATCAATCGCCTGTTGCTTGCACTCCTGATGCTCTCCAGATAACGGAGTTTGGCAGACCTCGGCATGGCCAGACCCTCGCAGCTAAGAAGCTTCCAGCCGTGTCGGTGCTTTTCGAATTCAGTTTCCGGCTTCCTTCATGCACTTGGAGAACTCGTCCTGTCAGCGACAAACTCACAATTCAGGTCGATGTCTGACTTTGCACCGCAACGACCACGCACGGAACAGAATGGCACGTTTTGACTATCAGTCTCCTCGCAGAAGTCGTGTGAGGTCCCGCATACAGAAAAGCATACATCGTGGCCTTGGCCAGGTTCCCAACTTCAACAATGTTAGCTTCGTCAGCTTCCTGACCCTTGGAGGTCCGGTATGAAGAATCACCAATGTCAAGAAGGTCTCAAGCATCGTCTCGCGCGATACTTGGGCCTTCGACTGTTGCAGCAGCGAAACAATCCATGCGGCTCCTGAGACAGCCACTGGGGTAGCTTTCTAGATTCGAGTCCCGTTTTGGGTCCCATCTATAGTATGGCACCCTTAAAACAGAGCCCCAAAAGGGACCCTAGTTTAGAGAACTGCCCACTGGAAATATGGCCACTTCACTCACTCACTCCCGCACACGCACACACCCATGCCCAACGCTGTGTCGCCACACCCCTTTAGGTCAGTATGGGCATGCGAACGCGCAATGTGCAAGCGCTGCCTTCACCACCAGGCCCTGCGGACCACAGCCGTTGGCAGTCATGCGTGAATGTTGGTCCTGGCTCACGACCCGGCGTGCTTCTTTGCTTTTGCTGCTTGTCCCCTTCAACTCAACAGAAGCAAACAGAAATCAGTCACAAACGCTGCAGTCGCTCCAGCTTGGGGACGGGAGACTGACCAGCGGGGCAGGCGTCTGCGCGCGGTGATCCTTTCGGGGCACTCTTCGAAGCGCGTGAGACAAATTGAGACATCAAGCTGAAACAAGGAGCCACATTTTGCAACACCGGGTCGGCGCCTTTGCCGCCCTTGCCGGTATTCTGCAGCGCTCCCAGGCCTGCTGAGAGGGGCTCTCGAGGGCAGCAAGCCACAAGTCCAATGGCCTTCGAAGAGAGCGCCCAAGTCAAGATCCGGCTGCTTCGCTGCGCCTGCATTGCACGCGACATCTTCCCTCAGAGAAGTACAGCAGCTTCCGGAAACCCATCAATCCAAACAGCTTGGCCCATTTCGACGTGATCAGGGGCTTTGAACTGAGTATCCACCCCGACCAGAGCCTGCTGGACATGCAGCGATTGTTCTACGTTAAAGTAGTTTTGAAAGATTTTTCCCAGCCCCTTGTCTAGAACAATCGCACCTGTAGTCTTCAAGCACTTCCCATTGCAGACTGAAGGTACCCACAATCGAGCAACCGCTGGTCACTTGCCAACCGACCCTGCAGCCCCAAAGAGGGTACCTGAGAACCAAAGCCATGCAGCGAGCGCACAGAGCCGCGCCATGTGGGGCTCTTCACGAGGCGGCCTAAGCCCTACTCACTCTGTTGCCATCCATACGATTCAGGCTTAGGGGTTCTGAGCATTGATCCCCATAAGATATCACTCAGTGGTAAAGCATTCAAAAAACATCGCCGGTCACTGGATGAGGCGAGACTCATCAACGCTGACTTACGAAGCAATGCCAACCAAAGGATCATAGCTCGTTGCCTCAACTTAGGACTTCAGGGCAGTTTCCGGGGTTAGGTTTTTGGGTGCGTTGTCTGCAACGGCTCATGGTTGCCAACCCTTATCGTGGTGTCTACGCCTGTTGTGCTTGAGAGTTGCAGCTGCCATCGGTGAAGTCTGCTCTTGAGGTGTTAAGGGTAAGGAATCAATACTCCATACAGTCCACAGCGAGCATCTGGTGACCCACCAAGGCTGTCGTGCAGTCCTGGTAAATTTGCTGCTAACTGACTCCCCCGCCCCCCCTCCCCCATGGGACCGTGTAGATGCCGTTGAGCAGGCTGGCACTGGCTGGTTCGGCATCTTCAGGAGCTGTCACCTCAGTGGTTCATCACCTTTACCCCCTCTGCTACATTGCTTTATATTGCTTTACCGCATGTTGACGGTCGCATGAGTCGCATGTCCCACTGCCGCAGCGGTGCTTGGAAGTGGGGCGTCCCTGACAGGCCATCCCAGTCAGCCTCATCCACCTGGGACGAAGGAATCTTGTCAGTCCTGGACGTTCCAAGGAACGTTTGTTGCCTGGCCAGTGTACAGTAGCCGGAGGAAGAAGAGCAGGTCAGCTCGGGTCCTCGTGCGTCTTGCGCGACGGCGCGTAACGGCGCGTAACGGCGCGGGAAACAAGTGCATACACGTGCAAGATGTCACGACATTGACCCATTGGATCCCATTGGCCCTTGGCGACGTTGGGATCCTTTCGGTCTTTCGGGCTACTCTTTGGCCTGCTCTCTGGGCTGCCAGCACATCCAAAAGCTCGATTGTCTTGGTCCGACCTGGAGTTGCGAACTTTTCATCATTCAGCAACCCGTCACGTATCCTAACGTACTTATGTTTGCGTGACCTGGAGGCTGAGATACTGGCCCTCTGACATCTCAGTGTTGAGCATCTGTCGAAATGGCTGTGAGACTGCTCGAAGCACAGCCGAGTGGGCAGTGGCTGTTCCATCCTGTCCCCGCAGCTCAGCATGCTGCAGGCAGCGCTCAACTTTCTTGAGGGGAAAGGCAAAGCCAAGAAATGCCTCATGTCCAAACAAATTCCAACAGTGCAGTCTCTTGTCTCGAAGCTGGGCACCTTCGTCTGGAAGCGAACATCCTGGACACATGGACGACTTTGATTGGCAGCCGCACGTGACTTGCACAAGTGAATGAACCCTAGCTTAGAAACGCGACTAGCTCACATAGCATGTCAAAACCTGCCCCAGGAATGCATGGCCCTCCATATGGCAGTCACAAAGCTTTACAGGCAAGGCAGTCTTGCCGGGGAAGATGGATCGGGTCCTTGCCCTCTTCGTCTGCGAAGAGCAACTGCAGGGGAGGTCAGAGTGCAATTTTGGACACGAGATCGGAGAGAAGGCAACACGAGTCAGTTTTCGTTGCACAGATGCGATGGTCTTCCAAGCCCTTTTCAGATCATTGACTGGGTGACCGGTAGTCGGGAAAATGGGTGGAAAACGGAGTGAACCGAGTCCACAAACACAAAAGACCGAACCTGAAAACAGTACAGCACGACACAGAAAATAAGACAGCATGAGTCAGAAAACAAAAGGGGACATGAATCCAGCGTGTCCATCTAAGATCCTGAAACCCTCAACCTAGAACCTTTAACCATCTTTAACCCAAGCCAATCATCTTCTAAGGCTGTCCGCTCTCCACGCTGTGGTTTCAACTTGGGCTCAGGGCCTCGTTGTTTTCAACTCGAGGTGACTGGTACTTGTCTGAGCGTCTCTATAGAGCTCCATAGATGATTGGCATTGTGACGGCTGGGCAGATGGAAGAACAGCGCTCCGTTTGCTGGGGCTTGAGCTTCGTCTCCATCCGTAAAGAGGCAAACTTTCAACATACTGATGCTGCGCTGAACTACGCTGCAATACACCACACAGCGGCGCCTCACCAAAGTTGAGATAGCTGGTCCGCACGCAGGAATACCTTGACGGCACGAGGTCTGTCTGCCCCTTGCAACATTTGAGCCATACAAACCTGCTGCGTTTTTTTTGGCTTGCAGGCCGAAATTCCGAGACAAACCAACTTTTGTTGGTATTCTCCAGGTGACAATGTGTCACTTGTATGTACACCGCGAAGGCTACCAGTTCCCCTGCTGATAAAGCAAATGCCAATACTAGTGGTGAAGTATTGGTGCGCTTTTGTCGGCAAGCACCTCCGTATTGTGAGCTTCTTTTGCCTACCACCAGCCCTTCTCCTTCCCCACGGTCAGAGTCCGCTCAGGGTGGAAGCCTGATTGGCGTTTCTTGATAGACGAAGCTGCAATAGATGTAAAAACGACAACATGCAAGTACCATGCACATGAGACATGCGGAGGAAAGCTCGAAAGCTCCGAGGAACCCACGTGCATTTTGCTCTTGAAGGCTCAGCTGCCTTTGCCCTGCTGCACTCCGAAGGCTGCGGCGTAGCACCGCCTACAGCAGGGATCAGAACTGACATCTCTGGGGCACTGAGTCGCTACGACTTGCTTCCGAAGGCTCTTCCAAGGCAGCGATGCGCCTCCGCCTCCGCCATTTCGAAGTGCAGCTGCTGTCGGAAGCTTTGGCCCTGCCGCACCTCTGACGTCATCAGTAAGTCTGCTCTCATCTCCCCAAAGCACGACTAAAGCACGTCTGCGCCTTGCGCCCCAGAAGATTCCTTGCCTGCACCGGTAGTTTTCCGCAGGCGAAGTGGACAAGTTACAGATTTGCAGCTTCTATAGACATTCCACGCAGGGACGTTCATAAGCTAGTGTTTCGGGCACAGATTCGCCTTAAACATCTCAGTTGTGCGAAAACTGCCTGCACAATTTTCTCCACCTCTTCTTTGCGCATCGGCCTGCCTCAATCCAAATTTGGCAGGGGTGTCCGTCAGAGACATTTACTTTGCAAGTGGCGGATGATGTCCTGCCTGGAAAGCGCTTCGTATGCTCTTGGTCCATCATTTCCATCTGCCTCAGAGCTGTCATCAGCGGCCACAGGGGTGGCTCACTCTTCTCATGTAAGGGCACGGCACCATCTGCTCAGTCGCTCTCTTGAGCTCCTTGCGCTCTTCCCTGCATAGAGAAATGCGCCATTGAATCCGAGAACAGGGAAGACATCCCAGTAAGGCACCACTTTCAACAACTGCAATCCGGGCACCTTAGCCTGTCCCTCCAATTCCTGCAGTGGCTTGAGAGCTGAAAGCCCGACAAACCCGGCACTCTGTGCCTTGAGGCAAATCCGAGACGAGTCTGAGACGATGACCAGAGCTTCATTTGGAAGATTGCACGCTTAAGGAGCATCTGGGCCTCAAAGCTCAAGCACCCAATGTTGCGACATAAGCCACCATGCCGGCAACTCCGAGACTCTGGCTGGAGCGGACGCTCGCACTGCAGTGCCTCCACAGGTCTTGAACTCCTCGATGCTGAGGCCTCGGCTCTGCAACAGCTCACACCCCACAATGTCGGCTTACCACGTACAGCCCACTCCTCCTCTTGCCTGTTTCTTATACCCGGTCCTTCTTGGGCAAAGGCTGAGCTTCTCCGCGGAGAAAGAAGCATCTGCCATAGCCCACGTCAGAAGCCTGCATGCCTTCACGGAGCCACTGTACGGGTCAGCAGCTCACATATTATGGCACGCCATCAACGCGTTAACACATGTGAACCCATGTGAACCCATGTGAACCCATGTGAACCCATCTTCTTGCCTCCGAAAGCTGGCCACTTTCCACGCCCTGCTCCTCAAGTGCCACAACCAAAAGCTCGGATTTCAGCAAAGCTAAGGAAAGGTCCTTGGCAGTTTGCTCCATCATGCGGAAGCGGTTAAGCACGATCACCCGCCTCAGATTCCAGAGATGCACGTAGGGCTCATGTTTTGTAACCATGTCGAGGCCCGCCTTTGTGCCTCCACCAGAATTGCATTATCCATGCCTCCCACGACAACACCCGTGTCCCATGGCCGGCTGTAAGACGAAGAAGCGTGTGCTTCGTGTCACCAGGGCCGAAATATGAAATCTACGGAGACGAATATCATGATGTGTTAACCATTTTTAGGTCTCGCCTTCTGCTTCTGGCACCGGCTGGCCATCGCTTGGGCGTTTCGGAGCCACGGCCCTCCTGAAGCGCTTGACCTGCTTTCAAAGCGTAAGGACGTCACGGACGTCATCAAGCTGTGAAAAGACGTGAAAAGACGAGAGGAAGGAGATTTTGACAGTCTGATGCATGTCGAAATTTCCATGATCCTCATGCGCAGTGACATGCTCAGACGCTCCGGCCCGGTCCAGGACCTGCTGGATGAGGTCGTCACGCTTGCCTTGGAGACAGTATGACTCTCAGTCTACGCCTCTGAGATACTCTGAGGATCTTCTGCGCCATGCCCCTGGTACATCACGATGCTTACTATTACTTACCATACGCTAAAGTCGCTAAAGCCCAGTACATCGAGCACCAAGCCCACAGACAGCGATGCCAGCTCGGCTTCACTGCTGAGAAGGCCGTGCGTGCGAATCTGCAAACAAGGGACCAGCAAGTGGTTTTGTGCCATTGGGTGCCTCACCCATTGCAAGGACTAGTACACAATCCGTGCGCAGAGCCTCTGAAACCATTGTCTGACCTGAACACTGCAATCGAGGATTGAGACACATGCAGCAAAATGGATGCATTTCCGCGACCAACCCTCTCTCAAACGACTGCGACCAATCCAACCGAGAGCCACACATGCTTCGTCAAGCTCCGCATTCAGTTCGAAGATGTCCGCGGTCTGCAAGTTGGTGGGGTTGCTCTACATTGAGGAATGAGGGCTGCGATCCTTTTCATAACCGATTCTGACCTAAAAGCTGCCTAGAGGTAAGCCCTCACCTTTAAACAGGCAACATGTAATCAACCACAAGAAAGGCTGCCGAATCAAGGGTGAAATTAAAAATCCGCCGAGGCCCGAGGAATTTGAGGTCCAGGTCTACGAAAGCTTCTGAGTTTTGTGGCCCGGAATGGGTACCCCCCCCCCATCAGTGTCCCGCGGACGAAATCTTGCTGGAAGGTTGACAATGATGTTTGCGGAGCCTTCGCGATGAGTTCTTGGCATTTGTACCGAGAAAATGATATCAGCGCAGTACTCGTAGTAGCAAACGTAAAACGAGCCTGCTAGCAACCAGCAACGGCGAGCGGGGGTGGGAGTGGTCGATTTGACTTGGCCAGGGCTGAGGCCAACGTGCTCGGCGATTATGACTAACAAGGAGGCGCACACTCGCCATTTGATACAAGACAACGTTTGGGTACCTAGACCACAGCAGATCTCTGTAAAATACCCATGTTTTCGGCTTGGACCAGCAAGACAGGTTTACTCGCTGAGACGTGAAAGCTTGAACATGTGGACCTTCCCACAGCCCCTTACGGCGCCGCCTCCTAAAAACAAAAACAACCAAGCAAAACTGGAACGCAGTAAAAGCAAAACTGTAAGCAGCACAGAAACCATGAAGCCCAGAACCTGCCCAAAAGCCCAAGCCAAAAAGCCCAAAGCCGAACAGAGCGAAAGCGAAGGACCTGACAAGCCAAGAACAAAGCCAGGAAAGCCACCAAGCCCACACGCCTAGAGACAAGAGCTATGCTGCCCTTAATTTGGGTGTTTGATGCTTTTTTGCGTCTTGATCCCTTTCCCAGCCACACAAGTCATGTCAGGACACCATTCAGAAGACAGAGACAAAGGATATCATGAGGCTTCACGGGATTGAGTGGGTTGGCCGCCTCCCCTTCCTTCTTCCCTCCGACGGGTCTCAGGACTTCGAGCCTGCAATGGGTCGTGATGATGCATGCAATTCTTCCCTCCTTCCCCGACTGTGCCACATGAAAAACAGTGAAAGATCACATGCTAAAAGCATGTGCTTGAAAATCAGACAGGATTGCGCAAGGACCGGCGGGTTGTGCCGAAGCTCCTGCAAACACTCGCCCAGAGTACGCACTTCGACACGCCGAAAGCTTCGCTGCGGGACTGCCTCAACCATCTGCTCTGCGCCGGACAGCCCGTTCATTCCTCATAGACCAACTTCATGCACAAGTCAGCAGGTACTTGTAAGGACTGCGTGCTGCCAAGAGCAGGGCGTACGATAAAGTCGCCACTGCACAGCCTCCACCTGCAGGTCGTGCTGGTGGAAGGACATGCTTGTTGAGACGGTCTTACCAGCTTTGGAACTTGAGGGCTGTGGATTTGGGATTCGTGCAGCGCCGTACTGGAATGGCGCAGAGCAATCTGGATCTCTGGGGAAGATCACTGTGTCTACATACGCATCCTCAAACACAGCGCGGGATGCCCCTCACATCCCCTTGCTCTGAATGTCATGTCAAAGCCCCCGATGCATGCACCGGTTAGAGCGATGCACAACCACAGCGAGCTGCCCAAACAAATGGTGCCCAAGCCTCCACACTAGCAGCGCACTCGTTACTAAGTCTATGGCGCTGCGTGCCACATACCAACATATTGGCACCCCCTTCAGGAAAGTAGTTGCAGCTCACGAATGCGTTGGTACGAAATGCATGAAGAGACCAGTCTTCGCACTGACAAGCGCTCTTAGATTGTTGGTAGTTGCATTGGCTCTGTATCGTCTGCATCGCCCGTACAACTGGTCATTGGGTGCCCCGCGGGACAGAATGGTTGCAAAGCTTGATGACGTGCCTTGGGTGTACAGAAAGAGGCGATGTCGAACGAGAAGGTTCTACGAGCTTCCTTTGAGATTCAGACGCCTCCGGGCCAGGCGACGTACCCTCGTTCACTACGTACAACGTGTTTCCGCCTCAAGTACAAAACTCGACGCGCCCAGCCTTTGCATGGGGCTGCATTCGGAAGAGCCTTCCTCGCTGACTTCCAGACCCTTCGGCCGACCATGAGGGAGCACGAGGGACAGCCTGAGCCATTATGGACGTGAGCAGCCTGCACCACTGCACCGCGCAACCTTCTCACAAAATCCTCACAGATAATGACTCAAGCATCCAAGCATTAAACAGCTGCCTCAACAGGTGAATGGCCACAAGCCCTGGGGCTTCGACTTCAGGAGCCTTCTTCTGCTGAAAAGCCTCGCAATGCAGCGCTGGGACAATATTGGGACATGTGGGGGCTTGTCTGATATCTTTGTTGTGCAGAAGCCCAGTGCATACCATGGCTACCTGCGCACTGGGGCAGCGGCTCACAGGGCTCCGAGGTCGTACTGTGGGTGGCAATCGGTGCTGAGAAGCCAGCCTGCCTTGCCGGGTCTGCAGAGTCTGCTGGGTTGGTCCTCTTTGCTCTTTCCACGGCATTCTTCGCATTGCCCCAACTACTCTTCCAAACCCCACTCCAACCAAGGTTTGTCGGGGTTCCGACAGTTCTGAGGGCAGGAAGTAGAAGACACTGGGTCCTTGAAAGGTCTGCCGGTCTGCCAGCTCCCGGACAACGTGAAACAAGCATGTACCCGGATCCAAGGGCACGGCCCATCAAGCGCTTCCTCTTCATCACCATGTATTGCTCGTCCTGCGAGTCACAACACTCGACCCTAGGCCAGAAAAAATAGTAAACAGTTCAAAAAAACAGTCCTCCGGCGGGAGAACCAAAGACAGGATGCCATCCAGAAGACCGGGCCGCTGTTTGACGTGCACGGGCCTGGCTGGCGCTCGGCGCTGTTTGAGCTGTGGTCCGGATTCCAAAAACAAAACCAAACGCAACAAAACTCAACCAACGCCTGGATGGGTAGGAGAAAGCCTCATCGACATCTGGATTGGTGCTGCCAGTGAAAGTAAGGACTTTGGGAAACAATGGAAAGGAAAGCATGTTGTACATGGCTGTCAAAACTGAGCGACCGGCGGACCAGCCGATGGCAGTTAGCACGGCAAGGCCTTGACAAAAGTGTCAATTCCAACTCGTTGTTGCGTTGCTCGGTTCTGCTCGATCCGAGCGAGCGTATTTGACAAGAACACCTGCTCACTTCGTCGATTCTCTCCAACCTATTGCCCGCAAGCTTGGGCGCGCGCAAACTGCATATGTGCGTCCCGTCCTGATGTATACTGTTGCTTGGAGCACGAGAAAAGATGCCAATTGAAAGCCGACGCTGTCCAGCAAATGTGATTCCGACTCGTCGATCATCCAAGAACATGGGAGCACAGGGCATACGGCCCTTTGGGCTGGAGTCGACTAGGTCATAGACTTGATGCCCTCGGACAGATGGAGGGTGATGGGAGCCCCGCAGTGCATGATTGCACCAACCTCCCAAGTGCTTGGCAAGGCGGTGCTTCGTGCATTTCTGCATCTTCATGCCCCGTTGAATGCCAATGCCAAGAGAGGAGCTCGACTTGACGCTTGGTGTTGCACTGCTACAGGACATGCTTGCCGCAATTCGCAGGATATTGCAGGATGCTGCAGGCCCAATGCAGCCTCCACGTCGCGAATCACGGCATAGATCTGCCCATCAGGTTCAAGATTCAAAAGGCATGGTGGCGACAGTATGACATATCTTAGGCAAGGCGATCGCAAACTAAGCACGCTCGCATGCCACTATGCTGAAGCAAAATGCTACAGCTCGTGCTCAGACATACCTGACGCTCGGTTTTCCTCCTCCGCACCGTGGGTCGCAAGTACAAAGGAATGCCGGGCCCAGCGTGTAACGTGAAGGCCCGATTCACCACTTGTCATGCGGGGTCGCTTGGTTTCCTGGAAAGCTGGAAAAGAACGCGGCAAAAGATCACACAAAACACGGATTCACAATCGGAAGTCCACAGTGGGGGGCTACGTAACACATTCCATGGCGCTATGTTGGTGTGAAGGTCCCAGAACTGGCAGACTGAGGGGCAGTCCATCTGAAGACCTCCCTGTGTGAGGGCACGATCTACAATCTTGGGCCTTGGACGTTGCATGTGAAGTTGCAGCCATACAGCAGGTTTAGGGTTCTAATAGGGCTTTGGTTCGTTTAGGGTGTCGTGTCATATGTCAGGTATCATGAAGCTGTATTGCTACTATATCATTGTTACTACTATTGTTATTATTCCTATTATTGTTATTATCATGATTCTTATCATTATTATTACTCACATGCGCCGTCCCGCTGCCCAGCGCTTCACGGAGGCCATGGGGCGCCCCAAGTGTCTAGCGATGTCTAAAGCCGTTCTCGATTCTCTTTGGGTTTGAGCAACTGTTTGTTTTACTCCACTGTTGCGCACTTACACTCGTTGTCTTGGCACACTTGTTACCAAAACGTGGTCCTGGTGGTCTCTCTGTGACACCCCCCCCCCCCCAAACCCCCACCCCAAACCTGCACACCCCCGCCCCCGGCCCCCCAGCCCCACACCGATCCTGTCCTGCCCACCTGCCCTACTTCCTCAGCCACCCTTCAACCCTGCCTTGTTTTCTTGTTTTACCACTGCCATTTGGGGTGCCTTGTCTGTACATGCGCCTGTCGCAACAGCACCCCAAAAAAGAATGATTGAGCCTTACAGCACCTGCACACCTGCAATCTCCGGTTTGGGTTGCCTCGCAGCTGCGCAGGCCCAGGCTCGATTGAGAAGCGCTGTGAAAAGTTTAGACGCCAGGCAGCTACTTTTTCAGAGCGGAAAAGTGGTGGCTCTGAGGTCCGGGCGTCAAGCCAAGCTCCACAGCAAATCTCGCAGCCTCCACGTTGGAAATCGATTGCCGCTCCCGGAACCTTGACGTGAAGAGGGGGCCGTGCGTGGCATTTACGTGCTGGAGGCGTTTGAGAGCACACTGACAACAATGTTAGGAGGTCAGCTGCAAAGTGACTGAGGCTGGTGCTCCACCAACAGACGGCCTGCAGACCACGATTGATCCCACAGTTGTGGGCGCTCTGTGATTCGACGTTCTGATCGGTTGTGGGCTTATCTTACGAAAAACGTGTCACGAGAAAGCACTCAGAGCTCCAGCCTTGGAGAAGGTCAAGACCAATGACTGCAAGGGTCGCAAGATTTCTCACCTTCTTGGCCTTCCTTGGCGTCACAGCTCTTGCCATTGCCCCATCATGCCTCATGATGACTCATCATGCCTCATCAGGCATCATCCTCAAGTGTGAGGAAGAGATGATAAGAGCCAGACCGCAGTACAGAGATGGCAGCGCTGCCATCAAACTGCTCTTGCTCGTCTGCACCCTCGCAGCTTGCAGAAGGCCAGTCCACAAAGTCTCGCCGCTTTCATGAGGGGTATTGTGAGGCTTGACTGCAGCACCAGGTTCCAACAGTGAGAACTCATAGTCAACAAGTACACGGGACAGGGAGGATGCTGGGCAAGTGGAAAGCCAGCACCATGGTAGCACCACATTGCAGGACCCTGAAGTTGGAGACATGGCTAGTGCAGTGGCCTTTCGCCGCTCTATCTCTGCCTCCACTGCCTTCGAATCTCAAAACTCGTGAGACTCGAGCGCGTGGGGAGTCAGCTGCGTCTGGCCTGCATGCGGCGCTCCGAGTCACGCCGCGCCTTCTTTCCAGCCGCGAATGTTGCAGTAGACCTGGTAGCACATCGTAGCCGTAGCCGAAATTGCTATATGCTTCCTCACTGTGTCGGCATTGTCCACTGTTGAGCGTTGAGCGCTGCTTCGCAAACAAGTTGTGACAATGCTCTCAGCATGTCTCAGCTGTGGTGCCGGCTGTGAAAGAATGGGGTGGTTGGCACGCATAATCTGGCAAAGCGAAGGTTGCAAATTTTGAGAATTAGCCAATTCTTGAAACACTTGAACGATTGTTGCTTCTTCAGCCAACGAGTCGTCTGAGAGGCGCACGGGGTCTTTCAGCTTGACATCACCGATCACAGGGCCACCTGACGTTGCGGCATCTCAACTTGCAGTGCAACAGAAGCGGTCGAAGGGCGAAGCCGCGAGCTGCGAATCTTTTTGGGTGCATCTGTCGCCAACATGACAACTTCGGGACTTCTGTGCTGGGGCAAAAAACAAGTACGGGAAACCCTTGATGATTCTCATTTTCACTGGACTCCTTTCGCATCGCATGCATCGCTGTCATTCGTAGGAACGCTCCACACTACGACTGAGGGCTAGCCCTGGCATGCATGAAAGAACCAGCTGAGAAGGCGCCTGGATTCAGCTCCACGGTGGCAGCGCCGCTCGCATCGACCAGCAGCAGCGCACTACCGCCTCGGCTAAACGAATCGGAGCATTCGGAGGCCCTCGGTTGGGGTCTCAGGTTTTTGTTGCCCTGGTCGTACGAGTTGAGACATGACCTTCTCAGAACACGCTTGAAGAATTTACAGGCCGTAGGCTGCAGAGGATGGTCAGTGCTTCGAGCTCTCTCGGTTCAACAATGCTCTGGGATCTCGGCACATTGGCGGCAGCTTCAGCTGTTGTATCCACGCCAGCGCAGAGCGCAGGGAGTGGCCGCAGAGGAGAAGCTCCCAAACCAGGGTCTGTCAAAAAGCGCACCAACTCGGAGTTCACATGCAAAACATAAATTGGGTGCAGACCGAATAGCAAGCAGAGTGCATGTGCGGAAAGTGCAACCGAAGCACTAGACCAGTAGCAGAACCTCACATGTAACCGCGGCATGTCACAGTGCCTGCACACTGACCGCCGGTTTCTCAAAGCCATCCGTCTGCCTTCCAAGGGACACGTGCACATGTTTGATTCAACACTCTCGCTATATTCTCGCCACCACTCCAGCCTGTCATGCAGATTGAAAACACACACCCCAAGGCCAGCAGAGTTCAGTCCCACAGGGCAGAACCTGCCGAGAAAGAGCAGGTCTCTTCGTGAGTTTGCAACCTGCATGGGTTGACTGCGCTCTGTTGACGACATGCTGCCACATTACGAACGAGCGATCTGAATCTCATCTGAGTCAGCTTGGTTCATCCCAATTCTGCAGCTGCCATGTCGACGCGGCCAAAAGCGGCAAACTGCGGTCTTTTGAAGGCATGATCCGCCGACCCCAGCCGGAGCGGGGGCGGCGTCAGTGAAGACCCGCTCCCTCGCCCAGTGCCACCACCTCTTGCCCTCGCTGCCCCTTGACGCGTTCCTCTTACCCTCGCTGTGCCCCCCGCCCCCCTCACGCTTCCCGCCCTCCCCCTTGGCCCCCACCTTGTTAGGGCTCTAGTGCATGCCCGACCCCCCCCCCCTCGCTGCTTTGCTGTTTGTAATGGAGTGTTTTCAGGGCTCCAATGCATGCCCAACCCCCCCCCTCGCTGCCCTTGCTGCCCCCGCCCCCCCCCGCCCCCCCCGCCCCCCCACCCTTCCCCCCTTGACCCCCACCTTGTTAGGGCTCTAGTGCATGCCCGACCCCCCCCCCCCTCACTGCGCTGTTCGTAATGATCGCTCCCCCTTGGCCCCACCTTGTTAGGGCTCTAGTGCATGCGCGACCCCCCCCCCCCCCCCTCGCTGCGTTGTTGTTCGTAATGGAGTGTTTTAAGGGCTCCTCGCCCCCGCTGCCCTTGCTGCCCCCCCCCCCCCCCCCCCCACCCCTTCCCGCCCCCCCCCGCCCTCCCACCTCTTGGTGCCTGCCCGATGTTAGCGTGCTTCAATTCTTAGGATGGGGTCGGCGGCATCGGCGGTAGCCATTAAATAACATAACAAGATAGTAAGTACTTGCACGAATCAAAGGTCGAAAACTGCAAAGAGGCAGCATGACTCACAGGCCACCTGCCATCACAGTCGTAGGCCAGAACTTCCAAGCCAGGCAGCTGCAATCGCAGCACCTCTGAATGCTGGCCACGCTGGCTACCCGCAATAGCCGCAGCAGGTGCTGTTAAACCCAAGCTGAGGCAACGCATGCTGTGTATGCAACGACGGACAGATGGAAGCTCGGCTGAATTTGGAGCTTGGGCCGCTACGCAGTCGAAATCTCCGAAGCCTCGGCACATGCAAAACAAACTTACAGGACAACCTGCCATGTAACTGTAACTCAACAGTCCAGTGGCCAGCATTGCCGCAGTCATTCGAGATGAGGGAACATTGAGGCTGATGCTTCTTGAGCTACCAGTTGTTACATCAGTAAATACAGAACCCACATATTGATGCAGGCATCCTCTTCAAAGTCAGCAAAACAAACGGCTGCACATCTCCACTTACCGAAGCGATGGAAAAAAATTGTTAAAGGAAAAGAGGAAAGATGAGGAGAAACTGCGAGTGCAACACTGGAGAAGATGGCAACATTGAATCAAACACAGCAGCTGCAACCGGGTGGCCGTAAAGCAGCCCCGGGAGGTCCACTGTTTGTGCCACCAGCGCGGTGTCACCACGGCCTGGTTATACGTCTGTTCGTACCGTGAAACCTTTGTGTACTAAGTTACTAGTAGCTCCGACCCCCTCCAGCGGTGGAGGCCAGTGTGTGGCCTCCAATGTTGGCCGAACCACCGGCGATTGCAAAGCCAGTGCCTGAAACAAAAACAGCTCGAACATACTCGAACATCGTTATACATCGTCGAACAGTCGAGCACTCAGGCGCCAAGACGCAAAGACAAGAACTTCTGGAGCCCAGCGAACGCTATAGGGTGGCCAGGGTGCATCGGCCACTCTGCGGGAGCTTCTTGCGCTTCCCAGACGGCTCAGACGCCTGGCATTGGAGAGGGCCGCTTCGCTGACATGAACTCGGACTTCATTAATCTTCAATATTTCTCAGTGCCTCCTGCACGCCATCGGCGCTTGGAGCGTCTTCCTGAAAGCCACCCGGCCCCTTTTCAGCAACATCAGGGCCTCTCCAAAGATTGGCCTCTTCCGAATTTGCGTCGAGCACTAGGCTCTCGCTGCCTTTGGCAAGTGGGCTGCAAGCACACTGTGAGTGTTGCTCAGCCCATCTCAGCCCCATGCTGCTGTCGGAGCCGCTCGACGACGACTCGGTCGGGGGGCGTATACGTGCCTTTGCAAATCGAAGCTATTCCAAGCTACGGCCGTATCCGCCACGCATTTCATGAACCGTCCAAGCTCGATGCTTGCACACGGTCCCGGCGCTGCAGCTCCAGGGTGTAAATCTGTCAATGCTACAATAGCATTCGTTTCCCAGTTCCTTTCTCTGAACATGAGCAAGTCTCGTCTCGTGCCTCAAAGTCCAAGAGCAACTCATAGACATCCCAACCTTGGCTGAACTCTTGAGCTTCCGGGGTAGCGGTCTGCAGCGCCGATCAGCGCTGAGTCACTGAGACCCGCGCCCAAGCCCTCACTGAGCCCATCGAAGAAAGCGGCAGCAGTTGGGCAGCATGCCACAGCACCTGTTTGGCGGGACTCACCACGCCGCGCTGCCCGAGGGGTTGAACGATGCTTCGCCTTCCTGCGCTAGGCTCGCTAGTTCGCGCCACTTCTCCAAGGAGCAGGAGGCTGGAGGAAGCCTTCACAGAGAAGACCTACACTTCCCAGCTTTCCGGCAAGAGCTTCGGGAACTAGGGCCAAGACTCCACATAGTAGTCCTCACACGGCAAATCGCACGGCACAACGCACGGCAAACGACATGGCATATCACGGGGCGAATGCTCTCCTTGGCATGAGCAAGGCCCGTCTTGGCCCGGGCGCCGTAGACTTCCGCAAGGGCCAAGCCCAAGGACCGCGCGCCGCTGCCTAGAGCTATTTTTCAGGAGCACACTGAGGAACACCACTGGAACACCGCTGGAACACCAATGGAACACCAATGGAACACGAGGAAAGCTGTCCAACGGCCTGCAGCGGTGACCTCCCGCTGCAAAGCCGGTTCCTCTTGTAGAGTCTAACTGCCATGCACAACGTCGGCGTAGTTTGCTTGAATGCCCACGCAGCACAACACAACAACACATTGCGCCAAGGTCAGGAATCAGACCTCCTCAGCCTCCTCATCATCCTCCGCCTCCGCCTCCACCTGGAGCTCCTCTTCCCCTCTTGCGTCGAGCAACTTGTCGGCACTCGCCGCAAGCAACGCACCAGAGTCGTCACACACTGCCATGGCCAAGATCCGGCTGAATCATTGGCAGCAGTTCATTAACTCAACATCCTTCCCTAGCCTGGAGGCACTGCCAAGTGTGCATGTGATGGAGGAGAGAAGTTAGTCTGCCTTCATGAACACGCAGGGCTCGTCGTTACCCGTCGTTACCGCTCGGTATGGCTGCAGGATGGGCAAGTCAGAACAAAGTCATCAGATGGGACATGATCGCTGATGGCCACCAGGACGCGAGGCCTTTCCCGACTCGCCATCGAACGCACGCCAGCACGATTCTGACTTGCCTCAGCTTGCAGCACTGATTCGTACGTAGCGCTTTTGATCTAGGAAGCAGTCGAGGCTGCTGCCGGGGGTCGTGGAAACAAAGGCAGCTTCACTCAAGTCCTGCGACGAAGAGTGAACACAGCGCCAAAGTTGAGCTGACTGCCATGGGGTCCTCTTTGAGTATCAGAGCCCAAGCAATTACGTCTTGCCTTGCGGCTCAGCAGGTTTGCGGAGTGAAGGCAAGCGAGAGACTATTGGCACCCGAGCTTTTGGCTCATACGGGCCGGCCAAGCTGGCATCCTGGCATATGCTAAAGCTTACCTGATGGTCCTCGCCCACATGGTTCTCCCCCTTTGCTACACCGCTCTCATTCAACATTCGAGACATGCAGGAGGGGCGAGCTCAACTCGCAAGCCATAGCCTGCCTCCCACGGCTCCAGCCTTTGCAGGCCAGCGCCCACTCTGAGTCCCACTAACTCAAGGTTCATCGCGTTCGCTTCTCAACTGGTCGAAACTCTGAGCGGCTCTTCTCCCGGGCCTGGGCGGTTCAGGTGGGCAAGGTCTTCGCTCGAAGCGCCCGAAGTCCAAGACCAGAAGTGTGTCGCCAACGCCTGTAGAAAAGGACTCCGAAAACAAAAGCATTCCTTCTGAGGCAAACTCTGTGTCATTGTGTTGCAGACACAACTTGAACAGACCTTCCACGGAGTCGGACTCTGTGATGTTCGGTAGCTCTTCGAAGCCTCGACATTTGTTTGGCATGGTTGTCCTAGTTGTCCTCATGGTTTTCCTCCCGGTTGTTTCTCGCGGTCAATTCCGAATATTCCTAGCTGCAAACGCGAAGGGCTCTGCACTTTGTCAGGCGCCAGGCCCTCGGAGCTCTCGATAGGGCACTCGAAGTAGGCCTCAGAGCACAGCCTTGGCAGAAGGAACCTGAAACAAGAATGCTAGGAGTTCTCCTGGGTGCGGGACCCAACCCCCGCTTTGCTTGAGCAGCTGGTCCTGCGGTGGCAGGACGATCCGCCCTTCAGCCATGTCGGAAGCTGACAACTCAGACTCCGGCGCCCGCCCGTACGCACATCTCCGGCCGGCCACGGACCTTAACATATCGTGATCATCGTGACAGCAGAAAGGAACATAAAGGAACATAAAGGCATAAACACCTCATCTTGAAAGGCGCCAGTTTCAGGAAGCATGAGCTACAGCCTGCCCAAATCGGCCACAAGGTTGTCCACTTCTCCAAAAAAAACCACTCTCAAAGTGGCATTCTCGTGTCACGGCGAAAACTTCAAAGCTCCTGCACCATCCTGCAACTGTGCACAACTCACAGCATTAACTTTCCGGCACCTCAGCAAGTAGGCAGGCAGGTAGTCAATCTCTCTTCGCGAGCATTTCTGCCGGTCTCTGAAAGAGGCTCTGGCTCTCTGCCAGATGTTCCAGCGGTCGAAAGGGGAGTCGGGCTCCACAGCTCGCACAATCCTTCTGCCTGTCAAAGTGCTCCGACCCTAAGTCTTCCCTTATCCAATGGGCCAACTTCCATCCCGTACAGTATGGATTCAGTGGAACCCCCTTGACTTGTGACTTGTGGCTGTTGTGGGCTTTGTCACTTCGGGATGCGCACCTGTGTCATCCAGCTCTTTCTCCCAGAAGGAGAGGCCCCAGTCAAAGTGAAAGCTGGGTCTGGCCATTACCACGCTGTAGATCACCATGACCTTCAACAGGCAGGTCATTCGCTACATCATAAACCTGGAAGGTCATTCAAGAAATAGCGGCATGAAGAGCATTTCCAACTCTGTCAGTCGATCTCTGCCGACGTTTTGGCAAGCCAGAGCTGGGCCACGCGCCATCTCGCCCTCAGGAACTTGCTGCGAGGCAGCTGGGCCGGCGTGCAGATCTGGCGGCGATGACTCTGACCCGAGCATACAGCAATCTGGCAGATCCTTGCCTGGCAGCGAGAGGGCGTGCGCCAAGCGACCCTCCTCCTTGGCTTCCTTCCCTTCCTTTCCTTCCTTTCCTTCCTTCCCTTGCTTCCTCAACCTGGACATCTCGAGGGTCCCCCACCGCAGGATGCGTGGGAGAGTCTGCTGCGCCTCTGTCCTAGGCGTTTCAAGGCTCAAAAGGGACCTCTCAAGGTCAAAGACATCGCAAGGGATCTCAAAGTTCTGCGGCCTCCAAGCCTGATGGATGGATGTCTGCACTTTCGCCGCCGTCCTTACATAAGTGTGTTTGCGCGAAATTGGCAAATCTGACCCAGCTTAACAGAGCACCTGGCAGATTGCACAGGAGAAAGAACAGAAAACAGCAAACATCCCGCTACAGTACTGCGCACCCTCTCCAAGTCCACACACCCAAAGCAAGCCTGTAATGTTCTTTCAAGGCCAACCAAATGCTTCCGCAAGGAGTCGGCGCAGTTTCAGCAATCCGTGTCAGGAGCTTCCCGGGAATCGCAGCAGCAAGCAACTTCTCGGGTCCTTGGCATTCGCCAGCGAAATGCGTGCAACCGACACACTGACATAGTTCTCGTAGTCGCACTCTCCGAGGTGTTGACTGAGGCTGTCCGAAGTGCAGAAGGTCATGCTGGGTGCTGGAGAGATCCCATCCACCGTCGTCCATCCGACCTTGCAAGCTGCGCAGCGCGCAGGAGCATCTCGAAGACCACCCAGACCCCTCATTGTGATCTGAGCCTTCCTGCGTGGGGCGGGAGGAGGCTGTCCCGGCTGTTCAGACTTGGTGCGACCTTCTGCAGAAGGAGCGGCACATAAAGCAAAGACACGGCAGAAGAAGCGCACCTGATACAGGGTGGTCGAGTTGGGATTCCATCTCAGCTTCGCTGGTGAGAAGGTGTAGGCCCCGGAGCTGATTGCCTCCTCCGAGGCGGCCTTGCAAAAAAATCTGGAAACTTTCCTTTTGTGACCCCGTGAAAAATCCCCATCTCGGCGGTGAGAACCTCCAAGCGGTCCAGGCCTCGTCATTCTTGCCCCTGCGGCCGTTGAGGTTGATGAGGCTCCAGCTCAAGTCCTCACCTTGGGAGATGCGACATGACACGGACATGCCACGGACACGGAGCATCCGCAGGAGCTCCGGCCTCGCTTCAAGAGTACGAGGCAAGTTCCTCGCTTCTGGAAGACTTCGGTGTTGGCTACCTCGCAGCATCTCGCAGCGAATTGCTCTCTCAAAGAGTGTATATTGTAGGATTGTAGGATGCTGCTTTGCCGTGCCAGCCTTGAAGCCAGTTCGTACGTAGATGCCGTTGGCTTCTGTCGATCCGGCGCCTTCCACAGAGACGCCGGGAGCACTGTCTGGCCTTGCTTGCGGAGACGCTCATGAGACTCATGTAGTTGAAACAATCTGAACCCTTGAGTTCCTTTAAGTTCCTTTAAGTTCCTTCAAGCTCCTTCATGCTCCTTTAAAATTTAAGTTCCCAACACACGGCATAAGGCATCTAGTGAGTGCAGGCATTCTGGGTTCAAGGCAGGTTGTGGCGTTCCAGCAGCTCATTGCGGATCAACGCGCGCATGAGCTGTAGATAGTGAGGTTTGTAATCAGCCTACGTCTGCTGTCCTCAGACGTGCTGCCTCAAAGAAGCTTATCTGAGTCTGATTTGTAGTGCATGGATGCTGTGCTGTGTGGGCCTACTCCCTGTCATGAGAGTGTCGCGTGATCATGAGAAATAAAGGAAATAAAGCAGGGTTTCCCACAGACTTCGAGAAGCTCGCGTCACCTCGGCTGTCAAAGGTTGGGGAGAGGAAGCTGAGGCCTATAACCAGTGACTGGTGTTCAGCCACAGTGACCTTAGGCGTCGCAGCACCTCGACAGCCGTGATGGCTTTGGCCTTCGACATAGCCCGAGAAGCACTTCTCGAGGAGGCGCGCTGTTTGGGCTTCATCTGTGCATGACTGTGCAAGCGCGCTTGCGAGGTCTAGGGTCTGTAGCTACGAAGTTAAGAAGTGAACAATGTGCCGCGCCATGACAGATACTTGCAGTGTTGGCGCACGTTGGCCCCTTGACATGTAGTTTACTGTGAAGCATTGAGCCGCCAGGCCAACATATCACAGTTTGGAGCTGCACTCCCGACTCCGTCAATGCTTGCACTGCCTAATCCCATGCTTGCAGGGATGAAGTACCTCCCTGACATGACAGCATAGGAGAACACGCAGCACCATGGACTTCAGGGCACCCCTCCATCGGGCAGAAGGAAGCGGGGCAGCCTCCCTCGCGCATTGTGGAGCCTGACAGTTTCAAGCTGACCTCAAGCGCCGCAAGCTTATGCCCTACCCGACAGCACATGCACGGTGCACGGTGCAGCCGATGCCAACCTCTGAAGCTGACATCAGCGGAGCTGCTGATTTCTAGCTTTGCCGGGGCTGGCATAAGCTGGACTGTCAAAGCTCGTTGAAATACGTAGTCAAGACAGGTCTGTGTCTGCACGTGCCGGGGTGTGTGGGTGTGTGTGCGTGTGCGTGTGTGAGTGAGTACACCACGCTTGCGGGCTTTCTCAAACTTTTGTGTCGACATGGTCATGGTCTGTGCTGCTCTTTCCCTGAGATAGGGCTGGCGATCCATCGCTGAGATTGGAGGGCTGAGAGTTTGGGCCACAAATCTTCTGCAGGATCCAGAGAAGTGTGCTAAGTAAATCTCCTGCATGATCCGACTTTCGGCACTATCTTCCGGCTTCCACCAGGTCGCAAATCAGGTTTCCACAGCTTTTACACTCACGCTGGAGCTTGCAATCCCTTTGGGATGCACAGGAAAAGTTTGCACTGGCAAATCAATGCTGCACGCTAAACTGCACATCCGTACGCAATGATGCTCAGACGTCTGGTGTAGTGGGCACCGGGTACGGTGGCTGAAGCAGGCACTTTTCCTGAGAAGACCAGATAAATTTTGCACATCTCGCTGTTTGGAAGACCTTGGCAGCCGTCCTCGATCACACTCCTCCAAGTTTGCCCTGGGCTTGGCACCAAACGAGTCAAACGAAATGGACTTTCCCACATAACTGCCAGTGGATCTATCATGAATTCAAAATAGACGTGTCGTGCTTCCTGGGGCCACAACCAGGTTCGCAAGACAGGTGGCCGCTTTGCTTCAAATGTTTGCGGCACGCCTTGTCAAGTCAAGTCCATGATCAGTCCAACTCTTTCCGGAGCCCTCCCTGTCCCATCCTGCCTTTGCCCGCACGAACACCTCACATCAACACTTTGCTAGCATCTTTGCAGATGTTTGCATGGACCGCTATTGGACTCCTGTTCAAGCGGCTGTGAGGATATGACTGTGTGGCCATGCTGTTCCTACTGAACAGAGCATGGCTAGCTATGCGGTTGGCATGGTGCGGTGCATGCAGCGGAGTTCAAAACGCGAAGTTTTGAATAATTCCACACGGATTTCCTGGAGCAGCAGGACTCTTTTTGTAAAGCTGGGCTGAGCTCTGCTCATGCAGAAGACCCTCAGACCCTTTTTCCTAAGGGCAGTTACATGGTCCCTTAGTATGGGCCCTTTAAAACGGTACCCGTCATATACCCCTTGTAAACTAAGGGCCCATACATCAGAACCCTTTAAAGGAGGTTAGGGACCATATCAAGGGCCCATGAAACTACCCCAATACTTTTTCTGCCAGAGGCAGATCCGCAGTGAACTGCAAGCTCCTAGGTAGGGTGCCTCCTTCTGTGGTATGGTGGAGCTTTGGGTTTGGGGCCTCGGACCTTTACAGGGTTTTAGGTTTGAAGGTGTGAGGGTCTGGGGCCTGAAAGCAATTCCTGCATGGTGCCTGGCTGCTTGATCGAGGGACAACCAGGCACCAACACTGCACAGAAGGGGTGCGATGGAAGTGAACAAGGAAAGGCTGCAATTATGAAGTACAGAACGTATTCTTGTCCTGGTTTGGGGCCGAAGCCGTGAAGTAGTGGGCCTGGCGCATGGCCAGGAGCCCCTCAATGCCCCTCAACACCCCTACAGTAGTGCAGCGTCTATTGATGTATGAGTTTGTCCGTCTTTCAGTAGATTTTGCTCACGTTCCATGACGTACCCAAGTGAACATTGTCGATGCTTGTGGCTGCCATCGATGGATATGATGGACAGGAAGGTACGATGGACAGGAAGGCACGATGGAAGCATGGATACACTGGCTGCAGAAATACAAGCAGCACCAAGAAACACACCGGGACTCACAGCATCTCGCAGCATGCACCCGCCTCTTGGCACACCGGACACCGGAACTTTGGTGATTTGCGCCCAGTCCTTCCATTGACCATTGCGGCATGGCTATGGCACCGATGGCACCGTGACATAGTGCAACCTGGTGCTTGCCAACTTTGAGCTGCACATATCGTCACATATCGTCACACATCCCATGTCCTGACCCTTCGCCTTTCTCGCTGCATGACCACATCAGGGTCTGTGCTCAGCTCCTCGAAGCCGCAAAAAGGACCATGGACCAATGGACAGCTTGCCAGCGCGAAACATCACGAAACCACGCCAGGAGCATCCCTTTGAGTGCCAGTCCAATGACCGTAAAAAGTCAACGAATCCGGTCTCCTGAAAAGAACCACGTGAGTACGTGAGCATAAAGTCGCAGGGACCGCACAGCTTCGAGCCTCACCAGCCAAAAGGACCTCGGCCCACGTGGCCTGCCAAAGTTGGCGAATCTTGCGATCATGGGCCTTGCAAGCCTCAGTTGCCCCTGTGGCCCATACCTTGAAAAATGGGAAACACCCTCGCCACAATCTGTGCAACCGTCGACTCCAACAGTTTGCTTGACACCCCACGCAAAGAGTGGGTGCAGTGATCTGCAGGGGCCACCCTCTATGGCTTGGTCATGTCACTCTGCTACAGCAACATGCCACTCGGGTCTTCAGGGCGATAAGTTCTCAACCATGGTACCTTAGTTGCTCTTGAACGGCAGGTTTAGGTTTAGTACTGGCTTCATGAAAAGATGCTAACACTGCATCTTTACAGAGTATCTCTGGAGCGCGCAACACCCAACCCCAGATGATCCTTAGGGCGCTTTCAAGGCAGGAATGAAACAAACGATGGCCACCCAAGACCTGAGAAGTTGGAGACATCACACCAGATGGTGAATCATTCGGTCCCAGACGTAGATTAGGGATGTGTGGGCCTTCTTGGCTTTGTCTCGTCGCTTCACCCCCCGAGCCTGAGACGATCGCTGCAACACTGTGAAGGTCAGCGAAAGTAACTCGGGGGGGAGAATCCATTTGAGGCCCCTGCGTGCGCTTCCTGATGTCTGCAGCATTGCTGCATGCAGTACAGCAGGGTTTTTTGGCTCACAAGACTGTCAGACACTGTATCAAGTCGGATCTTCAGAAGAGCCAAGCGGGCCAAGGGCAGGGCAGACATACGCATCTTTGGATCGATGCTGCTCGCGAGGCGCTCAGAGGCCTTCAAACGGAGGCTCCAGGGCAATTCGACGAACTCAACACTTTCGTTTTCTGGCTTCTACATGCTACCGGATGTTAGGGGCAGTGGTTTGTAGACAGTACTGACATTTTTTCGCACTCGTCCGTCTGCATCCGTCTGCAAATCTCTGCGATCGAGTGCAGCTTTTGCGGCTTTCTGCGGCTCAGCGCCTCGGTCACAAGGCTCAGCAGGTCTTCCAAGACTTTCGCCGGCATCTCGGCTTCAAACCTGACCAGGGGCACAGAGGCATCACAGCCAATCGCAGCTAGCATGGTCAAAAAGAAAGTTACCCGGTGGCTCGTGAAGCACCATGAATCCCCCACCTTTCTCTTTGAAGCTTGCGCGGCTTGACTTGATTTCCAGCCTCGGATGTGAAAACGAAGTCGAGTCCTTTCAGTGATGATTGGTCAGGCGCCCGGCCAACGTCTCCTCCTCCGACCTGAAAAGGGTAAAACATCTGGATTTGTGGGCATCACAGCTATTGTAAAAAGACTTATACAACTCGGCATGAACATTTGCTCCGCTTGTGGCCGCTTCAGCCCCTCGCGTAACGTTCATGGCATCCTTGACGCTCTTCCGCACGGCAGACATGGCCTGGAAAACCAACAAGAAACATCCGAAGCAAGCAAGTGTGCCTCTATCCCAGGTCTAACGCATTCTGCCATGGCTGCCTTGAGAGCCGCCTCTGCGGGCACACCGGCACCATCGCCGCGGTCGTCCCCGACCAGGCTCAGTTCCCAGCCCCACACCTATGCACAATTCATTGACCATGGACAACCTCACTAGTCGTCACCGCACAAGCGCATTTTGGCTTCTTGCATAAGCGCGCCTTGACAGCAGTGATGTGCTCAGGGTCTCCAGAAGACTCTCCTCACCAAGCAAAGGCAAGGAATCTGCAAGGAGCGCAAACGCGCAAAGCGGTGCGCAAAGGAGGGCTCCTGAAGGCCCGGGGCCCAAGCGGACCGACATTAAGGTTCGGTCAGGGCCTCGCAGCTCCAATTTCACGCCAACTTCCTGACGTAGCAACTTGCCGAGTTCCAGGCAGAGGGCGGCTATGGCGTACAGAACCTCAACCTCGGATTGATGGGATAGACTATGACAGACTGTCCATGACCGTTTGAAAGCCTAAGGGCGGTGCTGCATGGAAAATTGTCACTCCAGTCGCGCGCACGGTGGTCCTCGAGTGCGTACGCCAGGCAAAGCCGATGTGGCATTGCACATTCGCGTAGTTGGACCACGGTGTGAATCGTGCCATGGTACAAACTCTGTATTTTGCTGTTAGGGAATTGTGAAGAAGGAGGAGGGTCCATCCTATCTCCTCCCAGAATCTACATCTCCTTTTTGATGCCAAAGCATTGGCCCAACACCCTCAGGGCCTTTACGGTCCAAAGGCCTTGCCCGAGCCTGAGTCCAACCACACTGGAGAAGCAGCGAACACTTCCGGCTTCGCAGGCTCGCTGCAAGATCCCCGTAGACTGCCCGCAGATGACCACCCGAAGCTCCATGCAACGTTAAGTCTTTGGTGTTCCGATTGGAGCCAGCTCTGGACAGTTTCTTGACGCCTTGCGGCTGCTGCGATAAAACGAACCTGTCCACCAGACCACCGATTGTGACCACCCATACGCCGGTACGCCCCCCCCCCCCCGACTTGTACGCCACTCCGGGCCTTCCCAGATGGGAAATACGCCGATATGCCGTATCGGGGGCCAGTACGCCGATCCACCGGCACGGGGTGTGTGACCCGTGTATCGGATCGGTGTATCGGTGTATCGGTGCGGGCGGGCGTCGTCCGGGCCCCGAAGGGGCGTACCGGTGTATCGGTGTATCGGTGTGGGTGTGCGCCGTCCGGGGCCCAGGTGCACAGATGTGGGGCCCAGGGTAGTATACCGGTGTACTGCAGGCAGGGATTGCAGGAACCTCACGGGCGTATCGGTGCGCCGTTTCGCCGAAACGAAGTTATGCCGAAACGCCGTTACGCCGATACGCCGTTACGCCATGTTACGCCAATACGCCGGACGGGGTGCGCGGCCGGGCCGGTGTAGCGGTGTATCGGTGTATCCGTGCGGGGCTTTTTATGGGACGCCGTTTGCGTGCACCCTGAAATGCAGGACATTGTCACTCGTTGCACTGCAGTGACTAGTTCTGCTTGGGCCCACTGAGCAGCGACTGCGGGATCAGCACAGACCGAGTTCGATGATACTTGATGATACTTGCCCTCTCTACGACTGAGCCTGGAGTTCAGCAGCTGAAGACTCGAAGCAGTGCCTCGAGAGATGCGAAGGACTGCAATGACCGAACCGGCAGCTTTCAAGTCTGCGATGCCTCTGCTCTCTGCTTGCAAAACTGCTGCTTGAATTCAGCGAGAAGCAGTAGTTAGGCGCGCAACAGCCATTCTAGAACTACAACGGTTAAAGCACTTGACTCAAGATAGGCCTGAGGACTGATATGCTTATTTTGAATTACACTGTGTAGTTGCTGGGCCTCGATGTAACATGATCCTGAGTCTTTAGTTTTCGTTTGTCCTACTGAATTTGTCTGGCTCTCTACCAACTTCAGATCTTAGACATCGAGGTACGAGAGAATGCCTTTTGGACAATCGCTTTCTCACATTACATCTTGTATCCAACCTCGATGCGACGGCCCATGCGCAAAAAGCGAGGGGCGGGGCCTTGCCTCTCTTTGTTTCCTTGCTGTGACCCCTCCAGTCAATATTAACCAGGAACCCATCCCCAGAGTACCGTGCAATCCAGAGAAAAGACACCAGTTTTGGGCCAAGTGCAACGATCCCGGGCACCTCCCAGCCTTGGCACGTACCCAAATGACCGACCAGGCGATGCTGAGGCAAGCGCAGAAGAAGTCGTCACCCGCGTTCATATGGCAGGGAAAGCCTGGGAAGCACACCCACTGAGAGACAAAGCCAGGAGGCAGATGACAACATCATTGCGTCGTCGATGTGTCTTACTTTGGCTTGGATTCTAAGACATGTGTTGTATATATGGCTTATTTTCATCTTAGTATTACAGTATTATTATACGTTTACAGTATTGAATCCTTGTACTATGATATGGCGGAAGGCTTGGAGCGTGACCCAAGGGATTGCGAGCATCGAGCAATGCCTTGACTTGTTTTTGCTTCTCCTCTGCGAGACATTGTCTCCGCTGCTCCGCTGCTCTCCAAACAAGCACACTAGACAAGGCAAAGACTGCAACTGTGTGTGTGTGTGTAACAAATGACATGATGATGTACCTCGTTCTTTCAGTCCTCGTCGTTTCGGGTGTTCCGCTCCGGGAGAAAGAAGCTGATTTGGTACGGCGAGCTTGGTCGAGCCTCAACCGGCACAAAGCTGCACAGAGACATCATCTGTTCAAGCATACAATTACTGTCGATGAACAAGATTCGGCAGAGGGCAAAAGACAAGTTACAGAAAAGAAGCTGTTGTGCAAGACTGATTTCGGGTTGCGGCCAGGACTTCACCATCGAAGTCCACCAGAAGTGCCCCAAGACTGAACCTCAGCCACGGCACACATACATGCTACCAGCTGGGTTCCATTGCGGCTTCCAACAGGTGATGTTCTTACATGTGGGAAGTCTCTCTCACGGAGCTTCAAGACATACCGTCCACACAGAAAGTGTGATGAGGCCTCTGCGCATGACCAAGGCTGACAGAAGTGCTGGCCCCAGCAAGGACGGGAGGCTGGGCAGGTGGTGGTCCCAACGGCAGGCGAAGCCTGAGCACACGGCAAAAATGGGTTGCACCCCTTCGCCGCAGAACTTGGGCCAACAAAGTCTCAACAGAGATCTTGCATGGAAAACGATTAGGCTTCAAAACTTGGCTGCTTGAAGAGGGACGATTTATTGCTGAATGTTCACTTCGTTTTCGGACGACGTCTGGGATTGTTGTGATGCCTCTCGTGGTTTTGACGCCCGAGCCCGAGATCGAACTGTTGAACTCCGACAAACCCACTGGAGCCGGACGAGGCAAAGGCAAGACCCAACCAACGGCCAAACGGGTTGGACACAGAAATGACGGAGGAAAGTATTTTCCCTACACATGCCTCCCGGTCTCAATGCGGATCGTGCGCCATACTCCTGCTCTGAGTGTGTGCGTCACTTTAGCGAGGCTTCTTCTCAGGTCTTTTCGGCATCCCTCTTCGGCCAGCCACGCACTTTTGGCATCTTTTGGCCTGCTTCCACAGTTTTCCATAAGGCCGTGACATACACAAGGAGAATGGAGGAAGCTCCGGCAACTCAACTCGAAGAAACCAGACCTGTCGAGCCTCTCTTTGAACAGTAGCAAACGCAGATGACCCGGAAGTATGAGTGCACTTTGAACAACATACGAGAGCAGACCTGAGAGACGAAAGAAGACGAAGAACGACAGCCATGAGGGAATTGTTGATCGTTATATGGACTCGTGCCTGCTTGTCGCTTGGCGATGGAAGTTGCGTGCATCGTCACAGGAAATGAAGCGAAGTTCATCACAAATCCCGTGCGCAGAAATCCAAGCATAGCATTTAGCAACGCTAAGGAACAAACTCCCTGATGGTCTCGGGCGGAAAGCAGACCTGATTTCTCAGACATGCAAGTCCCGGCTGCACAAAGGACTGGAACAAGACAAAGCCCTGTGCGGCCGCAAAGTTGGACTTCTTCCCCTCCTGCAGCAGCAACATGAACAAGAAGCCGACTACCTCATACATGTTTATGACTCAACCGGAGGTATAATGTGCCAGCCAGGACGGGATTGCACAAGTCCTTGGACACAAACTGCGGTGGTCGACCACAAAGTTGCTTCATCAGGTTTGGCAACCTTGAGCAGCATCGTCGCAGCATCGTGCAAATGCGAACAACATGTGGCCACACGTGAACCATGTGACCAGCGCATGGTGTTCAGCCCAAGCTTCTGGTCCATGTGCACACTTCCAGGCGAGTCCTGCACGGGCGCTGAACTCACAAAGAACTTTTGCTTGGCAGCTTGGCTTTGCTGCTCAGGAGCTCCTTCTTTAAGGTCTTGATCCTGCTCACTAAGATTCGATGATGGTATTTCCTGCCCGATACGGGCAAAGAGTTGACTGCCATCAGCATCTCATTCCGAGCCTTGCATCGGGGCTCACCCGCTGCTACGCGCGACAGCTCACCATCATCTGCTACCACAGCAAGTTGCCGACCTTCTTCCAGGAAAGGCGACTGTTGGCATCATCTTCATTTAGGACTAGCTGGTCGCCTCGGCTCGGTGATTTCACATTCGTACTTGTGCGCTTGTCAAGGAAGTATAACTACCAGCAACAAAAGCCATGTCGTACCACATCAACAGTACATACTCGCATGCTTCAACACACGAGCAGTTTTGAAGCGAAGCCCGCCCTGCTTCTCGTCCGTAACATGCGCTCATGATCAGTGCATCCGATTGGCCATTGTCATCCACATCCTCAAGGTTATCATCGTCGAAAGCATCTTCTTCACCTTCCTCTTCCTCCTCGTCAACTTCCTCAAGCTCCTCATGCTGTGCACACAGCGCCCATCTGTGCGTGCAGGTGACTCACAGGTGGTTGGCACAAAACAAGCAAACAGATTGCGCAGATGTGCGCAGGATTCTGCAACTATGATCTGTAGGTACGTGCAGATCACCTTTGGGCAATGGCCTCGTCATCATCATCGAAGTCCTCAAACTCTTCCTCAAGATCAAAGTCGTCCTCTTCCTGAACCGCATTCCAGCTCGATCCATCCAGAGGGTGTCCTGCTTGAAGTGCCTCGGTCTAGTCTGAGTATGTCTGCATTGCGTATCTAGTCACATCCAACCGTACCCAGTCGAGTGTGGTTCAGGCTTTCATCGATTTCGCTCGCCTCCTCCTCCTCGCCCGCAGTGTCTCCGTCCTTGCCACGAGGCCCCGCCATGACAGAGGCGACGCGACCACTTCCGCGCTTGTTTGGCGCACGTAGCTGGTCCATGAAGCGCCGCCCGATCAGAAGCTGCTCGCCTTGGAACAGGCAATGCAAGCGACAGCCTTCCGCAAGAAAGCAGGATCCACAAGACCCTTCCCCGCTCCGCCCTAGCACACGCAGACACACCGAAACGCAAGCAACAGAAAAAGATAAAAGTTCGGAAGATGGAAGTTCAAAGAAGTCACAGAACGCTGTTGCCAGCACCGCCCGAAGTTGTGGAGCATTTGCACGCAGCAGCCGAGCTGGGTTCCACCCTTCTCCACGGAGGAACGAAAGTAGCCCATCTCAGCACGCACAGGCAAAGACATGCTTGCGCAGCTCTTTAGGCTTTGGCTCTGCTGGATCCTGCCATGATAAATTTAATACATGATCATGGCCACCGAGATGCCGAGCTCCCGCCGCGCGGCAGCGGCTGTCCGGGCTCCTCCAGGTAGATGACCAAGACGGACTCTTTGGGCCAGGTCTTCCACGTTACCCACGAACTTCTGGAGTCTGCGCAGTCAGGGCGTCTTGCAGGATAACTTGGAAGGGCTGGCTCTTGCAAGCCTTCCGGCATGCACGTCGATCTCGTTTGCCAGTGAGCACGCAGCCTGGTCCCAGTTGCGCTTCTTTCCCGCTCCTGACTGCGGGATCTGAGTAGATAGAGCAGATCCAAACACGAAATTAGCTTCACATTGAACCGTCACAGTACATAATTTGTCCTTACAAACAGAAGGAGCTGCCTGCTTGTGATTTCGAGACTGCCCAGCAACGCGCTGCCCACTGGCAGAACAACCTCAACAGCCTCGGCAATGAGCACAGAGCAAACCAAACGAATGGAGGTTGGGTCCGAACCGTGCTGCGCTGGGCCGTGGACATGATCGGCTCGGAGTAGTGGCCTCCGTCAAATCGGCGCCGGGCTACCCAGGAGCGCCGCCTCTGTTCGCGAGGCGAGATCCCCAATTGGCTGCCGATGCAAGGGGATGCCCCCCACGGGCTGAAGCAGTTGTGTTCCCAGCCCCCACTGACACCCCCCCTGCCACCACCTGAAACCCCAACATGTCGGACCCAATCCCCACCAGAATTGAATACCTCCGAAAGCAAGCTGCTAAGAAACGCTTTCGTGACATCTCTGCAGTCTGGCAAGATGAGGTCGAAGCAAACTGGCCCGGTAGGCATCATCGCTGTCCATGTACATCCTGCATTCCAAACGTCCCTGAAAATGCCTGCATATGCCTGCACGGAGCATGGAGAAAAACGCTGGCGGCAGAGGCTCCGGGTTGGGCTGGTGAAGGGATCTGGACTGGAACACCTTGGCACCCATGTGCCGGTTCACAACCGTAAAACATAGGTGTGGGCACACAGTTCGACAGGCACGATGGAAGATGCCACACACTGAGGTCGCCACGCAGCCGCCATGATGACAGCCTCGTTGACGCAGCCCCAAAGCCTTTCTGGCCAAGCATCTCTTGGGACGGAGTTCTCGGGTATCGGAGGCTGCATCCCGAAGACTGCAGCCATTCCGTGAGGGGCTGATGAAGCAAGGGGGTGTACAAGGGTACCGCACAGTGGTCAGGAAATGCAAACACGTGAGTGGACCAGATAACGCAATCTCGATGTGCAACTAATTGCAACTAAGTGCGACATTTATTGCCTTCACATCTGTTCACATGCTTTCCCATGGCGGCGCTACGAATCAGATCACGCGGGGCCCAAGCCTCACGTCAGCTAGGCTCATTATGTGATCCGCACGCCATCTAGCAAGCCACGCGACACGCAGCGACTTGGGAGATACACACAGCCGTGATGCAGGCGTCTGTGCCTGTGAGCAAGGGCCCCTCCAGGCAGCCGAAACGCACTTAAGAAGCACAGGTCCTTTTGCCTCCAGCGACTTCAACCCTGGGCCTGAACCCCCTTGGGGCCACCAAATCAAACTGCTTCTGAAGCGAGCATTTGACAATGTGAAGCTGCCAGGGGCATAGCCGAGCTGAGGATGCAGCGCACCAAACCAAACCAGCCGGCACAGGCCTCACCAAACCAAACCAGCCGGCGTGTGGTAACTTGGTAAGGTATCAAGAACCGAAACTCTTCTCTTTCTTGATGATACTGTCTAGCTCATCAAGCTGATCTGGTTTCAACTTCATGCTCTTTTGTAACTCACAACTCTCTTCCCTGAGCCTGTGGTTCTCCTCTTGTGCTCTTAGCATGTGTGCTGAGCTTGTTTAAGGCATCTTGAGATTTGTTTAGATTGCGTAGATTGCCATGAAGAAGCATTTTATGTTATGGTGGTCGGGACACAAGTCACCCTACAGGACACAAGTCGACTCTACAGGCCTCTTTTGTCCGTCAAGCGCAAAGCAGCTGCAAAACACTGGATGCCAAAAGCATGTTCTGTCATCACCAGAAGGCCAAAGCAAGTACTAAGCTCACAGCTCTCCTCCAATGGTAGTCCGTCAATGAGCAGGCCTGCCGCGCTACATCTGTGCATGCTGGTGCTGGCTGCCTTGGGGCAAACGGAACAGACGGAGATCAGAAGCTTTTCTCCGTGTTTGCAAGTCATTGCAAACCCATCGCTGGTGCATTGTGCCCGGGCTGCTGCTTCAGAACACTACCACACTCCTGTTGTCTGCTCGTTAGGATTGAAGGACCGTGAAGGACCCGTATGTGACTTATATAGGGTTCAAGATTCCGCATGAGAATGCTTGAGAGAGGTGTCGAGAGGTGCCGAAGCGCCACGCATGGTGGCAGGAAACGGACATGGAGATAGCTTTGCTCCATGACTCACTCCATTGGCGTCTACCGGCTCACGAGCTCTAGTGCTCAAGAGAAGCCTGAAACATCGTAATACCTACACGAAACATTGCAAAACTAAACACGGGAAATAGATGGAAATGGCGCCTGCAATGGCCAACTGTGTGCTGCGCACAAGAGTCAGTCGGCTACTTCTCAAGGTAGTTGAAAGATGAGGAAACACAATGAACAAAAATTTGAGGCTATGTGCTGTCTAGGAGTTGGCATTCCCAGCGCGCGTACTCCGAGTGCATGTTCATTCCCTGCACAGACTTTGGCGCAATGATCGGAGGATGTCCGAGGGCGGCTCAAGCATGCGCCTCAGACAAGGTGCGGCTACTTCGAGCACTCTCTCTTGCAAACGCACACAGCCAACGCGCAGAAAGCCCGGCACCCGTCTCTGAATTGTAACCCTCTCCCAGGCTAGAGCCTGTGAGGCAGGTACCTGGCATACGATGCAGTTCAAGGATGTTCAAAGCTGCGCCGTCGGCAAAAAACAAACGTTAATTCAAGGGCACTTCTGAATCCATCCTTGGGAGCCTTGCGGAGAGGTGATCAGTTGCTGTGCGCCCACCATTCTCCATGTCATTTCATAGTCCAAGCCACTCTGCCCCAGCTTCAGCAGGCAGTCCACGTCCCTTGAAGCGCCGTGGGCATCGTGAATCTACACTGCGTCTACACCGAGTCTACATTACATCTTGCGCAAACGCAGTTCAACCCTGCGCAACTTCTGGCTAGGTTCGGAAAACGTCGGAGTGGGCTGCGGACCGCTGACTGATCCCGGCTGCCTTAGCTTTGAAAAGGCCATAGCAATGACAATGATCTGAGGCCCGATGGTACATCTCCCACAAGTGGCAGCTCTAAATTTTGCAAAGGGTGCCCCTCGCTCGGGCGTGCCGCGTCATGCTTGTCGGGTGCTTCTTTGTGTCTCTCTGTCGCGGGTGGGTGCTGCGACAAAGCTTGTCTGGACTGCAATCCTTGAGGCATCTGAGTTTGCTCATAGTTGCCGTAGCCTGTCGGCCGATGGGGTGCAGGTGACACTGCCACTCGGCGGGGTGTGAGCAGCTGAGGGCTTGAGATGCTTGATGACGGAACTTGTGGGAGCTTCGATTGAGATTGTTGCCACTGGAACGAGAGTGGTGTGGTCCGAGGCGTCTGTGGAGGCTGCCGCATGGGTGTGATAACTCGGGCATATGGTGCCGATTGCACTGGGAGCGTTGTGGGTGGCTGCCTTGGCGGCGACTGGCGAGCTGCATGCAACGACGGCACACCCTGCGCGACCTGGCGGCAGACAATCTATGACTCTGTGACCCCATGCCCTCTGCACCAGCAACAAGAACTGCAAATCCTGCAAATCTATGCACCAAACTGTCGGCCGTGTTGTCAGCCGATCCAGCACTCGAGCACCATTTCAAGACAGAAGTGACAAGTTGGGCAAGCCCTGGAAGAGCCTGAGGCCAACGGAGTCCAGGACCCATTGGTATCGGCTGCCACACCAGAGGCACACTCGGGGCAACCATCGTGGTTGTCGATGCTGTCGCTGGAGCACTGCCCGGGGCTTTGCTTGGAGCATTGCTCGGGGCATAACTTGGCACGCTGGGTGCAAAGCTCCTCGGCAAAGGGGGCGCTCGGCAAAACGAGGGAGGTGACCTGTCACGAACTTGTGGTGGTCCGGTCTGGACCAGCCTGCGGCGGAAACGTTTAGGAACCCTCTGTGCTTGTAGCGCATCTCACGCTCCGCTCGCATGTCACTTACATGTGACGTACGCTGCGGCGCTCCTTGGAGTTGGTGTCGGTGACAGGCAGCGGGCGCCCGCAGATGGCGATAAGGTCCGTGGAGAATTGGTGCGCGGCGAAGACAAGCTGGCACCGGCGGGTCCGCACGACTGCAGCGAGCCTGGTCGGCGCAAAGGCAGCTGGGGGATGCGATCCTGGCCAGTGACCACGCACAAACCAGGCACCACTGGACTGCGTCCTAAAGTGTTCTACGACCTGCTACGCTCCTCTGCTACGCTCCTCTCTGCAACCATCTGCGAACTGCAGCTATGCTTTGACCTCGGACAGGCCTTGGAGGCACTTCCAGCCACGACAGCCACCAGACGCGCGGATCCAGGCGGCACCCCGGGAGCGGCCGGCACCGTCGGGGCGGCCGCCACCGCGGGGACCGCCGGCACCGCGGGGGCGGCCGGCACCGCGGGGCCAACCGGCACTGCCGGCGCAGCCTCGGGTGATTGAACTACGGTCTGCATATGGAGTTTAGCAGTTTAGCGTTCAGCCATCTGTCGCTTACAAATGAGGAAGGGGTGGGGTAGCTGTGTTCTCGAACCTGTCAAGATCAAGTGACAGGATCAGGCGTTCTGGGAGCGGCTGTTGTGGCAGCCTCGCCATGTCAAGTGCAAACAGTGAGAAACTTCGTGCTCAGCTTTCCAGCTTTCCCGAAGCACCTGAACCAGGCTGACCATCGATCTGGGCTCCTGGAACAGACCATGATGGACCAGGCCCACACCATTGAGACTTACACCAGACAATATGAGAGACTTAGCCGCAGGTCTCCATGATCTGGTCACGGACATCCTCGGTCTTGCCAAACGCGTGCCTTGGCTTCAGTGCCCTTCGCTGTGGCCGTAGCACATCGCGCGATTAGCTCGGATATGCTGTTGTGCCCCTTGCTTGAGAAGTGCCTACAACATGTCCTGGTAAAAACTGCGCTATGCAGATACTCATGAAAACCTGGTCGCTCAGCTAACTCAGCCAGAGACACCTGAGATCCTTTTGGCCCACCTGCCAATCAATGTGTCAGGCAAATTAGGCTTTCACACTATGACTCTGACGCAACTGTTGCAATCGGATCCTCCAAGAAGGTACTGGGATGTTCTAGGATGAGGGAGGGTTCTGGCAGTTGCTCTGCGCCGCCCTCAGAGGTAGGTGCTGTGTAGGCATGATGACACAATTATGACTATGATCGGGCGGTTCTCGACTTTGTCTGATGTTGGTATTTGTTCGGCAGGTTCGCGCGTATGTCTCGAGTCCCAGGCTGCAGACCAGGATTTCAGCTTAGAGCTTGAGATGTTTCTGAAAGGATCCCCGTATGCGTTTAGGTCCCTACTTTGCCTCTCGCGTGCCATCTGCTGGCGCCGGGACGGAGCCGGAGCTCGCAGCGAAACCTTTCTCATCGCTTCCTGCACTCCACCAGGCGTCGTGTGTTTTGGGCTTGTAGGATAACCATGGGTGGAAGATGGTGCAACTGCCGCAACAGGAAGGCCTGCCAAGTCCGCAGCCATTGGTTCAGACTTGACCTCCTCCTGAACAGGGCTGGGAAGGCACGCATTGCGACGCGAATCTAGTCCAGTCTAAAATACACTCACAAAAGCTGTTCGTAGTGAACCGTCCTGGTGCCCTTCTGGTCTCTCCTGTTGCAAGGGCGGCACGGAGCCTTCCTGGCTGCTTGTGCGCAGTGCGGCCATTTCTGCTTCTCTCTGAGCCGCCACCCTGACCAGGTTACACCCTCAAGTCCGCCATAGATGTGATGCATGACCTCAGGGCTTACGGCCTCTTCAGCTCCTCCACCTGCTCTTCCCAGCACTGCCTTGCAGCTTCCTGACACAAAAGACGCGGGCCCAACACGGCCACATCATGGAGAATGCTCCTGACTGCTGTATCATGATCTTGCCATATCTTGCCCCAAGCCTGCTCTGATGCTGATCTGGTGAGCTTTTCCTGCAAGCTCTGAATCCTGGTTGCCACAGTAGGCCCGTCAAGTCCAGCAAAGATTGGAGGCTCGTCAAGCATCAACAACAGCACGTAGATGTATGATGCACGTCGTACGTAATCCCACCAAGCATCTCAGAGAGGTGCTCACCTTCACGGTGCTCCGCTGCTTGCAGCTTCTCCTGCCACTCGGATATTTGGGGCACGCGGGCGTGCATCGCACTTAATGGGGCATGTTGCAGGAACTACAGCACTGCATCTGTGCTGTGCCTGCCTGAAGATCCTTCGCGGCCGGCTCAGGGATGCTTGCCTGCGCATGTTTGACCCCAGCAAGAAAAAAAGGCCTCCATAAACTTACATAAGCTTACCAGCTAGCTTACAGTATGTCACAGCACCTTGAGCTCGTTGACGGTCGCTTGCAGCGAAGCAATCTGGTCTTCAAGAGCCTCCGCGGATCTCCATAAAACAAAAGACTGCTGTCACATCTCACGAGAACTTGAAACTTGCCCTGCGGAATTGAGCAATGCTGAGCAATGCTGAGCAATGCTGAGCAATGCTGAGCAATGCTGAGCAATGCTGAGCAATGCTGAGCAATGCTGAGCAATGCTGAGCATGCTGCAGACGGGCCTTCAGGTCCTTGCTTTTGTTCTCAAGCATCTGCTGCTGGGCTGCAACAGCTTCATCCTTGGAAACCAATTTCTCCTGTCACCAGTTTCGAAGCAAAAGACGGAACAAACAAGCTCAAGCAAAGCGCCTGCAACTCGAGGAGGCACTGTCGGAGTTGGGCCACGTCCTTGCGAGGACTTCGACTCGGCTAAGCTTGAGAAGCCCTTGCACTCACTCGAATGCAGTCTGCTGCAGATCTGTGCAGGGAAAGCTCCGTAGGCATCGGTTGGTTGCCCAACTGGCTGGGAGCGTCAGCTGCAAACAGGCTGGCAGCCTTCGGTGAAGCATACACGAGTACAAGAAGAGACTTCCCAGCGGATGGCTGGGTCCTTGTGTTCGGCGGGAGGGCTTGCCTCTGCCGTCACGGGCGGTTCCACACTGGCCGACTCGCCGGAAGAAGGCAGCAGCCCCTCAGCTTTGGCAGCATCGGGCTCCGCGCCTTCGTCCTGCCAGAATTTGGGCAAAGTGGAGCGACGTGTTTCTGCTAGCTGCTAGACATACCCGACAGCAGCAAATGGCATCATCCGATGGGTTAAAGCATGCCCCCTGTCTTCATGACTTGAGCCATTGAGTAAGCTGCATGCAACAAAAAGCTGAAGAGTACTGCCAGAATGTAGTCTTGTCGACATTCCCGGAGTGGAAACCGGCACATGCTCCCATGACCTTTACACCCTCGTGCATCTTGACACCCCCTCGCAGCCGCTTCTTCACCCCAAACTTCCCTTGGTGGTATTTGGTACTGTGGATAATGACCCTCCCTCCCCTCCTTCCCCCCCGCGTAGACATCTGCCTGTGGCAAGTTTTGGAGGTTTAGCCCAGAGCCTTCCACTGAAATGCATGGCATCTTCACCCTGCTATACCGTGTACAGCAGCAAGTGCACCGACTTCCAAGCGGATGGCTGGGTCCTTGTATTCAGCTGGCGGGCTTGCCTCTGCCGTCACGGGCGGTTCCACACTGGCCGACTCGCCGGAAGAAGGCAGCAGCCCCTCAGCTTTGGCAGCATCGGGCTCCGCGCCTTCGTCCTGCCAGAATTTGGGCAAAGTGGAGCGACGTGTTTCTGCTAGCTGCTAGACATACCCGACAGCAGCAAATGGCCGAAGAACCAAGAATCCCATTGCAAGGCTCTGGTTTCTCCATGCTCTCCACTGACGAACTGTATCATCCGATGGGTTAAAGCATGCCCCCTGTCTTCATGACTTGAGCCATTGAGTAAGCTGCATGCAACAAAAAGCTGAAGAGTACTGCCAGAATGTAGTCTTGTCGACATTCCCGGAGTGGAAACCGGCACATGCTCCCATGACCTTTACACCCTCGTGCATCTTGACACCCCCTCGCAGCCGCTTCTTCACCCCAAAATTCCCTTGGTATTTGGTACTGTGGATAATGACCCTCCCTCCCCTCCTTCCCCCCCGCGTAGACATCTGCCTGTGGCAAGTTTTGGAGGTTTAGCCCAGAGCCTTCCACTGAAATGCATGGCATCTTCACCCTGCTATACCGTGTACAGCAGCAAGTGCACCGACTTCCAAGCGGATGGCTGGGTCCTTGTATTCAGCTGGCGGGCTTGCCTCTGCCGTCACGGGCGGTTCCACACTGGCCGACTCGCCGGACGAAGGCAGCAGTCCCTCAGCTTTGGCAGCATCGGGCTCCGCGCCTTCGTCCTGCCAGAATTTGGGCAAAGTGGAGCGACGTGTTTCTGCTAGCTGCTAGACATACCCAACAGCAGCAAATGGCCGAAGAACCAAGAATCCCATTGCAAGGCTCTGGTTTCTCCGTGTCTCTCCACTGACGACCTGTATCATCCGATGGGTTAAAGCATGCCCCCTGTCTTCATGACTTGAGCCATTGAGGGGTAAGCTGCATGCAACAAAAGGCTGAAGAGTACTGCCAGAATGTAGTCTTGCATGACCTTTATGCTCCCTGTCCATCTTGACATCCTCCTCGTTTGCCCGCATCAGTCGCAGCCTTTTCTTTGCCCACAAGTTCCTTTGGTACTGTGGATACTGACCCTCCTTCCCGTCCTTCCCCCCACGTAGACATCTGCCTGTGGCAGGTACTGAGGGTTTGTTCAGAGCCTTCCCACTGAGGACTCCGTGCCCTTGGACTGCCTGTCTACCCCCTCTCTGAGGCAAACTCACAGTGTATGGCGCAGCAAGCGCTGGCAGCACGTGCACCCGCGAGTTTAGGGCAGAGCCCGAGCTGTTCCCACCAGATGGAGGCTCTAGTAGACATTGTGCTCGAGCCTAAGCTGCCAAGCCATACCCTGCAAAGCCATACCCCTTGCCGAGCCTCTGAGATGTCAATGCAAAGCGCCAAAATGCAACTATCAACTGCAGCGGATACTGCACCGCGCCATGTGCAAACAGCTTTGCGGCGGGCGCAGCTCCGGTCCTTCATCGCTGGGCCATCAGCAAGGCAGCCAGCCTTTGCTTGCCGCTCGGCCTGCAATTCTGTGCGTGCGTGCGTGCGTGGGTGCATGGGTGCGTGGGTGCGTTGGTGCATGGGTGGGTGCGTGGACTGCTTACAAGAAATTCGAGGTTACAAAGTGCTCTCGTGCGAGCTGCCTCTTCCGCCGGCATCGGAGCATGTACAGAATCCGCTGGCTCCGAGACAGGCTCAAGCTGAGATAGCTGCACCTCTTGTTCCGTTGAACCTGGCTCCTTTGTACAGAGGCGCTCTTTAGCGACAGCCGCATTTAACAGTGTGCAGAAGTTCAAGGATTGTGCTGCCGTTTTTTACTGACACCTTTGTGCGTAAACTTTGTCCTCTCGTATAGGAGACATCTTGTCCTGGCATCAAGAACTGGCAAGCAACTTCTGAGGCCCTGTTTCAGGAAAGTACTCCTCAAAAACGCTGTGCCACACAATGCCCGCACCCTGGGAATACGGATCCCAGTGACAGTCGTAATAGTTCCGCCCCTCTGTGGCTCTACCAAGGGATCCTTTGAGATACGCGCCTGCATGTGGCTCTAATTCCCTTTATCGACATACTGCAAAGTCTAAGTGCCATGGCCTCCGGCCCGCCAGGCCCAAGAGTCGCAAGTCCAGTGGCGCTCCCCCCTCTATTCCCGACATGCTTCCTTTCCAACCGGGGCTGTAGGAAGAACTCCGTTTCAAGGAGGCCCCCGCTCAGCAGCAACGCGCTGCGCGATGCGCGAAAACTTGCGAGCGCCCCCCGAGCAAAGCCCTGGCCTCGACAGCCTCCACCGTTCCCGGAATGTCGACCCTGTCCTGGCCAGTGTTCCAAGGCCAGCACGAAGTGTTGGCGAAGCAGAAAAAAATCCCGTTCGTGGAGACTACACTTTGTCAGTTTATCACTCTTTCTGAGAACCCTCGCAGTTCCAGGCTCTTCCAGGCTCTTCCAAGCTCTGTCTTTCTGCCTTGCCTCGGGCTTGCCCAGCTCCAGCTTCTCATGGACAAGCTCCGCATTCGGCGAGCACGGCGGTGGGGACCGCATTGGCACCACATCCTTCAGGATAAGCAACTGCTTGAGGCCTGGGTGTCACGTGTCATGTCCAGCCTCATCATCGTAAGGCCGCGCGCCCATCCACGAACCTCATGTGACTAAGGCTTCTTAGAACAGTAATCCACACTGCGTGGCGCCTTGAGTTTGAGAAATCTCGTCCATCGCGGCAAACGGCACGAACGCAGGCACTGCATCACCATTCTTCTCTGCTGCGTCCTTGCGTTCCAAGTTGGACGCAATACCATAAACACCATGACACACTACACACTGGGACACACTGGGACACACTGTGACACACTTCCTTTTCAGATCTGGCAAGCTTCTACTTCCGGCTCCCCAGGCTGCTGCACGTCGCCACCAGCTGCAGCATCCGGCGGAGGGCAGGAGAAGATGATGGAGTCCTGCGTCGCTTTGCGTCGCTCTGCGTCGCTGCGCATCGCTCATTGACTTTGCCTGACCGTGCACTGCTGCATACTGCCAACACTGTCCTCTGAGAAAGGATCCGCTGAAAGGTCCCCGAAGTTCTCAACATTGTTCCTGGGCAGCGCACTGCAACTTCACTTAGGTGGCACATGCCAGCACACGCACTGCATGAGCAAATGAGCACCATTGAAATCACTGAGGCCATCTGGGAGGCCAGGCGGCACCAGCATTTCTGTGGGTGGATCCGCCGAGAAGGCGGCCTCTTCCGGGCCCTTTCGGATGATGGAGGCCTGGAGGGCAGCGCTCATCAATTGTTCATGCTCATCTTTCGAATCTGCACTTGATTGCAAAGAAGATCGGCTACGCTGCATGGCAGCCTCCTCCTCTGTGCCGAGACTGACGGAGCTGCGCAGCGTTTCGATTTCTGCAACCAGCTTTTCCTCAATTGCAGCTGGCCCCATATCAAGCGAAACTTATGCAAACATCATTGCCGTCTTCCGGGTGCGACGTGTGAAGCGATCAGTGCTGACTTGTCAGACACTTTGCAGTGCAGCTCACGATGGCTGGGGAAGGGCAAACGAAGGACTTCTCCGAACGGAGCTTCGCGATCCGAGCACTTAGATGCAGCTAGCTCAGCTATGGCTCTAACTGGCAGAGGCGTGGAGTCTTTGCCATGCCACAGCTCTCAAACAGCTCGCCAGAGGCTCGTTCAGTCGGCTCCGGCCATGGGGGTACGCAGAACCAGACTACCGAGATACCGGAACGCCGAGAACTCTTGCACTGGCACGCATTTCTGCTGCTGTACAGCAGGTCCCACTGCCATATTCACATGTGTTGTCACGCAGCTGAGCACAAGCTACGGTAGATGGGCATGAGACGGGTTCAAGATTCACGACTCAGAACAAAAATGCAGGCAACCAGCGACGGCACGCCTAATGAAGTTATGTCTGCGCTTTCGTCAGGAGCCGCAAGCGCGCCCAACTGCACCAGCTCTTTGACCTTGGAGCGTCCACGCTTGTGGCTAACAGGTGTTAAGACAGGCCGAGTAGAACCCAGCATACTCAGTAGAGTTGCAAGACAAGGCTGCAGCGGCTGCTTTCAGAAGCAGCATTCTTGGCGGTTGCGGCAGCGAGCCTCCGATGGAAGATCATGGAACTGCGCAGAATCAGACATGCAGCTCTCACCCGTCCATGTGTGTCCCAAAGCCCCTGGCCTAGGAGGGACCGAGCTGAACTCAAATCCAGTGGACAGTCCCTGCAGCAAAACGCGCAAAGTCACAGCATGGAAAAAAGGAATGTGCTATCACGCTGGAAGCAAGGGTCGCGACGCCGAAAATCTTGCAGCAGTCTTCTGCAACACCTCGGCCGATCAGTCCCTGCTGCTGTGATTCAAACCGACTGGCGCAAACCGTTGAATCATGCTACTTTCTATACTGTTATGAGCCCCATGTACAGTGCCATAAAGATCCCGCGTGTCTCCAGGCCTGCGAAAGCTTCTTCGCCCGCAGAAACAACTTAGCGGTTGAAGTCCGAAGTATCTCCGGCGTGTCGAATTCAGGCATCTTCTCCTGCAGGGATGATCCGAACCGGCCTTCTGACAGCTTTGCTTTGCTTGCAATTTTTTGCCGGCCTCGAAGAAGTTCCGTGAGACGAACCGGATTGCAGTCCCTGGCCTGAGGTGTTCGAATGAGTGGCAAAGTGTAGTGCGAAAGGATCCTGCGAGGTCGAAGCTCCTATCCTTTGTTGCCGTAGGCTCCCAGCTGCGTTCGCCCCGCGCGACCAGATCGCTGCCTTGCTAAACCGTCCGCAAAGTCACGAACACTCAAACTTGGAAAAGGCATAAACACGGTACTCCAAAACCCAAATTTGCCAGCCGTTGCCTGGCAGATGCTTGGGAGCACCAGGAGGTTGTAAGGCACGTCAAGCCTTGCTTGGGGTCATAGACCTGCCACGCACTCGGTCTGCGAAATTCTGCTACAAGGAAGATGCAAAAGCCAGCTCTACAGCACGACAGCCTCTGCAACGACAACATGAAAGAGTGACCGGCTCTCGTCGCAGAGCAAAATCAATGACGGCTGTCACCTTTGGCCTGAGTCAAAGCAATCTGCACAAGTGGAAGCAAAGTTTCTCGGCGGAATGCATCTGTAGCCGTTGTGCACTCGTCTGCCATCTGCACAGCTTTTTTTCAGGTGGCTTCATCAGGAATCTCAATACCTAGCTGCATCAGACAGTCGTTGCAGTGCCACATCCTTAGCACTTCAGCCCATTCTAGGATTGAGGTGTAAGTTGGAGCATGTTGAAGTATGAACGTGCGACTGGCCCATTTAACTTCGAGTGGCTTGGTCACCTTCTCGACCCTGCCCAGCATCCAGGGGTGAAAGCTGCCGCAGAAGCAACATTTGAGCACCTGTCGTGTGCGAACATAGGACTATATAGATCTATATTAAGCACACGATCAACTGCTCTCACGGCATGAGGTGAACGTAAAGCTTCCAGCAGGCCGTAACGAGAGTAAGATCCTTTGTTGCCACTCGTCTCACTTCTGAGACTCGCTGGGCTGACGCGCTGCATTTTCAAGGAGCATAGGCGCACAAGGAGAAGGGCTTTGCAGGCTTTGCAGGAAGAGGAGGGTGGCCACCAACAGATCAGATACAAGAGTCCTGGCCTTCGGAGAGAATTTGCGCCAGCAGTCCTCGAAATCAGTGCAGTAGAAAGCAAGCAGCTTTGACTGAGGATGCCCCAGGAATGCTTAGGGATTGGGCCCGATGGCTCACGCCTTCCGAAACCCACATCTTTCGACTAAGAAGCTTACGGTTTGATGCAGGCAAAGCTTTGTGTAGAAGCGGAGGGTACCAGAGAATTGCTGGCAAGTGCTAGAAAGATCAAAGTCTGAAAGTTCACACTGTTTACCCATATGAACCGCTCCTCACAGAAGAACTCCTCAACGTCTGGATCAAGCCACCCAGCTGCCGATTTTTGGCAGTCTGCACAGCTCCCATCGACACTTCCGACCTTTTGCGTGGCAAACTCCTCCTGTCGCAATCAGAGTGTCAGCGTATTCCGAGTATTCCTTACCACAAGCTTTCGAGAGACCCAGGCAATGCTACGTCTGCACGTACCCATTGGGTTTTTTGGGGAGACATGCAACCTGTGAGAAATTCTCGAGGAGCTTGTCCATCCGTGATTGAAGCACCTACAGCCAACAATCCGACAATAAGGCAGCAGTGGCTCCACCATGGAGGTGCCCTGATTTCTCCCTAGCTCTGAAGCTTGGACCTGCTGAGTTCCATGCCTGGCCCACTGTGGGCTTCAGCCACCCATCCAGTATCACGTGCCGGTGCAAGGAGGGCAAGCTCACCTTGCCCCGCGTGCGCAGCTCCTCTTCCACCTTCCGGAGCATATGCACGACCTGCCGCCATGGTTTTCCACTTGTGGCAAGGCATGCAACAAAGTGGTACGAAGGATTCCATACAACGAATCAGCCCTTCAAAATCCCTCGCACCCTAAAGCGCTTAACCCCTACAATGAAGCTAAACCCTGAAGGCCCCAAATCCCGAATACATCCCTAAACCCTAGACTCTGAAACCCCTAACAAGCCAAACCTGAATTAAACTAAAACCTTACCCTGCCAAAACACTACTAGCTGTAGGGAACGATAGAGCCCAAGCAGGGCAAACCCTGAAAGCTCAAAGCCCGACACCACCACCACCACCACCACCCCCACCACCACCACCACACAACTGTTGTACTGAACTTCTATCGGATTTGCTTCAGGTGGTTTTGCAATTTTGCCCTTCTGTGTTTTCTGAATCTGGTCTCATCTGCTTTCTGAATTTGCTGTCCTTACTTTCCGAATCTTTCTTCTGATGTCAACTGGTGTTTTCCGAAACCCTCTTCACTCCAAATCCTTATGTGCCCGACCTGGGCTCCCGTCATCCACAGCTTGCCCATCTTCAAGGGAATCGCAGCATTGCGCATTGCAGCGTGGAAAGATTCCCATTTGTCCTGCTGAGAAGACAGGGAGCTTGAAGGTCTTCAGATATTTAAGTGTGAATATATCTTTTGCCGTCCTCGAAGTCTTTCTTGTTGTCTACAGGAATCGTAAAGAAGTGTCGCCGATTTTCCGGATAAGCGTTGCTGATGAGAGTCCGGATCTCCTGGAAGGCAGATAAGCCAGGTGGTGCAGAAACTTGCCGCGTTTATTCTACGGGTATTTCTAAGCTTCAGCTTCCCATGAGTCCTTCCGCTCTTCACCGTGGTCAGCGGCCAAGATCTTTTCGAGGGCATCTTCCCCATATCTCAGCCTTCCATGCCGAGTTGCGGTCAAGTTCAAGCATCAGCTTTCAAGGCGCAGGAGATATCATGCCTGTTCTGATTCACGACAAAGAGGAGGGTTTGTGCCTCTGCCCGCTGCCGCCAAAAGTATTTCAAGAAGGTGGGTCGAGGAGATCCAGTCAGCAAAGCACTGCCGCACCTGCAGGGAGCCTGTGCCATCGCACTTGATGAGGGCACGCTCCTGCGATGTTGGACTGTTGCACGCATGCCCAAAGAGAGAGGCGCTCGTGCACTGCAGTTGCGGCCTCGAGCATCCGGCCGAGCGCTTCCACAGCTGCCTCAGAGGCCTTGCCATCGGTGACGAAGACCAACGCCGTCGCAAACAGTGCCCCAACCTGAGAGGAAGAATCAGCACAACAAAACTGCAGAAGGCCCTCGTGAGGATACGGGTGTCACATGAGACATGCCCTCCTGCATCGAGGGACCACCGTCACAATGGAATGGCTTTTGGACATGGCATTGTTTCCACCCTCGCAATCCAGCACGAGAAGATGTCCGGGATGACAGGACATTGCAGCAACGTCGATGCCTCGGCCGCGCCACTTCACGAAGTCGCTCTTTTCTCAGTAGGTTACCAGTTACCCTGCTACACTCAGCTGCTCGCCTTCAGTGACAGCCTCCTCAGAGTCGTCATCTCTGAAGGTACCCTCCCCAACCTCGGTAGACGCTCGACGCAGCTCCGCTGCCCCTCAGCTGCAAGAAGCAGTCAAGAGCATGCTGTCGGGATACTAGCTTGGATGCCAGGAAGGATTTTCCACTGCGTCCATCACCGACAAAGGCAATGGGACAAACCGGTCCTGGAAGCGCCTCCAGTACCTAACACAACCAGATTTGTCAGAGATGTCAGGATATCACATCCTTGTCACAAAGCCTTGTCCGTGCAAACGAAGGACGGTGAGACCTTCTTCGCACAGCTTGGGCTGCTCGTTCTCGAACTTGAGTAGTGGCGCAGACCTGGTCCCGAGCACTGATTGTTGCTGCTGCGGGCACAACACGCACCGAAGCCTCTGAGGTACTCACTGCATCGTCTGGCGATATCACCATGGCCGAGCGGGTGTCTTACAACCGAGCTAGTGCTAAGTATGTCTCAGGGTCGACTCAACTAGAGTCAGTCACAAGCTTGGGGATACAGCTGGAGAACAGGCGGGGCGTGCCAGCCTGTCTCGATGTTTCTCCAATGACCGTTCAATGCAGAAGGCCCCTTTCAGCCAAAGAGGGCTTTGCCGTTGCAAAACAAAAAACGACTGGTGCGACACTTCAGCAAGTTCGGGTGGCCTGAGCAGAGTTCTGAGAGGCCAACAAAGTCAGAGACGACTCCGCAATGTTGGAGGCTAGTACGATGTGGCACTTGCCGCCTGAAGCCGAGTTGAATCACATGACCAGATGCTGTAACCCCCTCACCCCCTCCTAAAACACAAGCAGTTTTTCCCCGGAGCATAGCAGTGCCTTCGGGAGGCCGAAAGACTTGCTCCTGCTCTGAGCGCGGCACCTTGGGGCAGCAGGAAAGGGGACCAGACAACGGGTGCCCCCCTTGGGCAAAACAATTGAACCAAAGAAGAGGTAGAGTGCTTACGAGAGGCGACTAGACTAGAGGCGTACCAATCTTTACTAAGCTTGAGCAGCTTGAGAGATTCTGCGAGTCTCTGGTCACACCTCCGAGGATCATGAGATGGCTTTCTGAAGCGGGATCTGTGGCCCGAACGGCAGAGTGCAAGACGAAGACTTGGTAGCTGGATGGTGCATCCCTTGGCATCAACGCGTCTCCCCACTGCGGCAAGCTCTCCGCAGTCTCTCCAGTGCTTATCTGGTTCCACAACAAAAAATCACGACAGGTTCTGTGCTTGCGCGTGTTTGCCACAGAAGTTTGTGATTCGTCTTCAATTGCCATCAAGGCTTCTGCAGGAGAGAGACAATTGCGGCCACCCCTGCACGCCGAGGACCGGAGTTGTTTTTATTGGCTGTCTATTTTCATTCTTTGTTGGTTGTTGGTCCTGGTCTCTGGAAACAGAGGTGAAATTGAAAGAAAGAATGAAAGAGGTCCATAACCGAAACCCCTGAAAATCCAAGCCTTGCAGCCCAAAACCCTACAACAACCCTTAACCCTAAACCTGAAGCTCTAAACTCTAAACTCAAAACAACAGAACATGCGGAGGAAAAAAACTTGAAGCGCTGCTGGGTCACCTGTCCAAGGTCGGGAAAGATCGTAAGGCCTCCGTAGCACACTGTAGTCATCGGCACTCACATTTTTCATGTGATGGCGCAAGGAAGGTGACTGAAGCATACTAGTACCTGTTGAGGGCTTTGGGCTTGGGGCTTCAGGGTTGAGGTGCTTTGGGCTCAGGGTCAATAGGGCCGAAGGGGCATCAAAGGGACCAAAGTGGCATCAAAGGGGCAAGGGCCCGGCCTCGGGTGTGAACATACTGGAGAGATTGAGGAGCTCCATCAGGCTGCCAGGGTCAAAGAGAGCACACATGGCGGAGACACTGCTTTGGTTGGCACACAGTTATCATGTTGAGAGAAGGCTGCTGTGAATTGGTTAAGGGGGCATCTCTAGTTTCGGTGTGTCTCAAGGTGTCGCATAGCTTGACAGCGAAAAAAGCTTGTTTTCCACCTTTGGCCTGTTTGGGCATGCCATTTCGGGCAACTTCAGGAAGGGCACCCTCATACCCAACAAGCGATGCTCCGCAACACCCATCAAAGCATGAAATACACATGGACCCTGACATGACAAATTCAGCCAGCCACTCTGGCAAGAACATGCAAAGGCACTTACATTGGCAGAAAACAACGCGCTTTGCTCTCCTCTCTTCCCCCATGCCCCGTGCCCGGGCATGAACACGAGCAAGGTGGAGTCCCTCTTGGCAAAGTAGGGCACCAGCTGCACTGCCTGAACACCAAAGCAACAGCACTGAGACATTCGGATCTCTCAAAAAGTTCGCAACTTCGCCCACGTTGTTGCCCTGCAAGCGCTTCACTTCGAGCCCAGGACCAGCTCTGGCAAGCCCGGGAGGATGGAAGGCGACTCGAGGTTGCCGTCCTAAACAAGATGCATTTCGCACACAACACGGGGTGACGGGGTGTCCACTTTTGTCGGACAGTCCGGACACATTCCCCCACGTCCTCCCACGCTTCTTCGAACTGTTCGGCTGCAGCCTTCTGCGCGAGAAGACAAGAGGACGACAAAGGCGAGCAACCCCAGAATTAGAGGGATGGTCATGGTTTATCATGGCCTCCGCCAAGGAGTACAAAGTGCGGGGGAAAATGTCTTGGTACTCAGCCACGAGATCGTCCTGCCATGGCAAAAGCACGCTGCGGGCAAAAATGTGACAGGGCGATCCTACTCGATCCTTTTCAGGTATCACTCACATCGATGGACACATGTATTAGACGTAGCGTTGGACAGAGAGTTCAGAGAGTCTTCGAGGCTCGAGACCAAGGCAACTGCCTGGTGTCACGTGCTTCAGCGCACTCTTGCACTGTCCTTCAGCCCCCCAAACCCCTTACGGGAGAATGTCGGAAGTCCACTCCATTCCGGAGTGTTCAAAATGTGCAAAAGCCAGCAGCGAATTAGAGTCATAGCTCGGGAGAAGAGCATGCCCTCTGGCCTTGGCCACATACCGACCACCCATCACTTCAGGTATCACGCATTCCAGTTCCGGTCGGTTGGGATCTGAAATGTTGATGATTGCGATGGACTTGCCATCTAAGCAAGGAACATATGCCCGATCCCCGTCAACTGTAACTGAGTAGGCGCCATACAGATGCTGCTTGTCGACAACGGCACCTAGAAACACAGGTGCCCCGGGCTCAGATATGTTGAGAATAGCGAAGGAATGGGAGTAGTAGCCAGCGACGTAGGCAAAGTTGCCTTGAACGGAGATGCCATACGCCCCATCTAAATAAGTCATATCTTGGACAGTGCTGATGATGAACGGCTCTGTCGGCAAACTTACGTTCACTGCCGTAAGACCAGGCAAGTCGGCACTCACAACCCATGCAATATCGTCAATGACCACCAAGTCCCCAGCACCCTTCAGACTGTTGCCGGATACTTTGCCAATGACGCACGGCTCTCTCGGCGTGGAAACATCTATCACCAGCAACGTGGCTGCATCGTAGGAAAGAGTATAGGCAAGCTCACCATCAGCGGCCACGCTGTACGAGTAAGGGTACTCCGCGGATTCGTCCAGTGTACCCACGACTTCAGGATCCTTTGGATCTGAAATATTCACGATGGCCAAGGTGGCGAGCTCGAGCGCCACGAAAGCAAGGTCGCCGCTGAGTGCCAGGCCAGTCGGACCCGGAAGGTTCTCGTCACTTTGGACAGACCCGGTCACCACTAAATTCGAAGGATCAGAGACATTAACAATCACAAGCGAATTTGACAGGTAACCTGTGACAAATGCCAGGTCTTCCCGCACTTGGACTGCCCAGGCGCCAGCCGGGATGGCCAAACTTGACTTGTTCACCACACAGTCATCGACAGCTGCAGCTACAGCGACAAGCAGGAAAGCAACTGGCCAGCCCAAACGCCGCTCATCTGACATGGCATGACAAGGCTCAAGGCTTAAGTGTTTGTCGATTGTGGTGGAGGATCATGTCTCTCAGGCTTTTGCTGCTTGCACGTGCTGTTACGGACTTTTACGCGTAAGGCCCGGCTACGTTTGCACATGTCCAGCTTGCCATGGCAATGGGCCACACAGCTCATGGCAAGAAGAACTGGCTGGGATTCACATGTCGAAGCACGGAGAGCATCAGATGCTGGAGCGTGAACACCTTCTAGCAACTCTTTGGCCAGAGAAGCTCTACGGACCTAGAGCAGTGCGGTCGGTCCAGAAAGATCTCCTGCACCGGTCATCGGCTTCACACGTGCACACAGAAAGACTGTGGGCATGGCTTTACGTTCCAGGCTCCTGCACCGGAAACGTTCTCCCTGGCCTCAGTGCTGAGAAGGGGACACCTCTCTGGATGCCACGCGAAGTCACTCATGCACGCAAGCTTTTGTGCTCAAAGTGTCTTTAGGACGGAACACAGACAGAGACTGCCCCGCATCAAAATCAGAGAAGTAGCGGCCTGGCTCAGGTATTCACTCTGGCTGCCTCTTCAGAGTGTCTAAGCAGACAGGCTGCCAAACTCTGCAGGTTGGAGCGTGGCCGACATCAAGACCACCTCTCCGCACAAAATCGCACGAAAGCAGGCACAAAATTGCACTCAGACGAAACAAGCATAACAACCCCTCCCAGAACACGATATGGAACCACTGGCTTGCGCCTTTGGCCTCTCGAAGAAGTACATCAACAGCTTCGTGAGCAGGAGGAACATCTCCATGTCTGCTGCTCTCTCATGTACCTGCTAGCGGCGGCGCAGCAGAGTCCAAAGACTTGATGTCTACAGTGTCTGCAGTTCTCCGTGGCCTCATCAATTATCACGTGCGTGAAGTGCCCAAAATGCTCAGGCTTTGCCAAGAACCAGGTCAGCACATATCCTTTCAGGGCAGTGACGAAGAAGCGGATTGCTCGTTGAATGTCTTTTCTCACAACCAGCCTATTGTTGCAAACTGCAGCTTGCCAGAGCCAAGAACTGTCTCGCCCGAGATGCGGTAGCCAACATTCTGGCCGATTCGTTCGCCTCGCTCAGAAGCCACGCGTCGAGCGATCTCAACCGCTGCTACACGGCGCGGCTGTGTCACCAACACCTGCGCTCCAGGCTCGTTCATCAAGAACTGAGGCAACCGTGTAGACTTTCCACATCCGGTAGCTCCCACGAGAATTGTGACACGCTGAGCCCTCACTGCCCGCACGATGTCTGAGCGCAATGCTTCAATGGGCAAATCATCTGACACGCGTTGGTTCCGCATCCCTCCTGTTTCCCTTGGCGTCTTGGCAAACGGCGAAGACGCCAGAGCTGCAAGTTCGGCACGCTCTTTGTTCTGCCTCTCTTCCTGCAAGCGCCATGGATCCTCATCAATCGCCTGGGCCCATGAACTGTCCTCGCCCCATGGATCCTCCTCTACATCTGGCAGAGCCGCTTCTTCTGCAGGCACTTGGCTTCGTGCAGTGTCCTCCTGCTGCGGGAACGCGCTTCCGGCAGCCCACGCCATGGCCTCCTTATCCTCCAAGATTTGCCATGGGTCCTCTACATCTGGCGGTGCCGCTTCTTCTGCAGGCACTTGGCTTCGTGCAGTGTCCTCCTGCTGCGGGAACGCGCTTCCGGCAGCCCACGCCATGGCCTCCCTGTCCTCCAAGATTTGCCATGGGTCCTCTACATCTGGCGGTGCCGCTTCTTCTGCAGGCACTTGGCTTCGTGCAGTGTCCTCCTGCTGCGGGAACGCGCTTCCGGCAGCCCACGCCATGGCCTCCCTGTCCTCCAAGATTTGCCATGGGTCCTCTACATCTGGCAGAGCCGCTTCTTCTGCAGGCACTTGGCTTCGTGCAGTGTCCTCCTGCTGCGGGAACGCGCTTCCGGCAGCCCACGCCATGGCCTCCTTATCCTCCAAGATTTGCCATGGGTCCTCTACATCTGGCGGTGCCGCTTCTTCTGCAGGCACTTGGCTTCGTGCAGTGTCCTCCTGCTGCGGGAACGCGCTTCCGGCAGCCCACGCCATGGCCTCCCTGTCCTCCAAGATTTGCCATGGGTCCTCTACATCTGGCGGTGCCGCTTCTTCTGCAGGCACTTGGCTTCGTGCAGTGTCCTCCTGCTGCGGGAACGCGCTTCCGGCAGCCCACGCCATGGCCTCCTTATCCTCTACGATTCGCCATGTGTCCTCTACATCTGGCGGTGCCGCTTCTTCCGCAGGCACTTGGCTTCGTGCAGTGTCCTCCTGCTGCGGGAATTGGCTTCCGGCAGTCCGCCCCTTGTCCTGGTCTGCGAAAGTCTCCGGCTGCAGGGAATCACCCTTCCTGGACTCCTCATGTCCCCCCATGCTCTCACGCGAGCCCGGCTCCGCCCTGCCTTCGATTCTTTTCTCAGCGTCGCGTTCCAGCACATGTTTGGAAGTATCTTCCTCTGCATCGACATCCTCCATTTTTCTGCCTCGGCAGCACGCTGACTTGTTGAGGTTTCGACAGAAAGAAAATTATCTGACCTCGAACATCCCCACCCTCTCTGGGTTCTGGGGTTGCGCACTCCAGGGACACTATGGAGTTTGGGCACTCCAGGGACACTCTGGCCCACAAGTTTATGTCTTCCCTGCAGGCTCGGCTGCTGGAATCTGGCTTTGCCCGCTCGTTCCAAGCAGACGCCGAAAACCGAGGCACAAGCTCCTGAAACGAACGATCAGGAAGGGTTCCACACAGTGAGCGTCGGATGCTTCGCGTCCTGGATGTTGTCTTCAGGGACACTCTCGTTGACTATTTCCTGCGGACTGACAGCGTGTGATGTTCCAACAGCTTTGTGAGCAACTCATCAGCTGGGGTGGAGAGGGTAGAAAGGTGAGAGATCAGCGTGATCTCGGAAACCTCACAAGCCCAACCACCGACACATGCTGCGATTTTTTTCACACAGCGGATCTGGCATCGGCATGTGGAGTATGCTCGTGACTTGTGCAACTTCTCAAATTACGGATATGCACTGTGGTGCACCGCCCTGTGAGAAAAACGTTCAGCACAGGCTCAGTCCAACCGTGCAAAGGGCACTACATGCCACTACTGTATTTCGATTCTTCACTTCGCTGGACTCACAAGACGATGGGAAGTTCACGCAGACAGCTTTGAGTCCTTCGCAACGGTGTGCACACTTGGCATGCTGCCTCCTCAAGCTACCTCCATGCTTTGCCATGCGTTGCCATGCTTTGCCATGCTGTGCCATGCTTTGCCATGCTTTGCCATGCCTTGCCATGCCTTGCCATGCCTTGCCATGCGTTGCCATGCTTTGCCATGTCCTCCTGTGTGCCCGAAAAAACTGGGTTCTTGGAGGTCTCCAGTGTCTCGCCGTCGCCTGAGAACGCCGAAAGCCGAAAGTGAACGAAAGAATTTCCAGCCAACCCCACCAATGTGTCACGTGCATCGCTTGAACACCCAAGCTGATTGTCCAAGTTGCTATTCTTGGGCACGAGGGGCGTCTTCTCGGCCTTCTTCTCGGGGCTTTCCGAGACGAGGCCATCGTAACCTGGCAGAAGATGGGCAGGATGAAATGGATGGACATCCCACGAGGCTCTCCAAAGACCCTCTAAAGCTTCTTCAACAATATTCGGGCAGCTCTTGTAGAAGAGGGCCATGAAGACGAAGCCAAGTGCCAGCACTTGAAGGCCGGTGATGTAGTGTCCATACTTGATGTACGACGTGATGATCGACACCCTGAGGCGTCGGTGACCGTCGGTGCTTGTTACCAGTACAAACGACATCAACAGCAGCACGGCAAAGAATAGTAAAGCCCAGGCACAGCTGCCGAACGTTCATCGTAGCAGCAAAGACCAAAGCGCCAAAGTCTTTGATCTGCCTGCAAAGCAGAGGGTCTGAGTGGGTGAGCCCTTCGATCACACGTGTGAAAAGGTACAACGAGGAATGTCAGAGGACTAGAACCATCCCAGGCACGAGTAGATGAACCACTGGCTTGCAACCTGGCAAGGGTTTGCCGAAGGTTGTCATGACGAACTTTCGAACTTTCATGTCACTTCTATGATTCATACAATGACTCTAGGACTGGCCTGGGAGACGCTGAGAGTCATGGCATCGCTGAGCAGCAGCGGGTGGGCATGGATGAAGCTGAACGCGTCGCCCAATCCACCCGTGGCTGGGTCAGGCGCTGCTCGAAGGCATCGTTTTACAACAGCAAATAAACGGCAGTGTGTACGAGACGTGAATCAAGATTTTTAAATCTTGGAAAACATTGGAAACAGACTCTGCAACCAGCTCTGCCACAGCACTCGTGGACTGAGGTGTCGGCTCAAGAGCGTGGTCATGGACACAATTGCTGAGAACGTGTTCACCCACAGCAGCTGGTTGTACCTTGCAGAAGCCATGCCAATGTTATGTCCCAAGGGCAAGGACCGTGAAAGCTGTAGCTTGCAATGTGTCGCACAGGTACTCCGAGACTTGAGCCTCTGTACCCTGTTCATCGTGCTACTTCACTCTTAGGCACCGGGCTTCGAAAGGTTGTATTCCTTGAAAAGCTTCTCTTGCATCGGGGAGGTGATCCCGTCCAGCGCCAGGAAAAGCACCAGCAGCAACAGCCCTGGCACATGTCGTGCTGGGATCTGTTTTTGATAAAGCCAGACTCTGTCCCCAGATGTCAATATGTCCCATCATGCCCCCATGTGACGCCCAATGCACCTTTGACGCTGTTGCTCGTGTGGTCGTCGTTCTCACCAGATTCCGTCGCAATGGGTCCAGTGAGCAGGAACTGCGTCACGCCCAAAGTCACGAAGAAGGCAACGCCCCACTCCTTCAGTGTGTTCAGCCTAGCGATTCTAGCATGACCTCCTCTCAACTATTCATATCTATTCATCGCACACTCAGACCATGCAAGGACGACCTGAGCTAAATAGGACAGCTATGCTCTGATCATGGGCTCCTTGATCGTGTAGCTCTTGGACCTCAGCTCGTCTGGAAAACTCTCGGCACTGATTGCGGGGCTCCGGTGAATACAGTCCGAGTCCGAGTGACGAGATGACAATGCCCCAAAGCATCACCGGCATCATCTTGAAGCTCTTGCCGAGCATCTGAACCGGGAATGACACCTAGTTGGCTCGAAGGACGAAGGGATCTTCGAGGGGGGCTGCTGGGGACAGTATGAACTCAGTATGACTTATGAGCAATCGAGCCGCATATTTCAAGGCTTCGTATTGGCATGTCGACGCAAAGACGTTGGACAAGGACCTGGTCACTGCCATGTCGAGCCACCCACCGCTTGGGGTCAACATTCGTAAAGTACATTTGACGGCGCTTGCATGCGCCTGCAGACTGAAGCCAAGGGGCACAATCAGGTATGAGACAAGTGGGGCCTTCAACTGCCACTCTTCCCCACGAATCTTCGCCATGATGAACGCGAACCTGTCCGGAGGCGAAAAGTCGGCGATGGCAGTTGCTGCGCAAGGCAACAGTATCAGTCAGGCAGCCATATGGCGCAGAATCGGTTGCAGAAGACGAGAAACCTCTCAGGCAACCAATGGCAGCATGTGCCTGTCAACACCGAACTCAGTCACATGGCCTAGGTTCCCAAACTTGTAAGACGCGACTTAAACTTCGGAAAGAAAACAAAGCCGAGTAAAGTCGGAGCGGCTCTGTGAGGGGAGTGCTCTGGGAGTGGTACCCTCATGCACGGCCGGGTGTCGCAAACAGTGCGCGAGCCAGCTCAAAACTGATGGAAACTGAATGGAAAAGGAAAAGACTTGATTTGCTCACGGAAAGGCAAGCTGCGGCGGCTAGCACAAAAACATGACTTCACACCTCATCTCCGGACTAACCTCATGCTGAGAAGGAGGTTCGAGGTGCGCCTTTCTAGTCCCATGAGGGTCACATGAGGGTCAAAGCATAGTTTTCTCGGCACGTTGTCATGACGAAGCTTTGTTTGGCATTGGCTTCGGTGTTGGACTTTCACAACTTACTTGATGCTGCGTGCAGGCGCATTTCAAGCATGTGGGAAGCAAAACTGGGAAGCAGAAAACGGTTGCCGTCCGAATGACAATTGTCTTCGCCACTGGATTGGCTATGAGTGGGCCCGAGGGATGAGACGATGCCGAGCTCCGCCGTGAGGAGGATGGCTTCCGCTGTCTCGCGATGATTGCTCTTCCAGCAAGAGACGGATGGTTCTTGATATTGGTACATGTGGTCACAAGGTTCAGGGTTTTGGAATGTGGGATTCCAAGTAAGAGAGCTTCGGCCCGACACGGATGTAGGTTGAGGATGACCGAGATGCAGAGTCCAACCAGCGAAACGTCTCCATGCCCCATGTGCAGACAAGCAGCACAGATGTCTTGAACATGTCGTCACCGTATGGCACTGACATGATGCGCTCCTGCTGCACACCATATACCCACAGCGACCCAATGATTCCCAGAACATAGACCTCAGAGGGCTTGCAGAGTTTGAAGTTGCACGTGAACCCCTCGCTGGCACACATGAAATCACCTGCTGCCATGCAGTCTACAAGCTTTGACATCCGAATGGCAGATCCCCAAAGGAGCTTATGCCATGTATTTTCGTCAAATTGAATCGGCATGCCGAGGGATATCGAGCGTATGAAACCTCAGCGAATCTGGGGCATGGCTCTTCCCACTTGCCAAGAGCCCAAGGTTGAGCCATGTGGGACTTTTCCCTATCCACGCATTTACACGTGTCCTCAGGTCGGCGCAAGTTCAGTAAGCGAGGGATCCTTTGACCCCTTCTTGAGATGGCAGCAGGCAGTCAGAACAGTAGTGGAATCTTCATGATGACTTGCAGCAACTAGCACATAAGATCTGCATAGCAACAATACAAGTGCTGATGTATTTGAATTATCTGAGCACGGAAGGGCCTCTTCTCTCTCTTTCAAGATCGAGAGCTTCTCCAGCCGTTCGCTTTCGGAATCGTCCATCAGCGGCGTAACCTTCCAGGAGACTTTTGCTTGAGCAGAGCGCCAACAGAAGCTCCACGGAAACGGGCTGAAACAAATTAGAACAGACCAGGATCTGGACCCGTGCTGCTGCGTGTCACCCAATTTTCCTCCATCCCCCCCCCCCCTCCCCACTGCCCTGGTAACGGATGCAACAGCATGCCCTTCTACCCACACACACACATACACACGGCACTTGAGCGTGGCTTGGTTGGTCAGGCAACTGCAGCTCTGGCTCGACCCCCCAGAATCCCCACTTCACCCCGACCCCTCTCATCCCCTCCTTACAGCCTCATTATAAACCTCTCAAAGCCAGGTCTGGGCACGAAGGACGCTGGATGAACCGGCGATTCGCAACTTGCTGAGCCACCATGGCAGAGAATCATCCGGCAAGTTCAGGATTCAGGGATTAGGGCTTTGCAAAGGCCAACTGCTTGTCCTTTTTGCCCAAAGCATCCCCCGGCCGAGGCGGGTCGCAGCAGTAAAACTAGCGGAGACCCTTGCACACTGCCAAAACATCTGGCCCATGCCCCGAGAGTTGGGACAGTCTCAGGTCAGGACATTTGTCAACAGCCGTGCCAAGCGCGATGCCTTTGTCGCAGCCAAGGACAGCCCAGTCCCTGGCAGCGTACTTACCCTTCTAACATCCACGCGCAAGCGCTCGTCCTACTGCACGACCGCGTCTTTGACAACTCCAGGCTACACTTGAGCGACGTGAGCTTCGCTGAAGCATCTGTTGCGAGTAGTTTTTTCACCGTCGCAAGTGCATCAAAAGTGAGGGCCTCTTCGGCCTCTGTCCCGGCGCCGTGCCAGGCTCCGGAGGCCTCCGCCCCGGCTGCGTGCCTTCGTGGGGCCGATGGGTCAGGATGGGTCAGCACAAAGGGCTGCCACAGAGGGCAGCCACAGGGGGCTCGTCAGCACCGGTTAGCACCCATCATCACAGGCTTCAAATTCAAGTGCTGTGGCTGGAACAGATTCTAGGTTAGTGGGATGAGAAACGTGCCTTCTTGGGGCCTGCTGGCCCTGCCAACATGTTCGCTGGCTTCTAAGAAATCTTGCGAAAGCTTGCAAAAGTTGAGTTCGTGGCCAACAGCTTCAGGAAAAGAACCGCATCAAAGCAGTCCTTGCCAGATCTGTTGGAGGCATGATAGTGCTGGCTGGAACACTAGACTACTTCGCGCCGGAACTGTAGACGCAGCATGCAGCATGGAGCAGCACAGGAGCAGCACAGGAGAGGCATGAAATGAAGCAGCCAAGTGCAGGCGTTGATCCCATGCTCCTTCGGCTGCAAGGCCCAGGGCCTCGGAGCCACTGTTTCAGCGCTTCGCGGGGAAGCCAGGATCCGAGCAGCGGACGTGGACTCCAGTTGCAGGATTCGGCCCAGGTGGGTCAATCCCTGGAGCACGTCCTGCGACAAAAACGCATCCAAGAAGGATCCAGAGTCTTATGAAGGCTTCTTGGCTGTGCAATCTGTGTACGATGCCCGTGTCCTGGAAGGCTCCCGCAAACGCACCGGACAGCTCATCACCAGGGTCATCTGCCTGCAGCTTAACAGCGTGACGAGTGCCTGCGTGCGGGCCATGAACCTTAATCGCTTCAACCTCCTCGTCACCATCGTCCAGGGCATTCACCACAGACTTCATAAACTCTGTAGCTTGCCGCCTCGTGGTCACTTACAGAGGAGCTCAAAATTATTGAAAATACATCTGCGAAGAATGCGTGAAGTGGCGTTCGTCCCCTCCCACCTTGGCTTCAAGAGCTCAATGGTCCAAGCCAGGGACTCGAGCTCCTGGCATCTCTTTCAGACCCAGAGAAGGGCAGAGAGAGAGAGAGAGAGACAGTGTGGAGATGTGTGGAGTGCAGCATGTCTTCCAACGCCGGGCCTCAGCGCCGACAAGCACCGATCGAGCTGCAAGTCGCACTGCAGCCACGGCCCCGAGCGGTTCCCAGCTCAGACCTCTAGGCTTTCGCCGTCACAACACACGCTTCGTGCACCTCAATACCCATACGACGCTTTGCTCAGCATTGGTTAGCACACCACAACTTGCTGTCTTCTACTCTCGAATCAAGGCAATCAAGCCTCTTCAACACCTGCAACCAGGCAGCGATCGTTTTGGGAGCCACATCGGGCGATGAGCTTGTCTGCAAGCTCGACCTGGGGAAGAGTCGACACAACAGGTCACGGAAAAATCCTATTTCAAAGAGCAGCTAAGGCAAGGAAACCAGGCAAATTGTTGGGCCAGTCAGCGACAAGTTCTGCTTCAGAACATGCTGTTGCAGCTTCCGCAGTTCTCCGAAGAGACCGCGCACACGTCGCACTGACGAAAGATTCCCTCCGGCTGCCTTATGGCAAAGCCTCTTTTGGCATCGCGACAAGCGACACCTTAAATGAATCTCGTCGCGGCCTTGCCGCTTCGAACTGTGCTCACTTTGCGAGGTCCTGGAGATCAAGGACGGATCTGGAAGGCAGAATGGCTGGCGGGGGGGGGGGGGGGGTTTATGGAGCTGACTATCGCAGGTCCTTGATCTCGCCGGGAGTTGGGCATGGCTTGAACTTGTCCCCTGCTCCAAAGGTGTACTTGCATGCTGCTTTGCCCGCAACCCGGCCGAAGACCACGCAGTCCAACAAGGAGTTGCCTCCCAGGCGGTTGTTTCCATGGATGCCGCCTGCTGCCTCACCCGCCACGTAGAGGCCAGGGATGGGCTTGCCGGTCTTCTTGTCAATGCACTCGGCATCCACTGTGCACTCCAGGCCACCCATGCCTGGAGCCGAGGGCATTGTGATGTACTTGCTTTCAATTGTTTTGAAGTTGGCAAACATTGTGTAAAAAAACCTCTAAAAATGGTGACGGGTTTGCGGGGAAGTTGTTTTGAGTTTGCAGCTGGGGTTTTCACGGGATTCCTGCCAAGATGCAGTAGTGAATCACAGGCGTAATGATGGCCACATAGAAGGGCTCTGTTGCAACTTTCGAACCATCGATGATGTTGTGGAAAAATTTCTTGCCACTGCCAGTCTTGCCACTTGGCTCATCCCAGGTTTTGCCCGAAGGGTACGCTGGAAAGGGCCCGCCATCAGGATCTTTCTCCTAAGTTCATGTCTGCGCCAACCTGCCATCCTAAAATTTATGTCTGCGCCAACCTGCCAACCCTGAAACAGAGCGGGTTAAAAAGCAGTTTGAAGACAGCTCCAACCTGCCACCCTAGAGTATTCCTTGCGACAAGCTAGAGACGACCAAAGACCCTGCAAAGATCCTAGGTCATTGCCTATTGCCTGCGACAAGCGCAAGAATATCGGAACGGGATAAAACGCAAACCAGAACTGCAAATCAACTGCCATCGCACCGCAACTCATGCGGACGAACTGATTGCAAACTTGCAAAGATATGCACACAGGACTGAAGAACAGCTCCGCCGACGTTGGTGCACGGCACACCGTGGCGACAACTTCCTATGCTAAATCTTGTCAGCTCCTGTGGGTGGCTCTTTACGTGGGGAATTTCTGCTGCTGCTGCTGCTGCTGCTGCTGCTGCTGCTGCTGCTGCTGCTGCTGCTGCTGCTGCTGCTGCTGAAACGATGTGAAACGATGTGGGCATGATTGGTTGGGAACCTGAGCGAAACGTGAGTGTAAGGCACCGAGGCACTACTCCGAAGCGCTGCTGAAATATCTCAAATTCAAGCGAATGCCTCGAAGACCTTCAACATCACGCATGCCTCCTCTATTTGTGTCCTTGTATGCTGTCCTTCCGTGTTCTTACCTCATCCCTCTCGGTGCACCTTGCTTTAATCTCTTCGCAGTTGTTACTCATTCATCTAGTTACTACTACTTCAAAGTCGGTTGCTGGATGTCCATTTGCTTTAAACTTGAAGCCCTTGTCTTGCCGCTCCTAACACATACAGCCGGAGGCGGGCAGACTTAGGAGAGTCCGTGAACCTGCTTACGAGTCTCCTGCTTCTTCGCTGCCTCAAAGTGCTTCTGGTGCGCATCCACGAGCTTCTGCAACGGCACGCCCATGTCCTTTGCCAGATCCTCACCGCTGGCGTAGAACTTCATGACACCGCGGCCGGTGTAGTGCTTCGCATGCCAGATGATCTCGTCAGCCGCTGCCTGAGCAAGTGACGAGGGGAAGCAAGTCAGTGTGCAAAAAAGCACGAAAACACCAAGCGTTCTGCCCTTACAACTCCGATCCTTGTTCAAGCAGAGGCGGAACGGGGGCTTGTTCTTCCACATCTCTCCAGTGACGTAGTCACGGCGGCCGAGCTCATTGCAGAAGCGGTCGCCATTCGCGTCCAGGACGATGCCGCCAACTCCTCGAAGCGCTTCTGCTGCCAGGAACTTCACCTTTGCATCCGGATCATCGGGCTTCACAAGACCGGTGGGGTGCACCTGTACCCACTCCAAGTCGATGGTCGCCGCGCCGATACCCTCACCCATCTTGATGGCATCACCGGTGCAGTGCTCGCCATTCGTGGTGGGCAGGTGCAAAAGGTCGGGCCGATAGGTTGCCAAGAGCGAGTCAGCACCGAAGTCGGCGCCAAAGCCACCGGAAGCCAGGATCATGGGGCCAAACTCCTTCACAGACTTGCCAGCCTTCTTGTACTCACAGCCCACAACTGTCTTGGCATTTGTGAGCAGCTTGTACACCTCGGCCTTGGTGATGATGCGTGCCCGGTTGGTCTTCTCCGCAACCTTTTCCAGCATCTGGATCAGCGCGTAGGTGATGGTCATGCCTGGAAAGCGCTCCTTGCCACGGTGCGTGCGCGGCTGGGAGTGGCCGCCCAGTCGAGCGACAAGGGACAAATCCAAGTCGAACTTGTCTACCAGCCAGTCGACGTCCGCAGCGCTGTTGGCACACAGCACCTTCGCAAGCTCTGGCTTCTTGGCGCCTCCCTTGAGCGTGTCTGCGATGAAGATCTCAGCATTATCCGGGATGGACTTGGTCTTCTGGGTCTTGGTGCCGGCACCGTTGATGCCGCTGGTAGCCTTCGTGCTGTTGCCGCCACAGAAAGAGGATTTGTCCAGCATCAGCGTGCGGCCGCCGTTCTCCACCACAGTGTTGGCAGCAGACATGCCGGCCAGACCACCGCCCACGACGATGACCTGATTCGCTGGGAAAACGGCCGCCATGGTCCCTGCACGGCACTCTCCCGAAAACCGATCTAGACTACGAAAGTGGACTCGAGCACTGGCAGAATGTAGCAATGCTTCTGAACCTTCTAAGAACTCTGCCAACAGCAAGATGCAGAAAGCATTTGCTGAGTGCTTTTCTGAGAAGGCCCCTGAAACTGAACCGAGGCTCCGAACCCAATCTGTCAACCAGACATCACTTAGGCAGGCTCCTCGAGCAGCGCGCTCCTCAGTGTCGCCGAGCACATTGGATCACACGCGATCACAGACACATGCGACAGCAGAAGCCTGCAGAGGTTTGTGATGCTGAGGCTGTGGCGAGCAGCCACGCCTTCACCTGTGAATCTGGTGCAGAATAAGAAAGCGTTGTCACTGTTGTCACTCACTAATCCATTAATGCCAATTTTTTCACTCTCGGAGCACGGAGCCTCAGAGGGCAATCCACGAAGCTTCTGCAGCCAGGAGCCATTTTGAAGGAGGTAGTGGGCTTGCCTCAGAGGAAGCCATGTACGCCACGGATTTTGCGACACAACGCGATCGGCACAAGCAGGATCAGGAAACGACTCAGCCAGCGGAGCGTCGGCATGGGCAGGATCTGCAACAGGCTTCTGTTTACTGCCGCACATCTGTGCACCGCCGCCATCGGAAGCTTGGAAACAGTCGTGCCTGCTTGTCTAGACCGAATCCATCGCAAAATGTTGATCTGCATGGCGGGCAGTTCCACAGTGTCTTCTCCAAGATCTGGCCGAAATGATTTCACCCCCAAGGACGGACGCTCGGCCTGCACGGGAGAAAATAGGAAACAGATGGTGCAGAGTCACTGTCAAGAGCTTGGCAGTGAACATGTTCAAGCCCTGCCTGACAACGGTCCGGTTTCACTTCCTGCTTTGCTTGGGGCCTGACCTTGCCAGGAAAGCCCCGGACACAGCAAACGATGCCAGCACAAGAGCGTTTTTGTGCGCCAATTTCGTCCATGCTTCCTTTAGCCGCTTTAGCCTCCACGTCTATGAATGTGTGCAAGAAGCGGTCAAACCACTTGATCCGTGGCTCCGACTTCAGCCAGCGACTCCAACCTGCATGTACGCCCCTCCCAGCAAGCTTAGACACCAGCAGTCACAACCTCACGCTCCGTCCATGCCACCTCTGCTGCCAAGCCGCAGCTTCTCCAGAAGCCTCCATACCTCGCAGCTTTGCAATGCTTTGCAGCTGCTGCCCGCAGCCGCACTCACGAAGATGTAATGAAGTTTCGTGGAACTCTCAATTTCTCCAACATTCCTTGACCACGCCTCAAGTCCTCGACCTCTACTGAATTTTTCGTTGCACGGACGAGTTTTGAGCGCTTGCGACGCGGACCCGCCTGGCAGCTTCAGCAACCACTCTTGCACGAGTGGACCAAGCTGAATCGTTTCAGCACCGTACCTTGCAGCGCTCACAAAGAGATTGTGCACTCCCACTTCATGGCCAGAAGATAGATACAACAACTTCCGGAATGCTAGATGGTGCTGGCTCCTCTGTGTTTTGCTCATTGCACTGCTGCAGGCTACCAGCAAACGATTCCGTCTTAGAGGAGAGGTTGCTCGATGCTCGAAGTCGCTGCGTTCTTAGCGTGGTCCCGACCGGACGCCAAGTGAGGCGCCTGCTGGGGTGCGCTGATTGCAGTTTTGCGCCGAGCGCAGGCCATTCATGGCCATTCTCAGTTGGCCAAGATGTCGTTACTGGGCTTGTTCTTGAAGGCGTCATACATGACAAATGGCAGGTTTTTTCCTGCACGAAGAGCTTCTATATCCGCTTGCATGATGTCATATGGCACATCTCCCACCAAAGCAGTCTGCACCCGATGGGTGGAGTCCACCAGAGCTACGTGGGGCAGGCCATCCACCTTGAACTTTCGAGCCCACTTATCCGTGTCCCGGTCGTACGGGAACGTGTCCGGCATGTCCTGTCCTGCACAAAGGCGAGCTGAAAGGACAAGGTCAAACAAAACTACAAAAAAAACGGATTCCTGCTGGGCTTTCATGGAAAGGCATGCTGAAGTCCTGGTCCCGCGAAGGACACATCGAGCGTGACGAAGTCGACGTTCTTTCCCGCCATTTCCTGGCGGATCTTTTGCAGCTTGGGTGCCATTGCCTTGCAATCACCGCACCAGGCGGCAGAGAAGTCCACAACCACCGGGCGCCCAGACCTGGACAGGGAGATCGAAGAGGCTCTCAAGGCCGGGAGCCTCCTTGATTGTTATATTGAAGTGCACAATGTGCACAAGTCTGCACAAGACTGCACAGGCCACCACTCAGGCCTCAGGGCGTCGTCCAGCTTTCTGGAGCCAGCGGCGAGTTCCTTGATGCTCCTTAAGTCGGAGCCGTCGGCCCAAGCAACCCCAGGAGCCACCACAAGCGGCACCAGCGGCGTCAGCGCAGCGCGGCGGCCCAGAAGGAAGCCTTCAAGGCCTGCGGAACCAGAAGCCCTCAGCAGCGCCAAGCAAGCCAAAACGCTGGCCACGACCACACCGAACACGCCGAACACGGGGCTGGCACGGGCCCGTGCCCGAGCAGCCCGACAAGCCTGAGAAGCCCGGACAACCTGCACAGCTCGCCCCGCGCGCACAGCTACCATGGCAGCTGCCTTCGAAGCCGTATAAACTGCTTAGCATAGTTTACACCAAAGCTCATCTCTGACGTGCGGCTGCGTGTTTTTCTCCCTTTTTCTGGTACTTCTTGAGGCGGCGGCCACAAAACAGGCACTCAAAAAATCATGACACTGCATCCGCTGAGGGAATCTGCGCGTGAGCTTAAACTTAAACAAACAAATGCAGCTCAGCAGCGGGGCCTGCAGGGCCCCGAAAAAACAAACAGGAATATGCCACATGGCCCCGAAACAAGAAAACGGAATATGCCACATTGTAGCGCTACGAGATCGGCCCTGAACTTCTAAACGATGTTATGATGCTCAAGACTTTTGCTTTGTGTCTGTTTGCTTCCAGGCAAAGAGGGCACTACGAGCTATGAAGAGGCTGAATAGTTGTCTGCTGTCTTCGCCAAATCATGCCTAGCTGTGGCCTAGGTTGCCCTTCAAGTGCTCCAAGACCCAACAAGATACCAACATGCCTTGATGTTACTACTGGGTGCTCCCTGCATCACCTCCCACATACTTGCCAGGCCGTTCGCTAGTCCTTTCATTCAAGTTTGGTTTGCTTGCAATCGTCAGCTTGACTCTGACGTTTCCGTGTCAAGATTAAGCAGCACTGCGCTGCGCACCACGTTTGCGGTATCTTGATTATTATAGCGTTGACCAGTCTGGGTGCCAGACACAACAGCTGATCGAGGGTCTTCCTCAACCAGCCTCGTCCACGGCAAGAACCACACCCGAACCCTGCGTGCTGGAACTTGGCCTTGCGAGCAGCTTGCTTGGACCTTGGAGTCTTGGAGGTTACAAAAACCAACAGATTCACTCTTGCATCGCTTGAGGCTCACACCTTCGTCAACGGCTCTCCAGCAACAGCTCTCGCCAAGAGAGAATTCCACCTGCTCCTGCATTGCATCCAAATTATAGCCGCACAGCACAGAATGTCGATGGCATCTGAAATACTGACTCTCCCAGAGTTCAGTCCTCTGCAAGCCGGTACATGGCATCCTTGACTCGAGTATGATCAAGGCTTCCACTTGCGCAGAAGCTCTTCACTAACACTTGCCAAGGTCCTCAGCTCCACCACTGCTGAAGGCACTGAAGGGGTCTGACGTCTCGGTGCATCGTTGGCATTCAACATTGGCACATCCCGTATGCTCCAACTTGGAAGCCCTATGTCGCAGGCTGTAACGAAGCAAAGCTCCACTCCCCTGGCGCGCAACCTTGACAGAAACGGGAAGAAAGAGAAAACCTCCGGGTAAGCAAGCGTAACAAAGCAAACCCCACCACGACTAGCATGAAAGATGGATAAGCCGCATGATGCCGCGCTGAAGCGCGCCTTCGCACCAGCGTCTTGACGCGTCGGTCCATCTGGCGGTAAGTCCGCAGTGCTCGGGGACCTCGAGTGTCGCCGATTCGTCAAAAACAGCAGGCTTGAGCTGAGCGAAGTCCAATTGCAGAATTGTGCAGAAGTCCCCAAGCCTCGACGGAGCTCGAACCTGACGATCCAAGCCACGAAAGCTTGGAACTCCACGAGTACCTGTACATCAACAGCTGCTGAAGAGACAGGGTTGCCCGCAGAAGTGCGCTGAATTGCGATAGGCTGGCACGGAAGCCTGGGATGCCGTTTGCTGCTCTTCGCTGAGCATGGAGGAGAACAGCCGCAACCTGCACAGAGACTCTGCATCTGGGAAGCTGCATCCTGGTCGCATACTGCATACTCCCAACGACTTCGTAGTCGGCCACCTCGGATGCCGATGTCGGGTGGTACAGTGCGAGCGTCGCCTCACCCGAAAGCAGCTCGGATCGGAGATAGAACAGCTAGAAGCGTCGTTACTGTTGGCGGCTAAGGCTTTGAAGGCCTGCCAGCCACGAAGACAGCCGCAACGGCGGCTGCAGCGCATGGCGTGAAGGAACCTGGCACAAAGCTCTGCTTTTAAACTTCGTACGCCTCACAGGTTCAAACAGCGCAGTGCACCGTTGGCACGTCGGCTTTTCCTTGGAGCACGCAGCCGTCGCAGCCATGCCCAAGTTGAGGTTGCTCCTCAAAATTCGCTTGCCGCATTCCCGGCATTCCCTGCATTCCCTGCATTCCCCACGGCCAAGAGTCGATGGCCTCGCTGCGGTGGAATTGAGACCGCATTTGGCCGCAACCTTGCAGACATGGCAGGGCGGAACGGTATCGCGGACCAGCAACAGCAATAGCGGTAGAAGCAGAGACGGACCACCAGCATCCATACCGGTAGTGGATTGTAGCAGAAACGACGATAACAGGCAGGGCAACAGCAAAAAACTGAACTAGAAACGGTGCTTGCATGATATCTCAAAACAAGGTATCTACCCAAACCTCTGCAGCGTCTCGTGAAAGGGACTTTGCTTCATATGTTGTGGGCAGGTAACCTTGAAAAAATACTGAGCACCCTGCTGACTCCCGGACGGGAAGATGCCGCAACAGTCACGCATGGCGAAGTGCGACGACTTGTTGGATCCGTTGCAAGTGTGGGAAAGACATCGGTGAGGTTTCTGCTCGTCCCCTTGCAGCTGCAACTGCGAAGCCTTGAGGATAGCAACTCACGCCCCATGCCACATCCGCGGCAAATGAACTACCACTGGTAGCAAGAAAGAAGCTGCAAGTCGCAGCATTTGCTTACCCAATCATGTCCCCTTGCTCAGACATGCCTAGTGCAGACAACAGAGCATGCATCAGCATGGCCGCTAGCTTTTGAATGCGTTGCACAAGGTGGAGGCTTGTTTCGCAGATCTCTTTGGACCTGTCACAGTGCTCTGAGGATCTCTGAGGCTCAGAGGTGCCTGCTTTCTATGAGACTCAGACTTGAGAATCTGAGCTTCGGACCCGCTGGGCAATCGAGGAAATCACCTGTAATCGGACAGCACACAGAAGTTTCCGAGACTGAGCCCCAAGGCTCCGCCCTCACGGATCAGGTGACTCACGTGTCAACACGGCTCTGTGGCTTCGCATTGAGCCCTCAGTACCCGGCTTACCTTTTGCCTGTGATTTCGTCGTTGACAGCATCATGGTGAACTGTATGTGCACTCTGATCGCCCCTTGCACCTGATTCCGAAATGTGCCCGGCTCTGTTCGGTGGAACTTCGCATATGTTTGGTGACGCCCTACATCGTCAATGGGTTCTAGTTTGTCCGGTACCTACCCACACTCTTTCCGTTGCCTCACACCCTAACAAGTCGACCGGCTTCCTGTACTGTATCTGCGTTCTTGCTGCCGTCGTTTCCCCGATGCTTCAGCTTGCGCCCGAACGAAACCCTGACAAGTACGAAACCAACTAGTTCTGAGAAACAAAGCCAGATCAGAGAGTCGACAAAAATGAGGATGAGAGGTGCTTCCGAAGCGTCCTCCCACAAAGAAGTTGCTGCCATGAAATCATTCTTGTTAGCCCATTCGTTTAAAAGAAGATGAGTGTGCAGGGTGCTGTCCAGTTTCCACCTTTACCAGATCGATTTGCGCACAGCAACTACACAATTGACAGCTCTTTCCCTTACTGATCACGGATCATGCGAAGAGCTGGAGGTTTCAATGTGACATGTCACTGTGCTGGGCACCTCCGGATGTGTCGCCGCACGGAGAAGTGCTGCTTGGACCGCTTCAGGCGTGACATCCTGCAGAATGCAGCGACAGCTGCAGCCCTGTCATAACAAGGATTCAAAGAGAAAACAAGTGGCATGGTGGCCTCATGATCATCAGAAGCTGCCTGCAACGGTGGCAAGCACTGTGTGTTCTGCCTACAGTAGCATGTAAAACCACAGCAGGACATCGCAAGGGTAGGTACCGTTGGTGGCACACATTTTAAAGTGCTAGCACGCTTATTAAGACTGGTTCCTGATGGCACTTCAGCCCAGCCGAAACCTCCAATTCCTGTGACATCGAATGCCGCCCTACCTTTGTCCGGAAGCTTTCGCTGGCTTGCTCAGCCATGCCTCCCGATCCCTCGACATTCTTTTCCAGGCATCGTACCCTATCTTCAGAAAAATCAACGAAAATGCTGATACCAGTTGAAATCAGTTGAACCCAGTTGACCAAACAAGTAGTAAACATCGTCCCTTGCACCAGCACGGCGGTGCAAACGCCGGAGACGCAAGCGCAAACAATGGTTTAATTGTAAGATAGTCTGTGCGCTGCTAAGCTTGGGAAACCACAAAATATTAAAAACCAGAAGAACTGGAAAACGAAAAATCACTTCCGCCACACAGAAAACCAGAAAAAAAAAACAGACAAAGCAGAAAAAAAAAAACAGCCAAGACCCACACAAAAACACCAAAAAACACATCTAAGCACCTCAGAGGCAAGTGTCTGAAAATTGTTTGAATCTGGCCCGGGGCCGAATCTGAAATAGATCTGAAAAAAATCTGAATATCTAGTATATCAGCAAAACCCAGTCTTATGAGGGACAGATTGTCTTAAGTTTAGAAACTCACACCGCAAACGCTCGAGAGCAGCATTCCTTTTTCTCTTCATGAGCGATGTCTCTGAACACCTGCGTTCCTCAGTCGCCACACTGGCGATGGGTACAAGTATGCCCTCAGCAGAGGGACATACAGCTTGTGGCGGTCGCAGACCCACCCATGGTTTCTCAAAGTATAGAACGCACCCACTGTTTCAGAAGACATCGCGTAGCCTGAGCTGAAGACTGGATCTGTAGGCTTCTGGCGGGAAGTCAAACTCGGACAACTGCCAGCCTTGTTGCTTGGACCACTCGCAGTGGAGCCCCAAGCGAGAAAGTTCATCGCTCGGGTTGCTGTCCGAGTCTATCCACTCGAAGAATGTTCGGAGACTTAGCTGAAAGCGCAAGATGGCTGCGAAATGAGCGATCTCGTGAATGTCGCCTTCATTGCTGCAGCCTTTGACGGCTGCAGACACTGCCCCTTGGTTGTCTACATACCATAAGGCGTCTGTAGAGCACAGAACTTGAGGATAGAGAAGGGGAAGAACCAGGACTGCCAAAGTTTCGCCAGCAAAATCTGCTGTTTGCGCGGCTTCCATTCTTCAATGGCCGCCTGCGGCACGAGGCATGTGCCCGCGAGGGGGACTCGAGGGGAAGGCTGGAAGATCACCCAACCTAAACGAAGTTCACCCCCTTCAAATGAAGCATCTGTGTAAATCACGGAGAAAGGTCCCGCATGTGGCTCGAGGCTAATGACTTTGGGCTTGGCACAGAGCACCATGTGGCGCAGGCATTGGAGGACCATGCGCTCCTCATCGAGCAAACTAGGACGACCCTCTAGTTGCGCCTGTCGAAGTAGTGGCCCTGCATACTTAGCAGCATTACCCGCGCACGACGAGAAAAGCCACTGAACGTCTCCACGGAGCTTGCTAGCATCGTCGCGAGAGAGAGCATTGGCAGCCAAGATGGAATCCAGCTTTGCTGAGACTTTGTGCTTTGTGGATTGCTTACATTGCATAAACATCCAACGGTCAAGAGAAGCATCGCCAACATGCAGGGAGACGCCCAGGTAAGGCCTGTCCGCCGTAGGGGGGAAACTTTTCGGCTTCTGAGGCGGTGCCCCCATGCAGGTGAAGGAGCAAAGGATTCCCTGCCTGGACAAGTCTGACGTGGAAACTGCCTCCAGGGCCAGCTGATCATCAAAGTAGGCAGATGCGAACGCAGAGCAACATCTCCTTGCAACGGCAATGCCCAAACACGAAAAACGGTTGAAGGCGACGACTGCCGCTTCAAGGCCATACGCAAGACCCCAAAGGACTGTGAAGCGCCAGCCTTCGCCCGGGACGAAGACGGACGCAACTGACACTGCCAGGTGCTCCGTGCTGACCGGCAAGCCACGGTAGGCATCAGGAAGGTCCTCCGTGCCTACGCGGAAGCGCAACCACTCCGGCGCTGGGCCTTGCGGGCAAAGCGCTGACAAGATGTCACGAATGACTGCCGGCACAAAGTCAACGGAGCTCGTCCAAATAGTCTCTGCAAGACTGGCATGCGCATTGTGGTGCGTCTTTCTTGCATTATCGATGACTCGCATTTTTCCGTGCTGGTTGAGCACGAAGCGCTCAAGTGGTCGCCACTGGGCGACCCCGAAAATGTCATCCATCTCAGCTTTCGTCTTTAGGGGGGAACAGAAACCCTTAGATATCTCATCGAGAGTCACTGCTAAGATTTCCTGGTGCATTTTAGGCGGCGGAGACCTGATGATGGCTTCAACCGACTCAGCGGCCTCTGCAGAAAGCCACTGCTGCAACGTAGGAGGGGTCTCTTTGACCGGCACGGGCCGAAAAAGACCCGACGAGCTAATCTCGCCCACGATGCTAAAACCTCTAACGAGTGACATGCCTATGTCCCTATCCGGCCAGCGCAGCAAGGAAACCATACAAGCGGCAAAAGCTGGACTCTTGCTTGAGGCCACTCGCTGCGAGGACTCGGACCTGAAGGGCCACAACGCTTGGTCCAGGGGTTCAAGCGCACGTCGCAGAGCGCGCACGACGTCCCTTTGTCGCTGAGCCAGACATGGGAAGAATTCCCGCCAGAGCTGCAGGGCGTGGATCGGAAGGAGCAGATCGGCCTCGGGCCACGACTGGGGCTCAAAGGGAGACGGAAGCTGGAGGCTTTGCGCGATGTGAGCTTCTTTTCCAAGGCCTGGCGGGAGGAGGAAGTCAAGGCCCTTTGCAGTGTCAGAGGGGTAGCGTTGGCCGCTCAGACTGGTAAAAACCCGGGCTCTGGAACGCCTATCGAGAGAAGAGGGCCCGAGCTCGTGCCAGACCTCTCCGCGGCCTCGAACAAACACAACATGTAGCTGCATGAGAGGGAGGTCGCAAAAAGTCAGGCGGTGCTCGACAGCCTTCCAAATTGAGGGTGGCACGTTGAGCTCGCAGAACTGAGCCTTCATATCTTTGACCAAACCAGCAGCATCATAAAGGCCAGGGAAAGCTGCACGCTTGGTGGGATCCCAGGGGGTCCCCGCAATGCGTGCCCGCAGCTCAGCATCCGGGCGCAGGGAAGGTGGCAGAAATTTGGCAGAGCAGACGAGCTGCACGCAAACGTTGCGCGACATCTTGCATGGACAAAGAAGCAGGCACCAAAGGGGGACTAGGGGAAACCACGGCGGGTTCGGGACCTAGGGCAACCCTGCGTGCACATTGCTGCGCTCCAGCTTTCGGCACCTGCGCAGGAGATGGCGGGTTAGGGAACCTAGGGGAAACCACGGCGGGTTCGGGACCTAGCCCTCGCTCAACCCTACGTGCGCTGCTCAATGCAGTTGAATGCGCAATTGAGGCCAAGGATGAGAGAGGCGGCTCTGGATCACAAGCCTGACGTCTGACCTGTTGGCAGACCTGCGGGGGGGGGAGCACTCCGCCTCACTAGTGTCAGGAGTGATATCTGAGCCCGGAGCCGAACCCTGAACGAAGGGTATCTCGCAACGCTCGAAAGAGCATGCACTCTCAGGAATTTCCGGGAGCCCCACTGAGTGCGAACAGGGGCCTTCCCCTCTTCAGGCAGGATGCTGCAGCCTGGTGTGCTGAGTGCTGTTGCAAGCCGCTCCGAACGGCAGCCGGACGTCGCAGGTATGAAGGTCCGGGCATGGAGAACGGTTGCACCCCCTGCCGTCATTGTAAGCCTTGCAGAACTTGCGGCCACCTTTAGCCATGGAGACGGTTTGCAAACGGGGAGCCTTGTTTGGCGAGGTGGCGGACGGGTCAGCTGTGACACGACGCTTGGGCTCAGGGGCACCGGCGCTCTCCAACGAGCGAGCTGGCGGCGATCGCCACTCGAGGTGCGTCTCCTGCAGGGCTGTCGCCAGCGCCGTGCAAGCATTATCACCTCTGCGGACCAAACTGGCCATCTTACCCCGGGTGAGCTTGTCGTTACGCTCATACCAAGCGAGGCTGCCCCCACCAAACTCCACGCAGTTCCGCAAACTGACATCTGCATAGTTGAGGCTCTCGGTGAGGCCAATCATCTTCCTTTCGACGCCGTCACTGTCCTTACACATGTAGTTCCCTGCAAAGGCCCAAGCGTAAGCCAAGGTGCGAAGTGCCCAGTAGTACTCCACGGCGCTGCGCAAAGGCGCGAGAGACTCTTTGTGCATCTGAAGGACGACCCCGGTGTGAAGGAGAATGTTCTCTTCTCTGGATGGCATGGACTGGGCAACGATGGTCTTGATCTTCCGAGCGTCCAAGACAGACATTGCGCGGCGCTTGAACTCCCTGTAAACTCTTCCTCTCAAGCTATCTGCAGGCTCGAGATGAGGCTCCATCACCAACTGGTACGATCGTTTCCAGTCATGTTGCAGAGTTTGCAACGTGGCCTCCGGCAACGGATCATCGAGGTCCATGTCGCTCTGGTGCTTAATGGCAGTCTGCTGGCATGCCTGGATGGCCGTTGACCCGGCCTGCCACGAAGCCTTGACTCGCGCCAGCGCGAGCCTGTTGTCCCTGATAGCGTTCACCTCCTGGCAGAAAGCATTGAGGGACGTCTCCCACTCTTGCTTGTTGATCATGAAGACGAAGTCGTCGAGCGTCTCAAGCTTGTGGTGCTGGAGAATGGCTTCTTGCCACTCAGGAAGCACATTGCACGAAGTCCAACAGGTCCGAAGGCCTTTGTCGTCCGCATTGAGGTCCACACGGCTGGCCGAGGCCATCGCAGCCACCACCGTACGGGGGGATTGCAGGTGCAAACTTGAGGAAAACTGCGGATCTTTACCAAGCTCTGACAGATCTGTTGAGATGAAAGGGAAAAAAAAACTAGATTTTACCCGCGAACATTCTTTCACGTTACTCAAACTGCATGCGCGCGCAAAGTAGTGGCAAAACGTGGCAGTCCGTCGTGAATTTGCAAGGAGCACTCCGAGGGCCAACGTTCCATATCACACAGTTGAGCACAAAAGCTGAACTCCACAAAGTTCTTCAGCAGCAAGACCCCACCAGCAGCCCTGATGCAAAAACACAGAGCGCGGAGTCTGGTAAAGTCACACGCGTACTGCCGTCACAACTGCAGAGATGGAAAACTACGTGAAGCACAATTACATGTGGAAAGAGAGAGGCTCTGAAGACCTCGAACGTGGCATCGCGAAGCAGACAACACACGTGGGAAGGGCATACAACATGTGCACTGCGGGCGAAAACGTTGCTCTGTCCATGCAGGAGCACACGTCTCACCGTACATGTGAAAAGAAGCAGTATTCGGGACTGCAACGCTTTTGGAACAACATGCCTGCGAACACAAATGAGTTGTGGCAAAACCTGTGCGACCTCACACGTGGCGTCGCGAAGCAGACACACACGTGGAAGGGCATACAACACGTGCATTGTGGGTGAAAAACGTTGCTCTGTCCATGCAGGAGCACACGTCTCACCGTACATGTGGAAAGAAGCAGTGTTCGGAACTGCAACGCTTCTGGAACAACGTGCCTGCGAACACACAAATGAGTTGTGGCAAAACCTGTGCGACCTCGCACGTGGCGTCGCGAAGCAGACAGCACACGTGGAAGGGCATACAACATGTGCATTGTGGGTGAAAACGTTGCTCTGTCCATGCAGGAGCACACGTCTCACCGTACATGTGGAAAGAAGCAGTGTTCGGGACTGCAACGCTTTTGGAACAACGCGCCTGCGAACACAAATGAGTTGTGGCAAAACCTGCGCGACCTCGCACGTGGCGTCGCGAAGCAGACAGCACACGTGGAAGGGCATACAACATGTGCATTTTGGGCGAAAACGTTGCTCTGTCCATGCAGGAGCACACGCCTCACCGTACATGTGGAAAGAAGCTAGCATTTTTTTCTTCCCCCTCCAGCCGCGCTGCTCGTGCAGGGTTCATAGGCCCCGCGACTCGAGGAGCCGGGCTTTCAAGAGCTTAGGCACACTACGGAGGCAACGTTGGCAAACAGCGCCCTCCATAGGCGGCAAGCCAGAGCCTGTGCGCGTAGGGTCCTGCGGGAAAGCAGCTTTTCGGCAGAACGGTACAAGGCGCTCGCCATCATCCCTGCACTGCACAACGTGGAACTTCGCCCTCTGCTGGAACCAGGCCCAGTCATCCACATCGGCCACGGGAAGCACCTCCTCCCCCGAAGAACTCAAATCCTCAGCCTCGCCAGACGAGCTGGAAGAGCTCTGCGAGGAAGAGATCTCCGAAGTCGCCGCGCTGTCCTTTTTGGGGGCATGCCCCCTCGGTGCAGAAAGCGAGGGGGCCGTAACATGCGACCAGAGCAATGACTGGGAAGGGAAAAGCTGCGGCGATCCCTTCCTATGGCCTTGCATTCGACGGATGGCCCTGACCACTGCCTGAAGCACTTGCTGCTTAGCCTGCAGGCTATTGTCAAGCTTGTTTCCTGCATAATGCGTGGACATGAGCTTCTGGCGCTTGGCACCCTGCTGCGCCTGCGCCGGCTCTGTCCAGGAGCCGATAGCTTGCATGGAAATCTCATCAAGACCCAGCGTAGAACCACCCGTAGACAAAAAACGCCTAAGACGGTTGTAGCCTGCTCTGGCCACCTCTTCCGCGGGGAGGCCACACCGCGAAAGGAGACCCCTGAAGAACTCCATGAATCTCGAAGGGCTCAGCTGGCGCCCCACATCCAGCGGTGTAAGCTCCACGACCTGCCACAGCTCTTCCGGTGTCAGCACTGGCCGAGGCCAAAGAAAATCGGCCCCCGCTTTGCTCTGACGGACCACCACGGGACGGATCTCTGCCAGCAAGTCGAAACCTTCGAAGACCAGCTGCGGGAGGGCCCAGTGGTACGGGGGCCGGACGCCCTGCCTTCGGCTGCGCACCGGAACTCCAGCCAAGCACCATGATCACGAAAGAAGACTGATCTCTGCATATGCCGGAAGCGAATGCACGAAGCCGCAGACATAATGCAAAAGGCTGCTAGGGTTCGAGGGCAACCTGTCAATTCAGCAGCACAGATCAACATGTTTGCAAACTCCCAAGGCTCTAACTCATCCCGTTGTTGCTGGACATGTCCAGGGGCATGCAGCCTGAAAGGACGCACTAAGAAATGCTCGACATCGAACTCGGCTCCGACGTTAGAGCGAAGCCAGCGAAACATCTGCCAAAGGGAGGCTGCAGCAGTAGGCCCGCCCTTGCTAACCTCCTGAAGAAAGGAGGCCAAGTCGCGGGCATGGGGACGCCTGATATCAACACTGTGCGCAACGGCGAAACGAATCCATCGTTTCAAACCAGCAGTTATGGTTGCTATGTGTCCTTCAGACAGCCGCATGGCACCACCCAGCACTAACTGAGTGGCCCGCCAGACCTCGTCTGCGTCACTCAAATTCAGGACCGGAAAACCAATCTCTGCTGCGTCCAAGATATACTGGTAGAGCACCACGAAGAGCGCCACACACTTGTTGCGCAAGCTGTCGGAGGGCCGCAACGGTCGATCCCTCTGAGCTATGGTCGTGGCAACAGGCTGCGAAGACACTCTCCACGGTACCAGAGCTCGAGCCGCTCCCTTAGGCCGTGCCTGAAGAAGAGGCTCATGGCCTTGCAGCGTCCGCGGTCCAAAAGGCAGGATGCTCCGCCTGCAGAGCTGAACCTCACTGGAACAGGTGGCCACATCGATGCTTGACAGCCGGTGGCAACGACTCCAGAACGCAACCAGCTGACATGCCCCCGCGAAATCCTGCGGGCAGGTCGAAGCATAGTCAGAATAGAGCGCTCCACCATCAGCCCACATGTAAGCCACATCCAGTGAGGAGCAACAGCCCAGGGCCAGGAGCCAAGTCGCAGCCTCTGATGACAGGTGCTCCCGCACCGTATCTGAGAAAGCCATGGCGAGGCAGCCCTCCACAAAAGAAGAAAGAGAGTGAGAAAGGAGAGCTGCCGAGCCAAGGCTGCGTGTTGGAGTGTTAAGTTTCACGACGCATGTAGGCCCTGCAGCCAACCAGCCATGCTAACATGCAGTGCAAATTCATGATTGAAGAACATGCCTTGAGCGCAGATGCCAAGTAGTCGACATTGTCAACTGTGTCGAGCAGCTCCTTTGCAGCTGCAAAAAATCCCAATCCGAAACTCAGCGTCGAGTCTACGACGAGTTTCCAAGGCTTCAAGGCTGTCAAGGACTTATTTGGGGGGCATCTCCTCGTCTGGGTTCAGCCACCACTCCTCAAACCTGCCGCGACGCAAAAAACTGCCCAACAGCCCCACATGAAGCTCTTCTTGAAGCTTACGGCACATGCTCAAACCCTGCTGCATGCTGTGGATCAGTAGAAAGGGGGCACAAGCACGTCACGAATGTAGCCTGCATTCCACTAGCGGCGTCGCCAGGCATCGCGCCACGGCTTCATGGACCTCAAGTGGACTGCACTGCTGCTCAGTGATGGATTGCGTTGAATTGAGCATTGAACGTCGTGACTGCGCTGCTCAGCCGTACTGGTAGATCTGGTAGCAAGAACGAAATGACTCGCTCAGCGGACGAGCCGCTCTCAGAAACAGGCTCGCTGCGCTTCGTCTCCTTTGGCGTGAAGCCACTGATTTAAAGACAGAGACCTCGACTTTCGTTGCGCTTCTGGCTTCTGTGAGTGACGGCAAAGTGCTGCTTCTGTGGACATGCCTGTAGCCGAGTGACTAAGCAGCCAGCCAGTCCGACGTGCACTCGACCTCAGACTATCATGGACACTGACTCCTACATTAAACATCGTTCAACTACGGTAGAGCGGGAGAACGACGATAGGGCTCTGATTGGAGCCCGGGCACTGCATGGAACCAATGCTGTGGAACGGCCAGCACGTCCTGAGAGCAATTTTGAAATGCTCTGAGCTGACTCTGAACTGGGGCTCTGAGTGTGCTGACTTGATGCTGATGAGTCGGCGGCGCTGGTCTGAGTCCCGTACACCAGGTTTCAGCGCAACGACCACGCCGCTGCACCTCTACCGAGCACATGGCACCATCAGCCCATTGAGGAAGCTCCGAAGGTTTCCACAGCTCGAAGAAGGAGCACCCCGGGGGCAGCTCAATGAAGGGATCCACATCCGTGAAGGTAGAGGAGTCCTCGCTGCCACGTTGCCACTCGAGGCTGCTACTCAGCCGGTTCATAACTTCCGTTTGCAAGGTCCTCATATGGAAGGCGATGTGGGCCTAGCCAGGTACTGCTTGGCGGAAAAAGGAGCCTCACTGAAGTAGTAAGTAGGTGCCCATAGGTGCCCAATGCTCCTTGGAATTGAGGCCCCAAGCCAGAGCTTTTCCCCAGCCATCTGCGCGACAAGGTTGTGCCCATATGCATCTTGATGGCACCTGCATGACTGGAGCTAGCTGCTAGAGTTGCTGAATGAAAACACTTGGATTGGTTCTGCAGCACAAGGGATGAAGTTTTTGAGACACTCGCGCAGCACAAGGTGCCGCTTTTCACCATACCCTTAGGGTATGAGGGCTCACTAGCTTGGCCGGTAAACAGACCTCCAAAGATAAGCTGAGGAGGCTCCATCCGGCAGTGCATTATCCATCGGCGTTGAATGGGGTTTCCCATCTACATGCTCTACCTGCGCACGCAAGAATGAATTCCAAGTATTAGAGTTCTACCTCGAAATACAATGCTGTCAAGGGTCTGTCTGACCGCATTTCTGCTGTGTTGCCTTTTGTCAATTCTGCTTGCCGGCAGCAGATCACTGGCGTGGGAACATTCTGATTACCTGAAACGAGGAAGAAGATGGAAGAAGCACAGCTTCAAGAGACCTTTGGCGACATACACACATTGCTGAAGAACGAATGTTCCGAGGCGCGGGTGACCTCGGGCTCGACCCAGGGCTGAATCCCGAGCGGCTGGCTGGGCTCATGGCCTCAGATATCGAAGCCACCGACCACACGAGCTCCCCTTTCTCTCAATTGCATCTGGCATTTTGCATGCCAGGTCAAGAACCACAGGTGCTACGCTTAGGCTGCAGGAAGGCGGCTCCCGAAGGCGACTTGGGCGATCGAGGGGAATGCGGCTCATAGGGGTTCTCCTTCAGCCAGCAGGTCTTAGACAGAAGTACAAAGAGCAAGGAGACTGCACGAGCAGGTGCGAAAGGCAGTGTGCCAGTTTTTTTTTAAGCAGCATCCTCATCATCAGGAGGATATCCAAAGTAGTCGGTGCCATAACATTCGATGAAGCACACTTCGCACAAGCCTTGGCCACAAGCGTTGCTAAGATGAAGCTTCGTATTTCCTTGCACGCGCTGCCCAGACCAGCATGCCCATAATGCAGAAGAGATGCACCCGTGATGATGCCCTTTAGTGGCGGTGAGCTTTTTCAGCAGATCGGCCTAGAAGCACTGGCAAGGGAAGCAAGAAGTGTAGAATTGTGCGAGCGGCGTTCCCTGCTGGCCTTGACTGTCATTTCCCCTCCACCCTTATCCAGCTCGATGGTGATGATGCCCTGCTTCTTGCCTTACACTCCCACTATCTCGCAGCACCCTAACTTTAGGCTTGCAGCGCTGAAGCATCCAGCCTGGTCCCATGACCTTTCCCGTGGTGAGCTGGAAATCCTCAGCAACTATGATAGGCGGACCACACAGGCCCTGTCACCAACAAGTAACTAGGAAGTGCGAATCAGGGACTGTGGACAAAGCTATGCCTGCAGATGAGAAACGTCTTTGAGAAGCGAGGCCTTCGACAGATCCTTAGCTCGACAAGAAACGACGGTCTTACAAAGCACCGCAACAACGTCCTTTGAATCATCAAATTGATCTGCTTGCTGTTCTTTGTCTCGTTGGCACACTGTGCTCCAGGTTGCCTGTCAACTGGGATGTTCTTCTTACAGCTGACAATATGCATTGAACCTCAAACGCAGCACGCCGACGGTCCCAAGGCCGGCAATGCAAAAACGAAACCATCCGACACACAGCCGTCAAGATGAGAAACAGATGGCGAATCTTTCGATACAAGCTGAAACTAGAATCTCGCTGCACTGCTCCCTCACCAGTGCCGGTGAAAAGAGGCCGCAAATGCCCAGCGCCAAGATGCTGAGAAGCTTAAAACCAACAGAAGCGAGCGGAGACTCTGAGCTCTCTCTTTCTATGTCCCGTGCAATCAAGAAAGACTAAATGGCTGGAGGCGATACTTGAGGATGTTGCGCGTCAACATGTCGAGTTCTTTGCCTGTCACGATGCTGCTGGACCAGTGGATGTTTGTGGTCCTGGCTCAGCTGCATCAAAGCAGATCCACTTCCCATCGCCTCTGAGAAGCTCTCTGGGATGCAGGTTCAGGTCCCTGTTTGAGGCGGCTCGCCGCGCTGCCCCTGGTCCCTTCTTTCATTTCGCCTAATTCTGCAGTTTCAGAAATTCTCCAGGTTAATTTGGAAGGTCTGTAGCCGGCTTGCAACACCCAGTTAGCCATGGCCACGGTCGATGCAACGCGAGAGCCTGGCTAGTAAATTCTCTGTTCCCTGTTGCTTCGCCCAAGCCCCGGACATTCCTATGATCCTCAATCCTAAGCCCTGGGCCTTTGATCTGACAAGTCTCTGAGAAGAGCCGGCACTTGAGCCGAACACGGTCTCCGATTGCAAAGCCACAGAGTCGTGGATCGTGCTTGCTTGGCTCCCGCCTTAGTTTGGGGCAGAGGGCTTCAGGAACTGCTGCGACAGTTCTCATTGCCCGTTCAGCTGTACCGAGGAACTGCTCTATCCAGTTGGACTCCTCCCGGATGACCTGGTAGAACTCCTGACAGGCCAGAGCTCTGAGGGTGCTGCTGTCACCTTTCGAGGAGTTGATCGCGTGCACCGTTCACAACATGGCTCCGCGAAGTCGATGCTTCCGGAATTGTCGGCATCGAAGGCCCGCAGCACTCCATCAAGCTCCGCAGGAGAGAGCGGACAGGCAAGACGCCTCTGTACTGTTGCTTGCGGTCAACTCTTTGCAATATTTTGCAATGGGCCACCGGGTCCCTACCTCAGGGCTGCTGCCATCTCGCCTCTGGTCAGGATCCCATCGCCATTCTGCACAAAGAGACTGCTGCACACATACCACAGAAGCTTTTACCACATGATGTGATATGATGTGCGACTTGAGAAGCAAAGGACTCCACGTGTCACGTCGCCCCACCTGGTCGATCTCGTGGAACAGCTCGAGCTCAGAGAGGCTCTGGTCCTGTGCAGATTCTTTGCTCCAAAGGGTGCTTCCACTGAGTTGTGCGAAGAAAGCTCCTCGATGTGCTGGATGAGACCTCACTCTGCAGCCCAGTGCTGTCAGTAGCTTGCCCTGTCATCCTAAACGATGTGCAAGCAAGGCACTTGCCAGGGCTTGCTTCAAAGGAGACTTTGCCTTCAACTCCTCAAGCTTCCTGCACGCAATTTGGCGCAGGGCTGTGCACCAAAAGACTTCAGAGCAGGGCGAACGAAAGCTAGCAGTGCAGTCAACAGTCAGTGTTGCAGTATCTTGGGGACGGGGGCGGGGTTAAGGTCAGGTGGGCCCCCCCACCCCATTTGCGCAGTGCTTTCAGGTCCAGACATCAGTCAGGCTGCAACCTAGCACAGGAACTGGAACTGCGTAAACGCTCGTTGGCCGTGTAACACACACAAAACTTGCATGCCTGGAGCGGAACATATTCGACTGCTTGCAGGTCTTAAACTAAATTCGACGTTGAGCGGAACATCTCAGGAATTCTGCCACGGGCGGTCACAAACAAGGCATTTCTGTTGGATTCTGGCATGGATGGTTCTTCTTTGTACTGGGTCCTGGCAACTGCAATTCATGATTTCTTCGTCCCGGGAAAACGCTTTTCCGGAAGCGCTTTACTCACGTTCAAGAATGGGCACGTTCTTTCTGCACCAACTCCAGGTATGGCACTTTGCACAGAATACTTCGAACCCTCAAAACCGTCAACCACTCAAACTTCAAACTCTAGACAGACACCCTAAGACCGAAGAGGCCTAAATGCCAAACAACACCGTCAAACCTCAAAAATCGTAAAGCCCACACCCGCAAAATGAAACCGAAAAGCTTCAGTAAACACAAACCCTAAAATCCCTAAACCCAAAGCTCTACGGGCTCTGAATGCCACAAAGCCCAAAAGCCCGCAGTGCTGAAAGGTGAAAATTTTCAAGGTCCTGAAAACCGTGAAGCAAACCCTAAACCCCTCCCAAACCTTCCCCTCAACAAAAAACCACAAAAGAGCAGCACCGTCAAATGAGAGAACCGTCTTCGCACACCCGTGTCGAGGAGAACGGGAGCCAAAAAAAGGCACAGGCAAGAAGGAGAAAACTTTCACAACTAAGGAGACAAAGCCATCACGACTACGCAACCAAGTGCTTCTCCAGCAGCTCGTCCCAAGCTCTCAGTGCAATTCCCAGCCGAGCCGCTCTTGCCGGGCAGCTTGTAGCTTCTCTGCCTCTCGCAGGGCCGTGTCTTTTGCACTACCATGATCCCGTGCTGCACAGCCGGCCTGGACCTCCCCTGGGGTCTTTTGATTATTTCTTCGATTGACCTTGTCCCTTAGCTGCGGATAGATGAAAAGCTTCTGATGTGCCGTGTAAGGCGATGACCAGGCAATCAGCCGAAGCAAACGCATCCGAGCCACAGTTGCTTCTGAGCCTTTTGCGCAAACCTTAGGGATGTCTTCGGCCGACTCAAGAACAGGGAGGGAAAGGATCTCGAGGGGGTTCCGGTAGTATTTCTTGCAGGGTTAGGCGTCATTTTTTCCCGCTATCTTCATGCTACATTGATATTAAGATAATATGTTTCTAATGGTGTCCTTTATTCTTATCTCCATCTATATCTTATTATTACTTCCTGAAAGTACGATCGAAGACAATGAATTAGAATTGTGAAAAATATATTACAATAAGCGTGTAACCCTTGAAAGATCGCATTGAACTTAATGAAAAAGGAAACAAAAATTGAAAAAAAAAAAAAAACGTAATCCTTTATCGGCACTGTTATAATCTGTTGAGACCTGATGGAACGTCCCTGCTGAAGATATTAAGGTTGTGTCCCTGAAAAGTTAAATCACTGGTCACTGGTGCACTAAAAGTAAAAGTTAAGTGAAGAGAATGAATGAACTAAATTATAAGCGAAAAGAAATTATGAATGTAGCGCATGAATTTAGTGAGTGATTGAACGAAACAAGAGCCCAGAGTAAATTCGTATTCTTATTCTGCTAAAGGGGCCACTATAAAAGCCTCAAATACAATATGCTGCAAGCTTCGATTTCTTCAGAATATCGAGTGCCTACACGTGCCTGGCACTCAACTTGAAAGTCCACACATGTCGCGCATTCCTTGCTTTTCGTGTCACGCTCCTTCTCCAGCTCCTGCTCTGCTTCATGCCTTTGTTTCATCCTGCAGTGGCCAGTACGAGGCTTCCGATCTGCTGCAACTGGGCATCCGAAGCGGGACATCCTCAACAGCAATTTTCGTTGAAATCCTGAGGGGCCTGGTCAGAATCTCCAGGCGGCGATTCTGCCCCATTGTTGGCTCCAGACACTCGATTCGACCAAATATATGCAGTTCCACAAAACACATCATTGCAAGCACGGTAGAAAGTTTCTTTACATTGTAACTTTACATGATTCTCGCCCTCGTTCTGTAAAGGTGTGGTTCAGCTCTGGTTCTTGGAGCTTGGGAGTCTCGCCTAAGTGCGGCGCTGGTTTGGGATCAATATTGCGCTCCCATCTCGGCCGGGCTTGAGTACGCTTTCGCCGCATGGCTTTCATCAACGAAACAAAAGGCAACAAGGAGCCAAAAACATCTAAACTGCCGCCTCAAATGTCAACTCAGAGCTCCAGGTGTTCACAGCCCTATAAACATCAGGACACGACCAAGAGCAACAAAAGCACGTACGATCTAAAATGCCGCCTCAAATGTAGGGATTTTGTCCATCCCTTCGTCAACCTCACGGCTCTGTAGTGCAACACCCCAAGCAAATTCCCAAACACGAGGACCACGACAGGCGGTGCAATTTTTCAGAATGGATTGTTCCCAAGATGCGTTTGACTTCACCGTGCATGACGTATGACGTGTGAGTAGGTCAGAGGTGAGCGAGAACAAGCACAAGCGCAACAGGTAAGAGGGCAGCAGCCGGTACCGACGCAGAAGGCGATCGAAACCACACCCGAAGACACAACCCGGGCAACCATTTGAGCGATAAACCCACGCCGAAATTCGCACCTTGAGAGCAACGTTGTGATGGCGTTGTCACGGTTGTATGGTGCGATTTTTTTTGGTGGACAGGGGAGGATCACGGACCTTGAAAAACAAGAGGGTGAAGTACCCGTCAAAAAAGCCTGCGAGCACGGTCACAAAAAAATGGTATGCAATCTGCTCACAAGCCGTGCTTCTAGGAGAAGAACACAACACGTTGCCAGCTGCAGCTGATCTGCTGTGACTTCTTGATGTTGCAGGGTGGATCGCCCTCGTAGCCGTTGTTTTTCCAGCAGGTATCACAGCCATCAGCATATCCCTCGCATGGACATCGCTGCACCGTGCACGAGCAACTGTCCGTCAACACCACTCGGAACTCTGTGCGGCTGTGTCGCACCCCCTGATAGCAAGAGCGCGGTGATTATACCACCGCCTAAGCTGCAGGTAGACGACTACTCTGCGTACAGCAAGCACTGTGATACCAATGCTCCGATGATAGCTGAGAACCAAGCAATCTGCGCAGATTTGCCTCTTCTGCCCTACAGAGCCGCGTCTAGCTCCCTGTGCCTTTCCAGCGTTCACACAGACTGCAAAACGCACACGATCTGCCTTGCAGCACCCATAGCCCCGCCTTGATCAGCGCCGCTAAAGCTTGTTCGGAAATCTCTTCCCCAGCTTCTCCTGCTTTGCCCGCTGGCGCTGGTGGCGCTGCTTCTGCCATCAGGGCTGGCAATCCCGCCGACTGGCACCATAGGAATCTCAACTAGCACAAGAGCTGGGGAGTTCTGTTGGGTGCAGCCGATACCTCAACGCATTGCTGGAGCGTGGGTCAGCTTGTTTGACATGCTTCTAGTGGGTACCATGAGGTCTAGCTTGCACGTTCAAAGTTCGAGCAGAGCAAGTGCCGCCGCGTCATCTGCGGTATGAAGCAGAACTCGCAGAGAGGCAAAGTGTCCGGGGCACGGCGTGCGGGCACCCTGGCTGCCTCCAGTCTCTCCAAAGGCTTTGCTGCGGATGATGATGGTAACATGTAAATACAAAGGAGATAAAGAGGGATCGGGGTTTCTTGGGCCCTCACCCAGCCATAGCGTCGGGGCGCCTGGCACAGAGATCGGAAACTTCTCCTCCAGTTCAGAAGACAGCACTGAATGCACCCATGTGACCTTGAGGTATCGAGGAATCTTTTCGTTTTAAGCAAAATGCAAGAGGTAGGTCCTTCGGCAAAAGTCGGCTGAAGTCTGCAGCAGCACGATTGCTGTCTGCGATGTCTTTGAACATTGCCTGTGCCGGAACGAGCCATGACGACTCCGGGCGAACACTGACGAACGTGACAAAGATGTCTGCAGACAAGGTCAAAGAGTAGCAGGTTTGGGGGAGAAGCTAGGCGAACAAGGTCAAAAGTAGCTGTCAAGGTGGCTCATTCGAGCCTCAAAGTGCTGATAGGCACAATAACCTCAGCTACTTTTTGCGTGCCTCCGGATCGCCCAAGCACTGCCAAGCACTGAGCCGCCTACCCCATGAAGAGGATGCATCGAAGGGAATGGACCCAACCTCCTGCACAGAAGGCTCCACATGCTCCGTGTCTTGAGACCTCGAAGCCCTCACATCCACAGAGGACCTCCCCGCTCAACCAGGCGCAAAACTCACCCAGCCGAATGTCAGAAAGGCGCTCGCACTGGCCCTGCCACTTACTTTATCAGATTGCTCGTCCCTCTCTTTGCAAGGGTGACAGCGTGAGCCTCCCAGGATGTCCGTTGTCCCTCAGAAACGCTTTTTACGCCAACTTCAATGAATAGGTTCAGCAAGAGCTTCCAAGGCAGGTTCCAAGCACGAGCGTGGGCCAAATCGCAAAGACACCAAGCGATCTCCAAGCCTTCTGTGCCGAGAAGGGCTCCGACTCCACTCACTGATCTGCACCACGGGTATTGCTACGCAACACAGCACGCCGAGCTGCGAGCTCGTTCTTCAAGGCCTCGTTTCTTCGATCGTTGCTGGACAGCACAAGCTTTTTTGAGGTAAAGGCATGCTCGGGCATTAGAACTCGACTGCAGGCTCAGTCTTCTGGCGCTTCCAGGTGCTACGCTAGCCATGCGAGCCCCGTCTCCATAGCAAATGTCTGCACTGAGCGTCAGAACTACAGAAACTGCAGCACATCGCAGCTCTGCCTGCAGGCCCGTGCCCCAGCGCAGCGCAGGCCAGGTACAGGCCCTGATCAATGCTATCAAACGCTCCCAAAACACAGGAACAGGCAAGGAGCCGAAGGCTTACGGCACTCTTCCGGCTCAACGTTTCTGCTTCCCATGTGCTTCATGGAGTCATACTATGGACACGTACTTGGCACGGCATGGCGCAATGGCCGCATGCCTTCACACCAAGCACCTTTGGGGGCCTAGATCACTGTTGTCCACCGCAACCCGGCGGAACCCGCGGTGTCTGTGCCATTTCTGCTACCAGTAGAGAGCACTCATGAACTGTGCTCAAGATGCTGCATTATTTGCGCGCAACCGAAAGGCAATTCAGTTCCTTGTAAACAGTTTTTGAACCAAATGTTTGGTCGACGTATGTCTGCATGCCGCCCGGCCGAGCACCTGCTGCATGTGAAACATGTGAAGGTCGAGTTGATTCTCACTGGTCAACGCCCGCAAGACGGAGGAGAGCACCTGCAGCACTTCAGGGAAAGAGTTTGGTGCAGTTTCCAAGGTGTGTATCCGCGCACCAGCATTCATCTTGGTGATCATGGCATAGAGCGAGGGGTCCACCTCCGGCAACAAATCAATTGACAGAGCTAGATTCCCGGGTCAAGCAGAAATCGGCCAAGCCAAGTCAGGCGACGCGCCTGGTCCAAGTTGTCTTCCGACTGGTGGTAGTGCGGATAACCCTCGTCATCACCATGAATGGAAAGAACCTTCATCCGGTTTTTCATGGCTAGACAGGCATGTACGCAGGTTTTGCAAAGAACGCCCATCCATGACTGCGCGAACATGAGAACATATGAAGCTACATTCTAGGACTAACACGGCGGTGGACGCACGCCGACCTTTGTACTGTTTCAAGGTTCGATGACTACCTTTTCAAAAATGCGATGGAAGCAAACGCTTTGGAATAACGACCCTGGCTTGTAACGCACATGTGCCACGACACGCGTGACTGGAAGTTTTGCTACGGCATACCCAGAGCACGCCCATTGCATTCCATACTCAAAGGTAACCGAGCACCGCGACGAGGGCAGGCCGGGAAAAAGCCCTGCCCGGGACCTGCGACCCTCCTTGGGACTCCTCTAGGACCCTCCCTTGAATCCCTGCCCTGCCCCCCTCCCCCCCCCCCCAAAATCTGGGACCGCAAACCTCTGCGTGGTGCACCATGCGGCACTCTGAGACATGGCCATGCAGATGACGCACTGCCCAGATTATTCCCTGTGCCACCAGTTCTTGAGCTGGATCACCCAAAAAACTGGAGTACAACTGGAGAACAGTATACGCAACCCAAGACTCGGGCTCGGAGATGGGGCATTGGTGGTACGCGTTCGGCCAATCCTTTCCCGGACTCTAAGATGTCAGGAGCCCGCCGGCGCAAGTCCGGCAAGGATGTGCGCGGATGGCCGCGGTATGCTGCGCAGAGCCGAACAAACTTGTTGCTGTTTGCGGACAACGTGCTTGTCCATCCTCGGATGCATCATTAACACTAGTTCGTTGCCAAACGATTTGCGACGACGCGGCGCGTGGGAGAAAGCAAGATCTGTCTTTCGCTGCAGAAACCCAGCAACCCCAGGAACGTCGGCGCCGACGTCTCAAAAACCTTGGGCTACCTCATGTAGGAACACGGGCCACGCATAGGGACACGACACAATGGCGCCGCGGCCTCGGGTCCACAGGGTCCTGACCCAAGTTGCCAAGGCAAGCACCAGCAGGGTCATCGCTTCAGCCAGCGCTCGATGCAGAAATTCACCACGATTCGCCGGTGCACGCAGCTTCTGGATTACTCTGCCTCCGTGGAAGCGTTTCACACATGTCCCTCCGCATTCCGAGGGGCATTTCCATCACGTGCATGGACGTGGTGGCAGCCATCTGCCAGAGCCTTTGTGGAACCTGCTGGGCTTTTTTTGTTCCTCGGAATCTGCTGTTTCCCACAGCCCATATCACTCTGCAGGAAGCGAGGCACCTGCCCTTAGCACGACACTCCCTCCCACAAAAACAGAGCCCGGCCAGTATGGCCCAGGCCCTCTCCCTGAAGCTGCGAGCCACAATACCACAATAAGAGGCCCAAAGGCACGTTCAAATGAAACATGCTGGCAGGGAGCGCTGTGAATGCCCTTCTGCAGGAAGCTCATGTGATCAGATCCGAAGGGATTGTTGCTGTGCCTCAGCTTCGATTGGGCTGACTTGTTTCTGCTTCATGCAGCTAAATCCCGTCACAGCTTTTGAAAGCACATGCATCCAAGCAGCGTGACTTTCAAACTCTGGCCATTGTGAGCCTTGCTGGCACCTGCAAGGTGGTCCAGGACATCTTTGGCCCAGTCGTAAGACCTGACAAGGCACCCGGCCAACTCGAACATCAGGTCCCAAAAGAGCGGAAACAGGTCTGCCACGGTTTGCAAGAGGCTCTGCGTCCGAAGGGCTCAAGATTGACGACTGGGCCTGCACTGCAAGCGCAGCACCGAGAACATACACCAACTGTTCAACTATTGACTCCAGCAGCTGCTTGCAGATGCTGTTTGCAAGCGGAGCCGCCCACGCCCGAGTTGATGTTCGTGCTGCGCCAGGCGATCTCATCCATGACAAGTGCCTCAATTACCACTAGCGACTGCAATGACATGGCACCTCCTCACCTAAAACATGACCCCGAATGCTAATCTGGCTTCCGCCTGATGTTTGGCCTTGCTTCGGGAAGCCTTCCCGCGAGTGTTGGCCTTCCAAAGCAACAGCTGACATTGAACTATTGAACCCCTCAGAGCCCTCACACGTTCCACGCTCGAAGGTGCCTGCCTCCAAGAAGGATGCGTCTGCCTCCTCACCACAAAGCCTTGGCAGCCATGTGAAGAACATTCCGGGCATGCGGCACTCCACGCGCCCAATTGAGCCCGCAGTGCCTGCTGAAGAGTCGTTTGCCCTCATTCGAGTCAGCCTGCCAAGGCAAACGCAATGCAGGGGACATGTGAGGAAGCTGTGAATCCAAGTGAATCTCAGGAGGCCTCTGCAAAGCTGGAACCTGCTGAGGTCTGCATGAGGCGACTGGCATACTCCTGTCCAGGTGCAGACTCTGCAACTTGAGTTCCTGCTGGCAACTTGGAATATTGTCACCTACCGTACCAGTGTTCCTCCGACCCAAGTAGGCCGGGCTCTTCTGCAGCGAAAGCTACGAAGAAGATGCTCTTCTTTGGCTTGACCTGGCTCGAAGCGGCTCATCTCCATTGATGTGAAACTTTCAAGGACATGTTGCACCAGGCAGCCGGGCAGTTGCCTTCTTTTGTAGTCCGCATAGCAAGTTCCGACAATGGGAAGACTCGTCGGATGGCGGAGCAGCTACTATGCACATCCTCCTCACATTATCTCTCCCTCTGCATCGTCCTGGCTGCAATGCGGGCACTAGGCTGCTGCCTGTGCTGACCACTCACACACTGAAGGCAGAATAAGGCAGCCAACGGTCATTGTCACTGATGATGCCAGCTTCCCGAGCTTCTTTGGCCAGCTTCGGAGGCAGTGCACCTCACGGGAAGTATCAGTGCAAGGGCCGTGCAACACCGTGCTTTCAGCAGGTGCACCTCCCTTCCTTGCTTCGTCCACCCGAGCGACGAGCTCTGCTAGCTTCACGAAGCTTGGAAAGCCAGGGGAGTCCTCCGAGGCAGCGGCATGCGTTCCCACACTAGCGAGTTTTGGCAACCTTAAGCGCAGCCAAGCTTCAACGACCCGCAGGGTACGAATTTCGCGGAGCGATACGTCCGTGTAGACAAAAGGGTCCACATCCGAAACATTCTCCCCATGCCTGAGTTCGTGTCCAAACGGGAACCCTCCACCCCAGCAAGATCCTCTCAACGTTCCGTCCAAACTGTATTCGGAGGCACTGGACGTGTAAACAAACCCCGAACTCATCAGGCCTCAGCGACAACAAGCACACGGCTCTCAGCTGCAAGAATGGCATACAGCCATGCAGGCGCCCCATGGAACAAAGGCATGCCGAGGCACATGAGCGCAATGCTGCGAACACCACGCTTCTCCTGGAGCGAACATAAAAACTACTGTATCATACACGATCGCAACAATAAGAACATCACCCCATTCATGGCAGTGACAACAAGCCCGCAGTCCATCAGCTCAACGCACCACTCGTAGTCTTCCCCGAGGTTCTTGTCTTGAAAGGGATGCTTCAAGGCCACCTCCCGGTTGTAGATCAAAGTGAAGCCAAACCTCGGCGAGAGAGAGAGAGAGAAAGAGCGCGAGCGAGAAGGGCAAGAGACAGAGGTACTTTGACTCCTTCGCCCTTGAAGAAGCACAAATGTGTGGTGCTAAACAATGCTACAGACATCTTTTATGTGCAGGGTGCGGGTTGTTTGGTGGAGGCCGAGATTGGGAGAGGGCTCATCGTGAGTCCGGTGCTCGCGGCGGTACAAGTATGGGAAACGGGTGCCGAGGCGGCAAACGGTTTTGACGAAACCTGACAGAGTCTGTCCTGTTTGAGGATCCTGAGGTAGCGAATGCAGAGACTTGAATTGAATCCCGTTCGTTGGCTGGACCTGCATGCGTTTTGGATGCGAGAAGAGCACAGCAGCTTTGGCCCTGGCGAGTAGAGGCCCATCTTCACGGCGGGTGTTTTTCTGCTCAGGTGTCCTAGATGTTCGAATCTCGCAAGGTTTGGCTGCAGAGTCACAGGCTATCCGAGATCAGGACGTTTTCGCCCCAATCGCGCAGCGTCGCAAAATCCGAAAGCACCAGCCTTTGGCTGCTATACAATGAGGGCACTTAGGGCTACTTTGCTTGGGGTCATCTACTTCCTGGCCTCTGCATTTCCCACATACCAGCTCGAGAGCTTCAAAGCTGAAGCACCATCAAATTGCGTCATCCTGCCACTGCCATTGCCGGGAAGCAGCTTGTGTACAGATTGTACAGGGCTTCTCTGAGTCTTTATCTCCAGATTTAATGCAAGACTTAGGCCACCTCGTCGCCATGAAGGCCAGATATCCTGCTGGACAGCTCCAGACAACAAAAGTCCTGCAT